AGTGTAATGAAACAGACAACATACACTAGGTCGCACTAAGGGCGTGTGTGTGAAATATTCAAGGTCAAACTATTTCTTAAATCAAATTCTACATGCATTTACGTTAACCTTTTATAAAGTCAACATTAGTATGAAATCAAAATTTTACATCAAAATCAGCATTTTTATCAAAGTGACTATTTATCATAAGAAACCAAATTATTCATCACTTGCAGTCTGCATAAATTTACAACAAAATCAAGATTATCGAGTAAAAAAGATTTCATCTTCGTTGATCAGTCTATACCTATACTATCAGTTGCGCATGAGGGTGGCGCAGCAAAGGTAATGAACCAGTCATGAATTCTGGGATATCATCCGGGTACTCACGGGAGAAAAAATAACAAAAGCAACAACCAGTCCACGGAATTTGCTCTGCATCAGTGGCCTTTTAAGCAGGAATACCCCACTCAGACACATTATACTGGCTCAGAGCCGACCAGTCCTTGTTGTACCCATTCATGCTGAGCGCCAGGCAGGGACCAACAAGTAGCATAACTTATATTCTAATTCAACTTAGCATGTAACACGAGTTCTGATTGGTCAATGCTATAAATTTCCGACCGTATAATCAGCATATACGGCCGCAATTTGAAAACCGATTCATCGAAACCTTTGAATGCATCCCTACACTATTGAGGTAACGCTGTTTCGCAGGACATTGTCATTTGCAGAAGCCATTGGTCAATTAACTCCCCTATCCAGCTAAAATGGGTGGAATTTGTGTTAAAAAAGACAAAACAGTATCTTAAATTTAATTTTAAGTTCAAACAACTTACTCGCAACGGGCTGTTGACCCAACACTGTTAGATCATGAAACAAGGTTTACGCGTCGCCGATATAACTAAATTTGCGGCTATATAACCACCGGTATACGTCCCCAATTCGTCAAACACAGTACAGTTATCCCCTAACTTAACGTCTTTTGGTATGACGTGGTCGGGGATAGAACTCGCGACCTTCCGCTCTCCGGGCGGACGCTCTTACCAATGCAGTTGGGATACGATAACATGTGTCAACCAAGTCAGCGAGCCTGATACACATTGTCGCCACACAAAAGTCCTATTCGTCAGTAATTATATAAACTCACAAAAGTCAAATCTATCGAGTTCTCATTCTATCTCGTGATTTTTGTTGCGTGCGTCATGTCATCTCGCGATGTAATTAATCATTTTATACCACTATTAGGCAGAGTAGATTATACTGGGACATTTCTTGCCAGAAACATTTACGATTTCTTCTTTGAGCGGCATTTTAGAAGTGCGGACGCACAATATTAAACAAACTTCATGGATAAACTTCTTTATTTCGTGAGTGCGACGTTTCGATACACATGCTTGTACCGTTGTCAAGCAGGAATGTTACTTGAACATACACATTCAGTATATTTATATACATTCCCTCCTCTTCATGTTACATTTCTGCTTGACAACGGTACAAGAATCTGTATCGAAACGTCGCACCGGACTGGTGTTATCCATAGAGTTTGTTCAACACTTGGTGTTATAGATGGCACCCTTTAAAGAAAATCTAGATTATTCTGAAGTGCAAAATGCATTTACTTTCGGAGTGCATCTTTTAACAGATGACATGAGATTGAATTTTCAGTCATACACCTTCACTGAGCCACCACCATAGGAGGGTCGGACTCCCATTCTTCATTGTCTGCGCTGTCCTACGGCATGGGTCACGGGGTTTCGTCTTGCTAGACTATTTTGGAATCAGCCATCACGGCCATTGGATCTCTTTCTTGGTTCCCCCCAGGTCTTGCAGCATCCTTTACATCACAAGTGGCTACTTGCTTCCTCACAAGTCGAGGAATAACCGTTTGGTGAATGTTTTAGATAGCACCGATGTGATGCATGCCAATTACCTGCCATCGTATATTTTCTGAAAGCTATTGCCCTATATATAGCAAAGTTTACTTTTAGTTCTTCTAAATCAGTTCAGAAAACAATGTTGAAATGTAACCTGAATGTACTTGATGCTTTCGCAGTTAGTAAACGTTATTTTGGGTGGCAAGTACAAGTGCACCCCAGTATGCTGGCGTATGCTCGCCCGTTTGGAACAAATTGCCTTTGATTTCAGCTGGTGCTTAATTAATGCTCATGTGTATATATCGCCATATTGCAAGCTGTCCGCAAGGGCCAATCAAGGCAGTACTGGTGACAACCTACACTACTTAACGGTGGTAAACCACTTCAGTCAGTCATGGCCACAAGCTAAACACACAGAAATACACCGATCTGGCGGCCTGCCGATAGTCACGCACTTAGTCGGATATTGATCACCTTCTTCGATGCAGCCGTGGCATATGGGCCTGTACAGGATGATATAGCTATATATCCCATCTCTTCTCCAAGTTCTATCCTTGATACCTGCGCTTTGAGCAACCGCAACGGATGGAAAATAGCGCAATATAAATGCACTTATTATTATAGTGCCGTCCAGTCTAAGTCAGTTATGATGGTTGATATGGACATTGAGCGCATGTTGTGAATACCCGCACTTACGTATCTGACATAGGAGTGAGTGAGTGAGTTTAGTTTTACGCCAAACTCCAGCTATATGGCGGCGGTCTGTAAATAGTCGAGTCTGGCCCAGACAATCCAGTGATCAACAGCATGAGCATTGATCTACGCAACTGGGGTACCATGACATGTGTCAACCAAGTCGGCGAGCCTGAACATCCGATCCCTTTAGTCGCCTCTTACGACAAACATTGGTTGCTGAAGATCAATTCTAACCCGGATCTTCACTGGTCGACATTGTAGGGGGTACGGGTGGCGCGGTAGTCTACGCTGTACTAAACTGTTTTTCTACTAGGTGCGACGTAATTTTCCTGATTATGTTTGTGAGTGAGTGAGTGAGTGAGTTTGGTTTTACGCCGCCTTTAGCAATATTCCAGCTATATCACGGCGGGGGACACCAGAAATGGGCTTCACACATTGTACCCATGTGGGGAGCGAACGCCTTAACCACTAGGCTACCCCACCGCCCCGATTATGTATGTAGGTTTGTCAGCGCTATACCGGTGCTCGCGGGTTTTACCGCAGTTGTAAACGTCCCAGACCAGCTCTATACCTCCCGATATGTTGTCTCATTGTGATATAAATAGAATACTTTTAACAGCGGCGTTAATCCTACTCACGCACTAACTGTGACGAACATATGGGTGATCTAATTCACGGGGCGGTGGGACAGCCTAGTGGTCAAGGCGTTCGCTTGTCATGCTGAAGATCCGGATTCGATTCCCCACATGGGTATAATGTATGAAGCCCATTTCTGGTGTCCCCCGCCGCGATATTGCTGGAATATTAAAGCGGCGTAAAACTAAAACTCACTCACTCACTGAACAATCAGAAACCCGGAAATTAAAAATCCCTTTAACACTCCTTAAAAAAATGCAATAGAGCTACCCAACTCACTGTTAAAGTATATCTCGAATCACTTGAGTGTAACACTGGCAGTAATTGAGTCTATTTGTTGAACGTCACAATATACCCCAACCTATTAACTTCTAATAATCTAATCATGTATTTCGGTACTTTTTAGAAATACTTATCTTTCAAATACAAAATCAACAGACAGCGTCTGTAAAAATTGTCAGTGCTAATTCACATCGGTTGTATGACTAGCTGCATTAATGAGAATCTGCTGATACACAATGGAAAGCGATCAATAAGTCTCTTTGTCACATGTAACATAACGGGTCCTGCATTGTTTACCGTAACAACAGTTCATCCTTGCTACATACCCATGCATACCCAGTTAATACGTGTATATGACCCTTAGAGACTACACCGCTGTTGACAGTTAACAGGGGGTGCAAACAGATGACCCCAGATGCACTTCTTTTCGTTGCTTTGTGTTTTGAGTTTTAAAATCGTGACTGTGTTGAGTCATTACAACCATGCATGCGGCGTTTAAGTTCGTGATCGTGACTTAGCAAAAACACCATTTCCTTCAGACACACACACACCCACACACCCACCCAAGTTGCACTATGATAACAGAAGTAGTCACCTGTGGAAGCGTATCAGTGCCACATGCAGTCTAAAACATCTCCGTAGAAGATAATTTCATCCACGTAGATGGTACTTATATACATGTATGTACATGTAAGCATATTTCGCCCACAGTCTAAATATCATCTCTGTAAGTACTTATATATGTACATGACGTTATATTCTACTTAGAACAATGTATCATTAACTATCGAATTATCGACTTTGGTAACCATAATGTCTCAAATAATCGACAATAGTATGATTTATGTGATGAAAGTATCTTCTACGCAGATATAAGTAACTTCGGCGTAGGTACATAGAAATGTCACTGACTCATTGCCGGGTACGTCAACAAGCAACTCAGTGTCTCATTCGGGTTCAAATCCCAGATTGAAACAAATTTTGATTATTGGTGCTCGCAAAAGTGGTGAGGTGAAATGGGGTTTAAGGTCGTACGTGAGAATATTTCGCTCATATGACAACGTGCATGCGTGTGTATGTGTAGCTGCTTGTACTAGCCCAGACTTAAGCTGGTTTTATAGTGCTAGCTCACTGAGATACCATGCCGCAGTTAAGCATGTATACCCCACACATTGTACTGACTCCGAGCCGACCAGTCCTTGTTATAGCCATTAATGTCGAGCGCCAGGCAGGGACCAACAAGTACCATATTATAAGGTCTTTTGGTACGACGCGGCCGTGGACAGAACCCGCGACCTTCCGCTCTCCGGGCGGACGCTCTAACCACTACACCGCAGAGGCGGTTCAAGTGCTCGTTGAATTGAAATGAAGTGGTAAAGAGTAAATATCATCTAAGTATTTCCGTCTTATAGTTATCTCACACACTGATATGAAACTGAAATACGGAGAGAGAAGTATAACTCCCCAAATCACTAAATGTATAATGAACATCGTCCCGTACAAGGAGGGATAGTCACAATTCACAACAAAGAGGGTCAATCACATTTAATACATGATGTATGGAGGCTGGGCTAAAGAGGGAGGGTGTGGTGTGAGTGCTGTAGCTTTGTTTTAAGGTTGGACAGTGGGCGCGGTGGCTGCTCCGGCAGGGTGTTCACGTGGGTACTGGTGTGTTTCTGGAGGTCAATGGTGACGCTGGAGATCCACGGTCGCCACGTGTGCTGTATCTTGTTGCCCTCTGAAACAAACACATAATAAATGAACCTATTCAAGAAGAAAACATGGCATGTTATTCGACAATACCATAACAGATGAAATAAGGATAAGAAGTGATGAAAACACTCACCTACAATCTTTTGCTCTGGAGTTATCAACCAATTTTTACCAGAGCTGTTTTATGAGTGAGTGCGTTTAGTTTTACGCTGCTTTTAGCAACACCCCAGCGGGGGACACCAGAAATGGGCTTCACGCATTGTAACCATGTGAAGAATCGATCCTATGTCTCCGGCGTAACGATCGAACGCTTTAACCACTAGACTACCCCAAGCCACCAACCCACTCTTTTATGTTTGGTCCAGATGATATTACTTCATTTTGGCATTAGCTACGCAGGGTTATGTTCCTTAGACTCTTAGCATAAAATTGTTGGTTCGCCTTGATTATGTTTGTAAGTTTGTTTTGCTTTCTCAGTCACTGTATGTGTAGCTGATGGATCTGTCCTGACCTGGGGTCGCACGACCACTGGCAACGAGGAGGTAGAAATCTTTGTTCAGGTCGTAAAATCGATCATCGCCCGACAGAACCTTCTTTCGTCGAAAGGAGCATTGGAAGATACCGTCCTTGTCCGAACCAGAAACTGGAGTCAGGCCAACCGGATACTGTCGAAACAAGGGAGATAACTAGTACATACACATTTTTATTGAATACGCTTGGTATGAAACTGGTCGACACTGAATAGGTAATTGAGTGAGAGAGTGATTGAGTGTAGTTTTACGCCGCACTCAGCAATATATATTCCAGCTATATTGCGGCGGTTTGTACATAACCGTGCCTGGACCAGACAATCCAGTGATCAACAGCATGAGCATCGAGCAATTGGGATACAATGACATGTGTCAACCAAGTCAGCGAGTGTGACCACCCGATCCCGTTAGTCGCCTCTTACCACAAGCATGGGTTACTGAAGATCGAATCTAACCCGGATCTTCACCGTGAATCGGAAACCTACTGGAGTCATGTCAGTAAGATGTTGTCCAGGCGAGGGATACAATCACTAAGTTATATTTATTCACTGTGCCTTCGCAGGATACGTGTAGTGTATAATTACGAACAACAAAAAGAGTTAGAAAAGATTCATCGACAACTGTTTCAATTATTCACTGCTACGTTGCGATGAAGATTAAACAATGATAAAACAGACTGACATATCTAAGAAAGTATACAGCTGATGGTTGGGGGTATTATTTTCCCCAAACAATGTAACTTTTTAAAAAGAGTTTTGACTGTGACTATACGTGTCGCCAAAACACCACACATAACCTTTACAATGTTGTGGGTAGGATATCATAACAATCGGGATTTTGTTGAATCGCACGTGCACGTTATGCAACGACAGAATGTAACACACTCGGTAGAGATTTTTAGTGGTGTAGCTGTTAAAGGCACATATCAAAATGCCAGAGGTCATCAGCAACGGAGCGAGGACGAGCCACTGGGATGTCGCACATGGGTGGTCCGACCAGCCATATTGCCAGAAGGCTATACAATTCAAGGCAGACCATCATCAGACAAATTACACGAATCAGCCAGACTGGCCAGACAACTGCCCGTCCCAAGACTGAAAGATCGGGAGTGACCACTCCGCAAGATGCCCATCACCGGAAAGTCACAGTGACGTCATCAGCATCAACAGCGTCAGCAGGAACACAGTGATGAGATGACTGCGTGCTGTCAACCATTCGGGGCATGTCATTCAACCGTCAACAGTTGGACGAGGGACTGGCAAACTCGCAACTGGGTACGGTATCTGTGGTGGTTTGGCAACACGTACACTTTTCAAAATATTTACGTTGTTTTATGGTACATAATCCCAAAGCACTTTCTGGCACCGGTGTGTACTTTCTTCTGTGTTTCAGTTTACTTTGCTTACTCTGCTATCTGCATGTACACTGCCAGTCCGTCTAGCTAGATATCATCACCATCCAACGTAAAGAAAATCATTGTACACCTTCAAAAGTTTACTTTCTAAAATATCATAGGTATTTTATGGTATTTAGTGGTGTACCTAAACGGTACAAATTAAAAACGATTTCTTCTACTGATAAGGGTTATTCTACTTTTATACTGTTACAGTGTATCTCCATATATATACATACATACATACATACATACATACATACATACATACATACATACATACATACATACATACATACATACATACGTACGTACGTACGTACGTACGTACGCACGCACGCACTTTTTAAAAACCTAAAAGGTGTATTAGGCTATTAGCATATTCATTCCCGCATGGCTTTAAGAAATCGTTTCGTATAAGTCTGATGTCGCTCGACTCGGGCCACTGCGCATGTACACGGATCCATCCCTAAAACTTTCTTTGTGCATCTAAAACGTGACTGTTATCACGACGTCAAAGAACATGACGATGCAAAACATCATTTTCTTCAGAATCTTGCAAGTCATCCCCAGTACATTGTAGTAAGCAGTGTGTTAGTGGTCGTGTAGCTATAGAACTGTAACTAGCGTGGTGACACGGCTACCCGTTACGCCCTGATAACGCTCTTACCAGTGACGTTGCTCATCGTGATATCCGCTATTGAGTATACGCTTCTTTATGTTCGTGAATGATGTGGAGTAGAATCTGTAGACATACACCTAGCCTCTAGACGAGAATACTTGAAGCTTTCAGTAATCGACCTGTTTTGAACAGATCCAGCGAAGTTGAGGCCCCTGATGCTGGTGTGAATCCGTCGTCTTTAAATGCAACTAAAACTATCTATCGTTGAGCAAAATGAATATTGAATCCTCTCTTTTACCTTCAGTCCAATGAACCCGCGAAGGTCTGCGTTAGAACTGGCCTTCAGTAACCCATGCTTGTCGTAAGAGGCGACTAACGGGATCGGGTGGTCAGGCTCTCTGACTTATTAGACACATGTCATCGGTTCCCAATTGCGCAGATCGATGCTCATGCTGTTGATCACTTGATTGTCTGGTCCAGACTCGATTATTTACAGACCGCCGCCATATAGCTGGAATATTGCAGACTGCGGCGTAAAACTATACTCACTCACTCACTCACTCACGATGACCTCTATTGAATTAACCCGACACCTTATCTCCAGGCAAGGCTATATGGAACGCAACGATAGATCTCCAGACAGTGTAATACAGAACCGAACGTCTTCGCTCCAGACAGTGTAACATAAAACCCAACGTTTTGGCTCCAGACAGTGTAACATAGAACCCAACGCCTTGGCTCCAGACAGTGTAACATAGAACCCAACGCCTGAACTCCAGACAGTGTAACATAGAACCCAACGCCTTAGCTCCAGACAATGTAACATAGAACCCAACGCCTTAGCTCCAGACAATGTAACATAGAACCCAACGTCTTAGCTCCAGACAGTGTAACATAGAACCCAACACCTTAGCTCCAGACAATGTAACACAGAACCCAACGTCTTAGCTCCAGACAGTGTAACATACATAGAACCCAAGCCTTAGCTCCAGACAGTGTATCATGTAACCCAACACCTTAGCTCCAGACAATGTAACATAGAACCCAACGTCTTAGCTCCAGACAGTGTAACATAGAACCCAACGCCTTAGCTCCAGAGCAGTGTAACATAGAACCCAACACCTTAGCTCCAGACAGTGTAACATAGAACCCAACGTCTTAGCTCCAGACAGTGTAACATAGAACCCAACGTCTTAGCTCCAGACAGTGTAACATAGAACCCAACGTCTTAGCTCCAGACAGTGTAACATAGAACCCAACGTCTTAGCTCCAGACAGTGTAACATAGAACCCAACGTCTTAGCTCCAGACAGTGTAACATAGAACCCAACGTCTTAGCTCCAGACAGTGTAACATATAACCCAACCCTCCAGACGTCTTAGCTCTCAGACAGTGTAACATAGAACCCAACAGTCTTAGCTCCAGACAGTGTAACATAGAACCCAACGTCTTAGCTCCAGACAGTGTAACATAGAACCCAACACCTTAGCTCCAGACAGTGTAACATAGAACCCAACGTCTTAGCTCCAGACAGTGTAACATAGAACCCAACGTCTTAGCTCCAGACAGTGTAACATAGAACCCAACGTCTTAGCTCCAGACAGTGTAACATAGAACCCAACACCTTAGCTCCAGACAGTGCTCCAGAACAACACCTTAGCTCCAGACAGTGTAACATAGAACCCAACACCTTAGCTCCAGACAGTGTAACATGTAACCCAACACCTTAGCTCCAGACAGTGTAACATAGAACCCAACGCCTTAGCTCCAGACAGTGTAACATAGAACCCAACGTCTTAGCTCCAGATAGTGTAGACCCAACGTCTTAGCTCCAGATAGTGTAACATAGAACCCAACGTCTTAGCTCCAGACAGTGTAACATAAAACCCAACACCTTAGCCCCAGACAGTGTGACATAGAACCCAAGCCTTAGCTCCAGACAGTGTATCATGTAACCCAACACCTTAGCTCCAGATAGTGTAACATAGAACCCAACGTCTTAGCTCCAGACAGTGTAACATAGAACCCAACGCCTTAGCTCCGGACAGTGTAACATAGAACCCAACGTCTTAGCTCCAGACAGTGTAACATAGAACCCAAAGTCATGGCTCCAGACACTGTAACATAGAACCCAACATCTTAGCTCCAGACAGTGTAACATAGAACCCAACGCCTTATCTCCAGACAGTGTAACATAGAACCCAACGCCTTAGCTCCAGACAGTGTGACACAGAACCCAACGCCTTAGCTCCAGAGAGTGTATCATGTAACCCAACATCTTAGCTCCAGACAGTGTATCATGTAACCCAACATCTTAGCTCCAGACAGTGTAACATAGAACCCAACGTCTTAGCTCCAGACAGAGTAACATAGAACCCAACGTCTTAGCTCCAGACAGTGTAACATAGAACCCAACGTCTTAGCTCCAGACAGTGTAACATAGAACCCAACGTCTTAGCTCCAGACAGTGTAACATAGAACCCAACGTCTTAGCTCCAGACAGTGTAACATAGAACCCAACGCCTTAGCTCCAGACAATGTAACATAGAACCCAACGTCTTAGCTCCAGACAGTGTAACATAGAACCCAACGTCTTAGCTCCAGACAGTGTAACATAGAACCCAACGTCTTAGCTCCAGACAGTGTAACATAGAACCCAACGTCTTAGCTCCAGACAGTGTAACATAGAACCCAACGTCTTAGTGTAACATAGAAACCCAACGTCTTTAGCTCCAGACAGTGTAACATAGAACCCAACGTCTTAGCTCCAGACAGTGTAACATAGAACCCAACGTCTTAGCTCCAGACAGTGTAACATAGAACCCAACGCCTTAGCTCCAGACAGTGTAATATAGAACCCAACGTCTTAGCTCCAGACAGTGTAACATAGAACCCAACGTCTTAGCTCCAGACAGTGTAACATAGAACCCAACGTCTTAGCTCCAGATAGTGTAACATAGAACCCAACGTCTTAGCTCCAGATAGTGTAACATAGAACCCAACGCCTTAGCTCCAGACAGTGTAACATAGAACCCAACGTCTTAGCTCCAGACACTGTAACATAGAACCCAACGCCTTGGTTCCAGACAGTGCTATGCAGTGCACAAAGCTTTTTCTCCAATGTTATATAGAATAAACGCCTTAGCTCTTAGCATTGTAATATAGATCCCAAGGCCTTAGCTCTTAGCAGTGTGACATATAACCCAAGGCCTTAGCACCAGACAGTGTAATATAGAACCCAAGACCTTAGCGCGTTAAACGTACACAGCGCCTTGAGACAGCCTTATACAGCACAACGCTTTAACACCAGGCACCTGCTTACTGTCGAACATTCACTGACTGTGTGACTACACCTGATGAGATTTTTCCAGTGTGTGTATATTTGATACAGCATTTCAATAAACTGCAACCAAGCCTGATATAGGACCGTTGCCATTCTGAGTTGTACGTTACGCAGCTTACCTGTGATATCCTGATGTTGGAGTGGCCGATGTTGTAGGAGGGTTAAAAGAAGATGCCGGTGCCTACCTCCACACACTCGGTGACGCTGTCCCAGCCCTGGATACAAAAGATATGTGGATAAACCAACGGATAGTAATAAATTAGCAATAAACAAATTACGACTGTCACTGCTTATTTTGACTCGGTGGTTGAACGGTGTCAGGCCGGGAGAGCCACATTCCATGTTCACGCAACCACATATAACTATTGCCGGGAGAGCCACATTCCATGTTCACGCAACCACATATAACTATTGCCGGGAGAGCCACATTCCATGTTCACGCAACCACATATAACTATTGCCGGGAGAGCCACATTCCATGTTCACGCAACCACATATAACTATTGCCGGGAGAGCCACATTCCATGTTCACGCAACCACATATAACTATTGCCGGGAGAGCCACATCAATTTTGGCTATCTGTTTCGGAAATGTGGCTCTCCCGGCCTGTAACTGTTAAACGAGAATTTGTGTTGGCTGTGGCGCGAGTTGGCAGTGTGCACTGCCCCACCCTCCTCCATCGCATTATAGAAAGCATACTAATCATATCATTCAATTCATGTATAACTGACTTTTCGTGGCACATCTTTAAACAAAAGTAACAATTCGTCTTCTAATATGTGGCCTTCAATTGCAAATAGTTGATTCAAAGTACCACTTCGCTTAAGTCTCCAACCATTCTACTCCACGACCTCTGCCCACCCGCCCTACTCGAATCCCACCCTACATCCTCCCTGCCCCACCCCTACATCCTCCCTACCCCACCCCTACATCCTCCCTGCCCCACCCCTACATCCTCCCTACCCCACCCCTACATCCTCCCTACACAAACCCTCCCCCTCCCTACACAACCCCTGCCTACATCCTCCCTGCCCCACCCTACATCCTCCCTACCCCACCCCTATATCCTCCCTACACCACCCCTGCCTATATCCTCCTTGCCCCACCCCTACATCCTCCCTACCCCACACCTACATCCTCCCTGCCCCACCCCTACATCCTCCCTACCCCACCCCTATATCCCTCCCTAGCCTACACCTACATCCTCCCTGCCCCACCCCTACATCCTCCCTACCCCACCCCTACCCTACCCCATCCCTACATCCTCCCTACCCCATCCCGTCGTGAATTTGCCCTCAACTGTATCCGCGCTGGGTGGTAAGGGTCCCTTTGAGAAGGTATAGTCTTTTCGTCAACAGATGTCCTGAAACCTCCAAGGAATGGGAATATAGTCATCGTGGTTTGGTTGGTTCATGAGTGAGGTTAGTTTTACGCCGCACTCAGCAATATTCAAGCTACATGGCAGTGGTATCTAAAAGGTCGAGTCTGGACCAGACAATCCAGTGACCAACACCAAGAGCATCGATCTACGCAACTAGGATACGATGACATGTGTCAACCAACTCCGCGAGACTGACCACCTTATCCCGTTAATCGTCTCTTCCGGCAAACATGGGTTACTGAAGACCAGTTCTAACCCGGATCTTCAGGGATTTGTATGATCGTTATCACGGGTCTACGGTTCCTTACAGTTACAAACGCCGGGTACAAATCACAACTGTTTCCAGAACCTTTCATTGGTATCCATAACAGGTTATCATGATCACCAACACCCTTTGACCTAATTTGCCTGTGAAATAGCTTTATATAACAAAATATTTTCGAAGATATTATTATTAGTTGATAAACATATTTTTCATACACTGGTATCTAGAGCTATCTTTTCACTTGTTGAAACTGCCAAATACTCTATACAACTATCGATATACTCTGTACATCATTGCAAGTCAAGATAATAGGTATAACGTTCTATGATTTGTACACACTTCTATGTGCCATCTGCTGTACATTATCATACATGATGTAATTTGGTGCTATGTGTACATCAATTTTAAAACCTCACTAAAAATATGCTATGCTACCATGCTCCAAAAATGCTGTTTCTGTAGTTTTATACACGTTACTGTATATCTACTTTTGTTATGCATGAAAATGGGAAATAAAAGACTTAAATTAGAAAAAGGAAATTCTAACCCGGATCTTCACGAAAGAAGTGATCATGGGATGTGGGGAGTTAATCCCAACTGTCATGTGTCGTGGCTCAGATTGCGGATGCAAATAACTAACCACCTCTTCATGCGTGACGTTAAACGTAATAGATATCTGCATGCAAGAATCACGTCTATTGTTCGTTTTGGTTTGTTTGCTGTTTAATGCCTCAAATATTCCCGCTATATGCAGTGTATAAAATATAGCCCGTCCCTGATCGTCTATCTTTGTGAAGGAGGGTCTATTAAATAATCAAGGCCGTCCTTTGGTCGGGGGAAATATTTGAAAAAAGAAACTTCACTTGTTGATTTGTTATTGTTTTACTTTATGGGATTGGCTGTGTTTATTCAGGACTGGTCACTTATTTCGACAGCCAGTCCTTGGACAGGCGACATTTCAAAACTAAAAAATGTTATTCACTGCAATATGGCGGCGGTCTGTAAGTAATCGAGCCTGGACCAGAAAATCCAGATCAACAGCATGAGCATCCTTCTCATTACTAGGATACGATGACATGTTTCAACCAAGTCTGGCAGTCTGACCACCCGATCCCGTTAGTTGCCTTTTACGACAAGCAATACATGCGTTGTTGAAGACTGGTTCTAACCCGGATCTGCACAGGTTCTAACATGTCGCGATCAGTTAACGGGTATTCATGGAGCTAGGCCCTACAATGAGTATGTACATAGGGTCTACCATCTGGGTGTCTTCTGAGAAGCCCAGGGCGACCCACTTGTCCCCGAGGCCGAGGTGCACGGTGGTGATAGTGAAGTCGATGGTGGGGACGTGCCATCCCCGGTCCTGCCACGACACCAGCACGGAACACCCTCCCAGCGCCTCACAGTCGTGGAAACAGCCCATGGTGTCCCCACACCGGGGGTCCATCGTGAAGCGGGCGTCCTGTAAAGTGAAGGATATGTGTAATACTGTAACGGACATCCAAAACGTTCTCACTATTTGACCTCTGTTAACAAACGAAACATGCAAAACATGTCAAAGGACGAATCATGAGAGAGCGGTAATGTTCCTATTAAGGACCGTTCATAATTTATGGCTAGGGGTTGGGGGTGAGGGTGGCGGTGATTTGAGGGGGTCACCCATTTTGTTCTGGGGAGGTAGGGGGCATGTACGAGGGGGTGGGGGGTGGTTCAGCAAATTTTGCACATATGAATATTTAAAAATATGCTTAAAAATTAGGGGGCATTGATTTTGTATAATTTGCAAGGGGGGATCACTTACCTTGTACGTAGATTTTAAGGGTAGGGTGGGGTTTGTGTCATTCATATTATTAATGTTCCTGATCCAATTCACCATGTCACCCCACTTGCCATAAATTACGAACGGTCCCTTACAATACCTGATTATGCCATTGTTGACTCCAGGGCGATATTTTACGTCGCATCAGGAAGTATCCACTAGACAACTACTTACAACAACTGCACCGATTATATAAACCTCATTTGATCAGTCAAGATATATCCTTTAAGTGTTACTTTGAAACCTACGGATGTGAGTGAAAACAGGTTTGTTTGTTTTTATTATCGTGAAAGTTCCAGATACATAGTTGACATATTCAAGATAATTATCTAAAAACATCCAGAAACTAACTGGAGCTATCTTGACAACATCAACTTCTGTTTGAAATTCAAGGTGAAATGTTGATAATTCCTGATCAATTGCATTCAGCTAATGTACCTTTCCAGGGCTTCAATTTCTGCTTTTAACTGACACTGTTGCCAGGAAAAATACTTGCAGGATAAGAATTTGAATTTCCAGACAGCACCTTGAATTTTCGAGATAAGAATTTGAATTTGGATTTACAATTATATTGTTTCCGTTGAAATCAGTACCTATGGAACCATGGGGTTACATCGTCTATATCATACAGTGCTATATCGACCTCGATTCAAAGACTATGGAATGCTAGACGAGACACAGTCGCGCTGTCACATTGTCGCCGGGCGGTGGGGTAGCTTAGTGGATAAAGCGTTCGTTCGTCACGCCGAAGACCGGCTTCGATTCCCCACATGGGTACAATGTGTGAATCCCATTTCTGGTTTCCCCCGCCGTAATATTGCTGGAATATTGCTAAAAGCGGCGTGAAACCAAACTCACTCACTCACACTGTCGCCCTTACAGAAACGCGTCAAACAATAACCAGACATTCTGTCCATTTGTCGTATTGTCGCTCTTTGAATAATATATTTTATTCTACAAAAGGGCGTTAGTGTCAGGTCAAACTAAGTCAGGTTGTTGCATTGTCGCGTCTTTTAAGGGCAACAATGTCCCTTCTGGGATTTCATAAAAGACCGATTGAGAAAACTAAAACAAGGAATGCTTCAGAGAAGAAGTGAAACGATTGTTGTTATTAAATGAGAAAAAAACTTAAACTATGTTTACCCAAGGCAGTCATCAGAATATACCCTGTCAAATTAAATTTACCTTTATAGAGCAGGGATACATGTTTCTTGTGAGCCACGTGGTCTGGAATGGCACGTGAATCTGCAGGTTGCCCGTGACGATGGATGAGGTCACGTTGACCCAGATGGTGCTATAGCTCTCAACAAATGTCGCTCTGACAGAAAACATACAATGTCATTAAAAGTAAAACACATTTATTCAAACGACAAACTGACAAAGCCGAAATAGGCATTCACCACACGAAGATAGATGTAACATACTTGTGTAATCAACACACTCAAATGATGTGCTACGTATACAGAGTGGTGGTGATTGCCACATGGTCTAGAAGCTTAGTCTCTACAGAGACCATATAATCTATTATATGGTCTCTGGTCTCTATAAGGGACCGTTCATAATTTATGGCCAGTGTGTGTGTGTGTGTGTGAGTGAGTGAGTGAGATGATGATTATTATGGAGTAGCATGTACAATGTGAATGTGAATGACCCCCCCCTAAAATTTATGCACAAAGTAAGTGACCCCCCTGCATGTCGTGTACAAAATCAATGACCCCCCCTCCTCCTTCCAATATTTTTAAAGCATAATTTTAAATATGTCTATGTACAAAATTGCTGACCCCCTAGAAACATGTGTACAAAATTGCTGACCCCCACCCCCATGGGTGCCCCCTTTAAAACATCTTTCTCCACTCTTCTTTCCCAGGGGAACGGTCCCTAAAATATTAAATATAGCCCCATTTATTTTGAAAAGGAGCCCCAGTGCTGAAGAAATCTAGACTTGCTTCTTTAGAGCGTTTGAATTACACGCAGTGATGGGCTGAAATATATGATATATTATGGTTCATGGACTTTGCTGCGGCATAGAGGTACCGAATATTTTGATATTTATAATATAGTAAATAAACATTAATTACGCATAGTTCTGTACACGTTTTATTGACTATTGCATATGCAGTTTAGAAGCAATATGTATTATGGATTATGAAAGAAGGGATCTTTCTTCAGTCTTCAACCTCTGTTTGAAATGAAAAGATGTTAAAGGATGCTAAGTGTCGTACCTCATTGTATCTCAGCATCTAAGTCGACTTTAACTACACACACACAATAATTAGTGAATGAAAAGTTGGTTTTCAGACAAGTTATTTCACTCGTCTGTAGAGAAAACCCAAACAATATATTCAAGCGACGCAACACATTGTGCGCCGACCCATATCCCCGCCCACAAATGTTGGAGCCCTCACCTAAAGACGATATGGTCATTGAGTCCAGCAGGTGCTTGCCACACAAAGTCTAGGCTGGTCTTGGTCTGGTTGTTGCTGTGAGTCAAGGCGCTGTTCTGAATGTAACAATACAAGACACTCATTAATTTGATTTTCATATCAGCAAGACCAGAACAGCATATTATCAAACGATGATATCCATCTGTATGCTGACGTCATTAAGACCCCTTGGTATTCATCACCAACCTGTGCTGTACCGAAAGAGGCAACAAATGGATCGGGAGATCAGCCTGGATGACTTGATTACATGGCGGATCATAGCTAATGATATCACTGCATTGTCTGGTCCTCACTCGGTTATTTACAGGCTGCCGTTATACAGCTGGAACGTTAAAAACCAAACAGAACTACTGTGTTTCGATGATGATGATGATGGAATATTTTAGGGAATTATGCAAAAGGGAATAGCAGCTACATTACTGTGACGTCCTCCACAACGACGACATGACAATAACAGTAACATCGCAATGACGCGAGAAAAACCCATAACGATGTTGATGATGAAAGCGATGACGACGAAGACGACATTGACAGCACATACCCCTGACGGTCCACAGACTCCCTGGGTCAACATGACGGGGGTGAATGTCCCGATGAACTCTGTCTGGTCATAGCGAGGGTCAGCTCTCCTGGCCTGGATGAGGAAGCCCTTGAACATGTGGCTACATCGAGACTCGAGCGTCACTGTAACCACATGGGAGAACATGGCTTGTTAGGGAACGTTCATAATTTATGGCTAGAGGGGGTGATGATGATTTTTATGGAGTAGCATGTACAATGTGAGTGACACTCCCCCCTAAATTTATGTACAAAGTAAGTGACACCCCCTCCCCCCGCATGTCATGTGCAAAATCAATGACTCCCCTCCCCTTCTCATATTTTTAAGCATATTTTTTAAATATTCTTGTGTACAAAATTGCTGAACCCCCTACCTCCCCACTCCCTAGAACAAACTGGGTGACCCCCCAACCCCACCCCTTAAAATCATCATCACACCCCCTAGCCATAAATTATGAAGGGTCCCTTATATCTATCTTTTTTTCAATTATTTTTTATCAGTTAATTGTTTACTGTAAATCGTGAATAAATGCGGGTGTCCTTTGCTCGCATCAACGAGGTGACGTATTTATCACTGTGTACCAAAGTATATTGACATTTTTTGCTTAAAGATGACATATACTCTAGGGGGTTACAAATACATAAATCACTAGTTGACAGACGCATATATTTGGTGACGCATTAACCACATTTTTACAGTAATCGTAGATTCGTAAAAGGTAGCGAGGTTCGATTCCAAACATGGCTACAAAATATTAGGCCCATTTCCGGGTTCCTCCGCTCTGATGTTGCTTACAGCGGCGTAAGACCAAACTCACTGCAGTACTCAAAGAATATATACTTGATTAACTACCATTGTACCCTGATTGGGACGTTGCGCATTATATCGATCACTGATTTGTCTGATTCGATTATTGAAAATCGTGTTATGTACAATCCTATTGATACGAAAATGTAGATTTTATAACTGTCTTGTGAAAATTATTTTGATATTTAACAACAACGATTAAATGCCGTATAACACCGTAAAAGGAGAATGAATTTTTAAGAGTAATTGTATCGGGGTAATATTAACATACCATGCGTACTACAGGCATAACTGTTCGTGGAATCGCAGAGAGTTTTGGAGGTAAATGCAGTAAATGAGCGCAGCAAATGAAAGGCTGTTTTGCAATACCCAGCCATGAAAGATTCACTACACCGAGTAGTATTAACATACCATTCATCACGATGCTTGAATCCCATACTACAGGCATAACTGTTCGTGGAATCACAGCGAGCTTTGGAGGTTAATTCAGTAAATGAACGCCAGCAAATGAAAGGTTGTTTTGCAATACCCAGCCATGACAGATTCACTACACTCATATGAAAAAACAGAGTATTCTTTCAGTAGTGGATAAAAGTTAACGCCATCCACTCTCCAGTATCTGCCAAACCAGATCCCATTTGACGTAACAGCAAAATGGTGGTACCAACTATATGAATGCATCACTGATGACACCAAGAGTTCGCAAAAATAATAAGCATGTCTTTCTTTGATGCTTACACCTGCCACCCCCGCAGTTTGCATAAAAAAGTAAATGTTGTTAACATTTAAGCAATAATTTACTCAAGAGATCAGACATATGTATATCATACTAGTGTTACTTTGTCATATCTTTCTATATTTGTATGTTCCAGTTTTGCAAAGCGCATGATACATAGGATAGAAACACAGCACATTTAGAGAATAACACATGTTCTATAAACCAGGATACTTTTTGACAGACTTGTACCAACTTATACATGAACCAGATAAAACATGACTTAATGTACTACGCTCTCCAAATGGGAATCCCACGTTATGTTCTTGACATTTTCATCAATAACATTGTCTCTTGTTGGCTCTTCTAGAAATGTCGTCACTCGTGACGTCGAGGCGGACACGTCTGTGACAGCCCGTCACGACCTAACAGCATTCCACGCACAATGGAGGAGGTGGCATTTGGTGGCATAGTCTGTATGCTTTTGTACTGAGTAATGCATACGTATCGTCACACAATTATTTGGATTCTTAAAGAAAAAACGACTACCTGGCATTTACGCAGAACAACAGATTGTCTCGGAGACATTCACCTGTTTCCTAAATGTATTTGATCACAAATGTGGTTGTACTTAGGCTGTGACGGGGAAAGGGGAGGATGCTGTTTCGTGGCGATACAGAGGTTATTAAGGGGCCCGTCGGTCGAACTACAGGCAGGATTCGACTGTTGTACTGTCAATATTTCCTTACACACGACTTCATTTTTGGTCTTGCCTTGGTTAAACGTTTAGTTTCCATGACGATTCCTGGAACAGGTATTTCGTCTTGGCGATTCATATTACAGTGATACTGGTCTTCATCGAAGTGTTATTTGTCTGAGACCTGCATAAATTCGGTCATTTCTCTCGCAGGAAACTAACTGGTATTTTGTTCAAGGAAGCCTTAGACCCAACTCATTCACTCACTCATACTTAATGTACTACTACCACTTCGATACTTTTTGAAGGATCTCAACAAGTTAGGCTACAATAACATCATACAAAATGGCTAGATATGTTTCTGTCTGGGACAAGGCTGGACATCCTATCGTTGTAACATCCCACACAATAATTAACATTCACTTCCCTATCCAACCAATTATGAACGGTAGAAATAGATAATAACGGCAAGTTACTGTATGGATGACAACTTCTTTAATACATTAATAACAACGTTATTGTTTTCCATGAAGTATCTGCCTATTTCTGGTGTCCCCCGCCGTGATGTTGCTGGAATATTGCTAAAAGCGGCGTAAAACCAAACTCAGTCAGTCAGTCAGTCCATGAAGTATCTTGCTTTTGTTCATTACAAATCAACTTCTAAAATGTCAGAAAATATGACTTGGGGGAGCATCCTGGCAAAGCATAAATGTTTCTCACCTGTAATCTTTTTCTTTTCATAATAGCTTGTGTCGGATACTTTGATAATAAACGGTGATGGTACTGTCTGCGGTGCCGTTCCATGATGTCCCAGTGGAAACATTGAGGGGCACGCCATTTCTACCGCTCCAAAGGAATACCCCAGAGTCCTTGCCATGAGGCAAGATAGCAACACAGTCACAACACTCAGGTGCATTCTGGCAAGGTGAGCTAAATATTTTGGCCCAGAAAAAGTCACCTTAGTTCATGAGACAGTGTATCCAGTACGGGTCCTATCCTAAGGAAAATAGTACTGGCCTTACCGGAAGTGCGCCCAAGAGAACCCCAGTGACAGGTGTCCAGTCACAAGATGTGGTCGAGCCCGCAATTATGACAGATTAAAGTGGTGCTTCTTTGAGTGTGAGATTTCATTCTGCTTGACATCTATGGCGTCATGAAAATGTCAGAGTGCACGGCAATCGTGTGTCAGTTGTGTGGAAAGCATGACGTTTGTTCTGACATAATGCATCCAGCAGTCCACAATGACACTGTAATGGGCTTTGATATTAAACATACAATTTTCCATACTCATGTCATAACTCAAAAACAGTTACACCTCTCTAACTTAAGGTTTGTGACTTACCATTAACTATGTAAATATTTAGACCACGTATTCATAAAAAGTAAAAGGACTTTTGTATAGTTAGATATGGCATGATTGCATGTTTACTGTAGTATAGTAATGAGTGAGAGAGTTTAGTTTTATGCCGCACCCAGCAATATTCCAGCTATATGGCGGCGGTCTGTAAATAATCGAGGCTGGACCAGACAATCCAGTGATCAAAAGCATGAGCATCGATCTGAGCAATAGGGAACCGATGACATGTGTCAACCAAGTCAGCGAGCCTGACCACCCGATCCCGTTAGTCGTCTCTTACGACAACCATGGGTTACAGAAGACTCATTCTAACCGGACCTTCACGGATCTGCAGTATAGTATCATTGCGAGGACCTCAGTTAGTATTGCCTTTTTGATGGCAAGTGTTTCCTGCTGAAGAATTTGATTCAAAGTTTACTTGATTTCCTTCGAGATGTTTGTGTGTAACTGCATTTAGTATTTCTTTCGAGATGTCTGTATGTAAGTTAGTTTTATTTCATGTGTTTGTGTGTCTTATGTTCGTTTCATGTAGTGTTGTAGCCAAGATGCTTCCTGTAACTAGTTTTTCTGTGCTTTGTTCCTATGCTTTTGTGAAGGTGTTGGTGTTAATCTATTGTCTCATTGTTTTCATTGTGAACAGCTGACGTTTATACACACAAATATTTGCAAGAATGTGTGTCTGATTTTACAAAACGAATGTCCAGAATTAATAATGCTTGTATTTCCCAAGCGACTTTCGTAAATTCAATGCGTTGTTACTAACAATATGGTATGAAAGCCTATTATTATTTTTTACAGATTAAAGATAGCATGCAGCAGAGAGGGTTGGGGTGATCCTGGCACAGTTAGGCTGGTAAGGCTCATCATCAGCTCAGGGCCCTTGTCCCCTCTACACGCAGCCCAGACAGCGAATGGGACTTCTCCCGGGAAACGCTGCCTATATAGTCGAAACCACCAAGAACTTTTCGGAGAATATGAAGGTTCTCCAACACTGCAGTCTTCTGCATTACCCAGAGTGTCAGAAGGGTTGTGCTCCCGGTGGAGAACCCGGGCACTCTCCTGATCTGTGCCAAGAGGTCAGGAGGTACCAAACGAAGGGCACCGAGAACAATGGGGAGCCTGATGACAGTGTACTTGGGATGCAAGTGAGACAATTCAAAGGCGATGTCCGCATACTTAGCATGCTTTTCCTGAATCTTGCCAATCACATTGCTGTCAAAAGGGACAGAAAATTCAATGATATAAATAAATTCATTGGCTTTACAAAAAGGACAAGATCAGGTTTGTAGGCTGGAATTCTTCTGAGGCAGTATATGGGTCTGTTCCACAGAAGTTTGAAAGCATCATTTTCCACGATGCCCTGGACATGTTAAGGGTCGTACAATGGGTGAACCTCGGGGCCAAAACCACAGGCATGGCTGAGGCGGTAATGAGACAACGACGTGTCGTTTAAGATATGCCGTTTCTGCCAAGGAAGGACATCTACTTGCAGGGTGTTGAATAGTCTCTCGTACAGACCCTGAAGCAAATATATCCAAGAAAGCCCACACAAGTCTAGAAAATGTGGCAAGTCTAGATTTCCTCAGCTTCAGGGTCTGTACCAATCTGCTGAATTCACAAGCCAGAATATGGCTTGTAATTATCAGTTGATCTCTAGCTGTCACTAGTGTTTAATATTAACTCATGGGGAGCCTCCCCCACCACTCCCCAAGACCCCACACTGAGCCAAGACCTCCTGCTTCTGCCTGTCCTCTCACTCCAGACAAACAACGTGTGTGATTACACTAGAGACCTGATAACTTATAAAATCTGAGTAGAAAGAAGAGAGAAGAGAGAAGAAAGTCTCAGGGCTCCTTTTCATTATATATTTTTTTTTACTATGAACTTTTTTCAGTAAAATATGTTCATTTCAGAGACTAGTTGTTAGTCTAGGTGTTGAACAGTCTCAGCAAATGCATTAAACTGTTAACATTCTCTATGAGAATCACATTTTGGTGATTGCGATTGGGAGGAAGTGACTGGTCCTTGGCAGCAAAGTTAAACCCCTCTGTTTCATTTTTACGACCAACCGACTTCGTCCAGGAGAAGGAGTCGGTTGGTTTGCTATTTTGTTCCACACACTACCTATACAAACGATGCAGTGGTTTACCCAGAAAGCTTGTCCTTAATTGTCCGAATCCTAGCAGACTTGATGGATGACTTCACCTGGTTTACTCCCATCACAGTACCGTCCAGCTGTACATCGCCATCAATCAAATCGGCTTCAACGTTGATGGCCTGTCAAAGAATCTTGGTACGCTTGAAATAGCCGTGGAATTCCTTGATTTCATCATGAAACTTGACATGCCTCACCAGATGATCGATCATCAAATAAATAAATATGTGCAAAGTTACGCAGTAAAGTTATATTATGAAGATCGTCCACAATAATCAAACCCCAGCATCCCGTGCTGATTGGCATATATAAACGTGTATATAACAGCGGAACGCAGGTACTGGGCTCTGTTGTCAGTCACGATCCATCTATAACATATGTTATATACTCATGCCAATAATGGTTGTCACCCCTTTAATTTTTTAATTGGAGAGGGTGTGTGTGTGGGGTTGGGGTGGGGAGGGGGGTGACAACCATTATTGGCATGAGTATATTTGGGATTATACTTTCTCAGTAAATATAACATGTTACATTTGACCACTTTCTAAAATGGCATCGTGTATTTCATGATCCTTCTAGTTAGGCAGTCAAGACTCTGGATGTCATTCTTAGTCCAAACTACTGGAAAGGAATAAGAAAGGGCTGACACAGCAGACGTATTTTTTCTTATGACCTTGTTTTGTGAAATTAGGTCTGAGCTTTTCTTTAAGCAAGATTTATACTCATGATCAGTCGGGAGCTTGTCTTAAATATGGACATTCTTGAGCTTGTCTCGAACTTGCATTCCACCATAGGTGTAAGTCCGACCTTCCGAACGATGCTCAATAAACTTGACCGATCCATAATTCATTACCTTGCCACGTTTCAAATGAAGAGTACTGCATTTGTCGAGTCCAAATGTCATACCTATAGCCGAAAAAGCCTCGACAAGGAGAATCACTTCTTCCAAATGGGTGTCTTCTTTGGCAAGGAACTCAATGTCATCCATATAAAGGATCGGGGAGATGAGAGAGCAGTGTTGGGGACCTGTGCTGTGAAGGTCAGTGGGGGTAACGCTCGTATCTCTATTGGGCAGAAATTAAAGCTCGAACGATTTAATGCCAAAACAAAAAGGCAATTCAATTCAAATCAGTTCGTTGTTGCTTGAGAGGCCACAAGCCATCTAAAATGTAGTTACATAGTACCTTTAACATATATTACCCAATTTAGGGTACCAAGACATATATGCCGAATGAATAGGGCCATGCTCAGTGTTGTTTTGACCGGACAGTAAAGACGATTTTAACATGGACATGAGATAAGGGCCATTGTGGTAAATACTTCTTTCTTAGGGTGTCATATATAGGAAAGTCAAGGGATGCTTTTGTTCAGGTGAAGGGGCCACCGGCCTATTATTCAGGTACAGAGCATGATTAAGGTACTGTACAATTGTAACATGAGAGCTGTGTATAGATACACGTACATTGAGAACATTAGTGTATCTAAGATAGTATTTCACAAATATCCCTTTGAAAAAGGAATCACGTTTCTTAGCAGCAAGAAATATACCGTTACCAGTTTATTGCATATGTTATGATTAGTGGAGCAAAATAACAAGACCATATAGGCAAGTAATATAGAACGAAAGTCATCTTCTATAACTTTATTCAAAATGAACAGATGCCTTTTTAAATAGATTTATATCTTCCTCAGTTGATTACTAATTAGTCTAAACCATGTAAAGATATTACAGACAGACAGACAGACAGTTTTATTTGCGTAATATCGGCCTAGTGGCCTATAATACAGTTATACAGTTGTATAAATCGAAGTACAGTGTAAAGATATTACGTACATTCCTAAAGCATAACAGTTCAAGCAACAACTTAAACGGACTATAGGAATCATATCTGGAACTTTCAATAATAGTTGAATGCCATTCCTGGTTACAAATATCGATGGCGCGCATACGAAACTGTATGATAAAATATTTACATTGCCAACTGTCTGTGATAACCTAATAAATCCCAAACAAAAGGTCATATTTCCTTTCTTAAGAAGGAGTATTGTTTGACCTTTGTAGTACCATCAGCAGCATAAGATATAAACGTTACTGTAACATTCTAGCAGTCTAGTGTTATATAAATATCGGCGCGGCTGTTTTCGCATGCATTGTATGATCGTAATCACGGGTTGGTTGGTGTTTAACGCCGCACTAAGCAACATTCCAGGTATATCGCGGCGATCTGTAAATAATCGTGTCTGGACCAGATACTCCAGTGATCAACATCATGAGCATCGATCTATGCAGTTGGGAACCGACCGCGATGACCACCTGATCCCCTTAGTCGCCTCTTCCGACAAGCATGGGTTACTGAAGACCAGTTCTAACCCGGATCTTCACGGGGAGACAAGCATGGGTTACTGAAGATCAGTTTTAACCCGGATCTTCACGGATTTGTATGATCGTCATCACGGGTCTACGGCTCCTTACAGTTACAAACGCCGGTACCCGTGAAGGTCCGGGTTAGAATATTGATCTTCAGTAACCCATGCTTATCGTAAGAGGCGACAAACGAGATCGGTTGGTCAGGCTCGCTAACTTGGTTGACACAATGTCAACGGTTCCCAAATGCGCATGCTGTTGATCGCTGGATTGTTTAGTCCAGACTCGATTATTTACAGACCACCGCCATATAGCTGGAATATTGCTGAGTGCGGCGTAAAACTAAACTCACTCACTCACTACAAACGCCGGGTACAAATCACAACTGATTTCAGAACCTTAAAGGCTTTCACTGGTATCCATAACACGAAATCATGATCACCAACACCCTTTGACCTGATTTGCCTGTGAAATTGCTTTTATAAAAAAAATATATTATTCTTAAAGATATTATTATTAGTTGATAAATATATTTTTCTTTTACCTTTTCCTTTCTTTCTGTTCTGACCTTTAATTTTGCCTTAAGGAAATCTGAACAATTTGGAGAAATAGTTTTTCCTTCGTTGTCTTTTATTTCAATTTTCATTTTCTCCAAATTGACTTCAATTTCTTTCAGACATTTGATTTCCAGGTGCTCTTTAGAGGCAATACTCAATACTGTAATCATTATTGTTTATATGAGATATTGTGCTATCGATGCAGTTCTTTGTTACTGGCCCTTTGATGCACACATACGCCACTACAACTCTGTACTTTTAACAACGTTAAATTACAATAGAAGTTTGTAGGTGTACGGTATAGGCAATATAGGTAAAGGGAGATAACTCCATTTACTCACAAGATGGCGAACAGTGTTATGGTTGAGTTTGTTTAACCGGAAGACAAATTATTTGTACAAGGTGACAGTCCGCACAGGTGAGTTGAGGGGTGGCAGAACGACGGGTAGTCAGAAGTTTTATATCCATGTAGGTTTTAGAATGTGTTGAAAATAATACGGCAAACCCAATGTAATCCAGGAAGTTGTGTTAACAGCAGGTGATGCCAGATGCCCCATGTATCGATACATTTATCAGTTCAGCTAACCGTATCGTGATCCGCATATTGACTACACTATCGCCCTTGTTGGTTTGCGTAGCAACTATTTGCTTAATATGAAGTAAGGTCAGTAAAATATATTGTGGTGACGTATGTGGATGAACTTGTCTGACGTGGCACAGTTAACAAGGAGTAACATGTACAATAAGCATGCCGAGAGCTATAGTATGCATTGTTATATATCACGTGTGTCTGTTCATGGTAGATCTGTCCACAGGGGCTTGAAAACATTGTCACCGACGGCGTCTTAGCACGATATAAAGAGGGCTTTCAGTTTGTGAGTTACAAGACCTTGCGAATATGTCCTGTTAATCTGTTATGATGTTATAGATTTGTACATGACGTTATATATCAGTTCATATCGTCTGTTCTTAATGTTATGTTGGTCAGTTGATATGAAGTTAAAAGTAAACAAGCTTTGGAACTTCATCCAATCAAAGGCGAATTTAAAGGTCACGTGCAACCCCAAAAAAACAAACACAATTAAAACACAATTATCACTTATTCATGACATATAATATACATTGCTGATTATGAAAAACAAAATAAACAAAAATATAAGTGTACAATCGCAAATCAAAAGTGCAATATTTTGTACTTGGGCTTACTTCCCTCGAAACGAAGCATGCGGGATACCGATAAGTATAGAACTGAAAAAGTGACTCCGTAAGAAGAGTGTGTTGTGAAATAGTCAAATGAAATTATGTAAACAGTTAAATCGTCAATCTACTGTCATAACATATAAAAAGCTCACGCCTGTATAATATCAACAAAAGTCAAAACATTAGAAAAAATAGCTCACATCAAAGCCTACTCCGAGTACTCACTGCCAGGAAGGTTTTCCGTCTTGAAATGTCGAACGCTTCACTGGTTGACACATAGCTGAGTAGATCTAGATCCTTAACAAGGTTCTTTTATATAACGAGTAGATTATTTACATATGTTGTTTGTGTACACAACCAAGATTAGACTACTCCTGCTCAACCTCACGACCTTATGATCTGAGACCCGCTTCAAGCTGCGCGAACCTATTCATAGCGCATGCGCCATGAGTGCAGTGTAGCGCAGCACAGATGTTGAAACCACTTTTCACCCCAGTAGGGGTGAATTTAGTGAATCGTCTGAACTCCGATTTCGCGGGGGAGGGTGTGTGTGTGTGTGTGTGTCATCACAATTTTTTTCAACTTTATGAGTTGAATTTGCATTTCTGATAATTTGTTACTGTAAGTCCATACCAAAAGTATCAGAATCTACAATGGCATGTGACCTTTAAGATTCAAGGGGAATCCAGCGGTGCCCCTTCACCACTGATAGTTGGTGCTGGGGGGCTGGGGGGTAGGGTGTCATTTAGACTAATGATTATTCGAAGAATATATATAATTCTTATATAATTTTTTTTTTCCATTTAAATTAAAAATAGCCTCAGTGAGATGGGAGATTCTGAACCACAGGAAATCTATACTTGCTTCATTTGAACTTTAGCAATGCAGAAAGGCTGGGCGGTAGGGACAGTGAGACAGACTAGGAGTCAATGTTTTCTTTCATAGAGCTGTACAATGAAATGTTATGGATTTTGTACAAGTGTATGAAACATTATAATGTTGATCTGTTTGTATGGTGTTGTGGATGTGTGCATATCTGTTCTCAAGATGTTATTATTTTTGTATATGAGATGAAGATATGTTTACATGATATGATTGGTCTGTACATGTGTTATTTATCTATTTGTCCTATGTTAACAGGTGCGGCTCACAGCTTCCTGAGTCAATGACTGAAGTCAAGAACAATGATGAGGTAGAGAGTGATTCGCATGTATTTGTCGTCATACCACACGTCATCAAACACACATGCACACACATTATAACATCTGTTTTGTTTGTGTGGCAGCCTCTTTATCTGGACAATTTTAAGTGAAACTGAAATAAAACTATCTGGACTCACATGGTTCTGAAGTATGCATCAGTTTAATATTCTTCAAAGGCATTTAGAAGTTGGAATAGTGACACAAGACAAATGTTATGGATAACAATTTCTTTATTTGTTTCTCACGACGTTTCTGGGCTAGCTCTTGCCCCTTCTCCAGGTGGATGACAAACATCAGTTTGTGTGTTGCTTGTCTGCACACTCAGCACTTTTCAAGCCATATGACTGCAGTTGTAAATAATCGAGTCTGGACCTGACAATCCAGAGACTGACATGATGATCATTATTCTGTGCTATTCAGGGGTGGAAGTAACCCATTGTCCGACGCCCGAGTCCAGTGTTTTTTTCTGTCGGGCAAGCAAATTTGTATATCACACTGTACCAGTGTGCAGTTGATATTCCAATGTTAATTATGTTGTTTATTTAAAAAATGAACAAGAAAACGTCTGGTATAGTGGAAAATTTTTCAGGGCAAGTGATTTTACATGGGCCACTGTACCGGAGTACGCTAGCAATTTTAAAGTTATTTCCACCCCTGCTATTGGAATATGATGCAGTGCATTGGCAATATCCTTGAGCAAGACCACCTGACCCTGATGTTGACTTTATGACAAGTCTGAACTGAAATATAAGTGATGCAACATTAAATATGAACTCACCTATGACAAACATGGGTCTGGAAGACTGATTCTAAACTGAATGTTCACAGTGTCGCAATGTTTTGGGGTTGGGTAGACTAACCTTTAGTCTCTGAATATATAATTTTGATAGTAACAAACAAGCCCATTTTAATAGAAAAGGAGCCCTAGGGAGACCAGATATCCTGAACCTGAGGAAATCTAGACTTGCCTTATTTAGGGCTTTAGCACAGCAGAGATGGCTTGGCAGGAGGGAAAATAATTTGGTTCAGGGACTGTGAGACAGACTAGGGGTTGAGGTGCAACTCTGGGAAATAAATCGCTCAGTATTGAGTCAGTGATGAATAATTCTGGCTGAATACTTGCACAGTGGTTGTGGGGTGCCCATGTTGTTAAAGGTTTCATCTAGCCGATTCCCCAAATGGGTAAAAAAACTTCCAGTTTTGAGGTGTTATTGCTATTTACCGTATGATTATGATATTATTTTGTCTTAGCATCATAATTCTGGTTCCAGGAGGGGAGCAGTCCGCCGGAAGTGGTGAACTACCAGTCTGAGCGGAGGAAGGTGGTGATAACGATCGGTGTTCTGCTGGCCTGGGTGTGTTTTGTGCTGGCTACAGTAAACCGCAGTAATGCAGGTCTGTCTGGCATTTCACCTCATTTTATGCTTGTGTCTTCGCTTTAGTTATCCCCCGCCACGCGTTTAGTGCGAAGCGGGGGATATAGTATTAGGCTCCGTCCGTCCGTACGCACGTCCGTACGTACGAATTGGAATATCTTAAGAACCGTTCCCTAGATTATTTTCATATTTGGTACCTAGTTTCATCACAGTATAAGAAAGGTCCAAGTCAGGTTTGGTGACCTTGACCTTCATTTCAAGGTCACAAGGGGACTTTAACATTTTACCTGCATGTTAAGCTATATCAAGAACCGTTCTCTGGATTTTCTTCATATTCAATACCAAGCTTTATCTAGGGAAGGCGCAGGGCCCAGTCAATTTTGGTGACCTTCACTTAATTTTCAAGGTCACAGAGACACTTTGAAGATTTCAGCATATTAACCTACATGTTATGCTTGTCAGCGAGATACTTCAAGGACCATTCATTGGAGTTTCTTCATATTTGATACCAAACTTCATCCAGGGAAGGCGCAGGGCCCAGTCGATTTTGGTGACCTTCACTTAATTTTCAAGGTCACAGAGACACTTTGAAGATTTCAGCATGTTAAATTGCATGTTAAGATAGACAGCAAGATATCGCAAAAAATGTTTACTGGATTTTCTTCATATTTGACACCAAGCTTCATCTAGGGAAGGCCCAGGGCCCAGTCAATTTTGATGACCTTCACATAATTTTTAGGGTCACGACGACACTTTGAAGATTTCAGCATGTTAACCTGAATTGTCAGCAAGATATTTTAAGAACGGTTCACTGGATTTTCTTCATAGACTTTTAAGACTTCTCTTGAATGTTTTTCAATAAGCAATTTCTTTATTACTAGTTTTGCATATTTCATACACTATGACATTCATGTCAGGGTCAAAGTCAGTCTTGAAAACGTGTGTGTTTGAACAACTAAAGAGCCAGATATCAAGAGAGGTTGATCAGTCATGTTTTTGTTGACATTTAACTTCATCTTAAACTTTCATTACTTTATAAGTTTGATTTGATAATTTGCGGCGGGGGATTATGTCACCTTAGTGACAATGCTTGTTTGATTTCTCTTAATGTTATGTGAACGTTGACTCAACTACGTCCTCACCCAATGCTGTGTTAAACACGTTTTGTGTGTTCTGGGGCGGTGAAGAAGCCTAGTGGTTAAAGCGTTCGCTTGTCACGCCGAAGACCCGGGTTCGATTCCCCATCATGGTACAATGTGTGAAGCCCTTATCTAGTGTTCCCTGCCGTGATATTGCTGGAATATAGCTAAAACTGGCATAGGACCTGACTCACTCACTTATCATGTACAATTGTCCTTTTTCTGAATGGAACAATTGTTGGCCGAATAGACAATGATGTGTAAAAAATAGTAAATGTATGAAATAGAATGTTAGTTTGTTCCCTGATATTCAATCTCTATGAAGCACTCTAATAGTAATCAAGCCCAGTTCCAGACAATCCAGTGATTGATATAATGAACAAACCAAGCCATTGAGGCACAAAGTCATGAAATCAGTCATGTCTACAAGGCTGATCACCTGATGTATTTAATTGCCTTTCATGACAAGCTTGGGACTAATCCCATGTGTCTGTTTTCTTCAGTTGCCTTGACGAGTGAGAACCTTTCCATTGATTACGTCGCACCGTTGCTGGGTATCCTCCTCATGTCCATTGTGTTCATCGTCATCGCCTGTCTCCCAAGCACACTTAAGTCTGAGCACGATGAGGAGGAAGTTGTTGCTCTTGATGACAAGAACAGTGTTGTGAACATGGTCCAACCTTCGGACAATGGAATCATTTGACGTCGCTTGATACCAACCTTGAGTGTTCCAGTGCCATGTATATATGAGGGGCTAATAATTCCTCCTGGTGGTTCCAGAAGCCTTGGTGTTGGGGCAATTGAAGCAGGTTCCTGCACTTGTACATAACAGTTGGACAAAGGTGTGATCTGAACTACCTTGGTGAATGGAACAATTGGAGACAAACATTTAGTATCCATGTGGGATTCAAACAACAGGGCAAGCATTATGAGTCGAGAACCTTGTCCTTATGACCTATAGATTGTTTATGTCATCAGAAGTTGTAAAAAAACAGTGTCATTGCTACAGTGTGCCCTGGAATATTCGGTTGCCTCTTTAACGGGCAATAAGCTCACACTGTGTTAGACATTAGATATGTCAGTCTGTAGGGCTGAATACATCACAAATATATATGACTAAAGTCTTATCTGTAGTGAGTGTGATGGTGAGGAGGTGGTAGTTTATATTGTATGACATATTCATGTTCATAAGTAAATCGATGCTCATGCTGTTGAGCACTGGCTTGTCTGGTCCAGACTTGATTATTTACAGACCGCTGCCATATAGCTGGAATATTGCTGAGTGCGGAGTAAAACTAAGCTCACTCACTCATGTCCATAACTTCTTGAATGCCAATGAAACAATATACTGAGGATGTTCTGAAGATGTTTATGTTAAGTTCCCTTTCCCCAAAGCAATGTTACGTAGCGTGCTCATAAGCCAATGTTCAAGTATGGGTGTCACACTCAATTAAGTGTAAGAACCATTTTGTGGAAGGGGTCCATTGGTTGCCATGTTTTACCTACTTATTTTGGGACCAACATTTGATATCCCTTCTCTGAATATTAAATAGTTGAGCTCCTTTGTTGAAGATGTATTACATGACTCCAGCAAACCAACTACATCCTTATATACAAGATGTCTGTTATATTAAAATCCCAATCTACAGCTTTTATTTGTTAAAACAGGCCCTTCTGATTCAGCAGTTAAAGTATTAGCCAGTTGTTTTCTTGGTGTTCGGACAATTCTTTGACATGCACTAATGTTATTGTATGTACAGCGAAAAACAAAGCATTGTGATAATTAGGAAAATATGTATATATTTTCTTTATTAAAAGCAGTTGCAAGTTCCTAATGCATAATATTATATTGCATGTAACTATGTGTGCTCAGTAATATTTGTTGATATATGACAAAGGATGTTTATGTCTATGTACAGGATTAAACTTGTGCTTCACTATAGTGAAGATCAACCCTTCTATTTGTTGATATAACAACCAATGGACATATTTCAACAATATTTATGTTTTGGGATCAAAGCTGCATCATTTGTTGTGTATATTTTATTTCTGTATGCCATATGCTGCAGTGTTAACTAAATGGTGATGATTCGGCCACACTTTAATCACAATCAAAGGGTAATTTTTGTCGGGGTTTTGTGTTCAAAGATAGATGAGCAGTAATTTGTACATACTAAAAATGGTGGATTATCTTTTTGGGGTCTGTTTCTAAGACAATAAATGAAGTTTAATATATTGCATGAATTCACTTCTAATTTTTAATTACCCCTGAAAGACTCAGTGATATTCTGAAAGACTTGCTGATATCCCCCAGACTCGGTGGTATCCTGGAAGACCCTGAGGAGTTCAGTGATGTCTCAAGAGATGCAGTGATGTCCAGAAAGACTCTGTGATATCCTGGAAGACCCTGAGGAGTTCAGTGATGTCTCAAGAGATGCAGTGATGTCCAGAAAGACTCGGTGGTATCCTGGAAGACCCTGTGGAGTTCAGTGATGTCTCAAGAGATGCAGTGATGTCCAGAAAGATTTGGTGATATCCTGGAAGACCCTGTGGAGTTCAGTGATGTCTCAAGAGATGCAGTGATGTCCAGACCTTATTTTCAAGGTCACCACGACACTTTGACCACTTTTCAAACTCTTATTAATGTGATATCTCATGCACTGTTGTATCCAATGTCTTCAAATTTAGTGACAACTTACATTGGGGCATTACGCAGACACCAGTCGATTGGGGTGACCTTGACCTCATTTTCAAGGTCACCATGACACTTTGACCACTTTTCAAACTCTTGTTAACGCGATATCTCATGGACTGTTGTACCCAGTGTCTTCAAATTTGGTGACAGCCTACATTGGGGCATTACGCAGACACCAGTTGATTTGGATGACCATGACCTTTTCTTCAAGGTCACCATGACACTTTGCACACTTATAACTCTTGTTAACGCGATATCTCAGCCTACATTGGGGGATTACGCAGACACCAGTCGACTGGGGTGACCTTGACCTTATTTTCAAGGTCACCGGGACACTTACCACTTTTCAAACTCTTGTTAACGCGATATCTCATGGACTGTTGTACCCAGTGTCTTCAAATTTGGTGACAGCCTACATTGGGGCATTACGCAGACACCAGTTGATTTGGATGACCATGACCTTATCTTCAAGGTCAACATGACACTTTGCACACTTTTAACTCTTGTTAACGCGATATCTCATGGACTGTTGTACCCAGTGTCTTCAAATTTGGTGACAGCCTACATTTGGGGATTACGCAGACACCAGTCGATTGGGGTGACCTTGACCTTATTTTCAAGGTCACCGGGACACTGACCACTTTTCAAACTCTTGTTAACGCGATATCTCATGGACTGCTGTACCCAATGTCTTCAAATTTGGTGACAGCCTACATTGGGGGATTACAGACACCAGTCGATTTGGGTGACCTTGGCCTTACCTTCAAGGTCACCACAACACTTTGACCGCTTTTCAAACTTATTTAAACGCGATATCTCATGAAACATTGCACCCAATGTTTTCAAATATGTTGACAGCCTACATTAGGTGATTATGCAGACACCATTCATTTCAGGCATCTTTTATGTGACCAAAAATTAAAAAGTAGTAAATATAGATATTCCATTCTTTAGCAGCGGGGGACATTGCCATATCAGTGGCAAACACTTGTTTTCTTTGGATTGTCTGGTCTGGTTAAATCCATTTTGGGCTGGTAACATTTTGAAGTTACCAGCCCTGATGTCTGGCTGGGCTTTTGGCTTATTTCATACACTGTCTATAGAGACAGTCTAAGTAAACTTAGGCTCAGTATTATTTGTTACACTGCTGTACTGAGTCTAACAAAACCTAGTAGAATGTCGCGTCAGCTAACCTTTGAGCGACCTATGACCATCCAATCAAACGCAAGATGGCCGAACGGATTTAGCCAATCAGACGACTACTTGTTAGTGTTCAGCGGGACTTACAAAACGGTTTTTGGTCGCTGACACTGATCTATCAACAAACGAAAATCCTCATAAAACACAGATATTTGACCTGCAGTATATACGCTTATGGGTTTCTAATGACATGGTTACTGTTTGCTTATATTTTCGCAAGATGACATTCTTGAATATTGACAAAAATGCTATTTTCAGCAACTGTTTACTCATTGGATGTATCATTCGGATAGCATTCAGAATCGTTTGAGTTTTGAGGTAAATGTTTAAATGGTGTGTGCGAATGTTAACTTTCCCGATTTAGTAAGCTGTGTTCTGATTGGTCAGTCCAAAAGGTTAGCTGACGCGACCTTCTACTAGGTTTTGTTAGACTCAGTATAGCAGTGTAATGGATAATACTGAGCCTAGGTTTACTTAGCCTGTCTATGGAGACTAAATCTTTATGCTATACAGATGTAACAAGCATACACTGTGACATCTTGGTCGTGTCAAATACAGCATGTGTCTGATAAGATTGAATTTGGGATCTGGATGTCAAAAGCATACACAGGATATGCTTCTGTGAACAAGAAGCACATCTCAAGGAATAGGGGAATTGCTCACGAATACATTAAGACTGCACAAGGAATACACATATTTTCACTCACTCAATGATCATAGGGTGCGTCACACCTGGACATGTAATCTGAAGTAGCAGATACACAGTCACTGGTGTAGGACCTATCTCAAATCCATGGCTGATACTTCTGGTCTGGAATCTGTATATAGAAGTAACATATAGCAGTATAAAGTTTATGTCAGTTTTTCATAACCTGTCTGGAATCTGTATATAGAAGTAACATATAGCAGTATAAAGTTTATGTCAGTTTTTCATAACCTGTCTGGAATCTGTATATAGAAGTAACATATAGCAGTATAAAGTTTATGTCAGTTTTTCATAACCTGTCTGGAATCTGTATATAGAAGTAACATACAGCAGTATAAAGTTTATGTTAGTTTTTCATAACCTGTCTGGAATCTGTATATAGAAGTAACATATAGCAGTGTAAAGTTTTTGTCAGTTTTTCATAACCTGTCTGGAATCTGTATCAGACATTGAACAATATTTCTCCATTTTTCTCCGACCTGTCTGTGTGAGTCAGTATGGTTTTAAGCCACTTTTAGCAATATTCCAGTAATATCACAGTGGGGACACCAGAAATGGGGTTCACACATTGTACCCATGTGGGGAATCAAACCCGGGGTTTCAACGGGACGAGTAAACGCTTTAACCACGAGACTACTCCACCACCCTAAAAGCGGCTTCATTTTCCTCCCGACCAGTCTGAAATTCCTAGTTGACATAAAATGATATCTCTCCATACTGTCCCAACCTGTCTGGAATAGGTAATCAAACTCCCTGCCCCCCTAGGTAATAATAAACAAGTACACACTGGAATGTTTCAGTGTTTATTATATAGGTAACTGTATAAGTGGACGGACTGTGAAACAGCATGTAAAGTGATGTACATGACTACCGGTGCAACAACGATATCGACAACATCTACAACGACAGTGACAACCACAACAATAAGGAATATCACAGAGGAGTACATACTACATAACTATGATGACTCACGTCGTTGTTCAATGATGCATTAACAACATAATTCATGAGAAACAAATAACCATACAACTAATGTTAATACCTAATTATATAGATACTCTTTTCATGGTTGTACCTGTGTAAAAATATCAACATGCATACTATCAAAGTGAAACAAACAATTATTCTTGATATCACTTCCCTATGATTACTGGGATAATCAAGCTAAGGCTGTGGATATTTGGCTATTATACTGATGAAAAGAAATAAGGTATTAGCTTTAAACGGAGACAGTGGACATGTACCACTGGTCATGATTTGGTAATTTGCTGATCCATCAGTTTACTGGGGACCAACCAGTTTATATTTCTGAAATTCCCAACTTGTATTCTCTCTGAAAGGAGAGAACAATTTTACTTAAAGTCGCCCAGAATATAAGCAACATTAGTCAAAAAAAGTTTTTTTAGTTTAATATGTAACAAAATGTATTAAAATAAATTCCTGAAGTCCACAATTTTAAATGATTGGTCCCTAACATCCTCTGTGCCATATCAATGTTCTAATTAGGTATTTACCATGCATGAGTAAACCCTTAAAACACTGTTGTCTTATTTTATTTCATCAGTAAATGTGTAGGCAAGTATGTAGGAAATGTGTAATGCTAAGTGTCTAGTTACACAAAATCTAATACAATAAAATTACATCATAAAAAGTATTATTAATGTGAATGTATACTGTCTAATGCTGTGAATTAATTGGCTTCATTTTATCATGGAAGTTATGGTTCAGTCTTTGAAGGACTTAAAAATGTAAAAATACTTAATATATGGAACAACAATATCTGAAACATTTTTCAGTTAGTTTGGCAAATAAATTCGGGTTTTATACTTTGGAAGTACTAACTGAATATCTCCAGGTAAGTTCTCGTGAAATATATCACAGATAAATGAGCTATTTGTTAGACAACTGTCAATGTCCAGAACAGAGTACATCATAAATTTTCAAAATGTTGGCATGTGGCAAAATACTATAAATATCATAAATGTTGTATAGAATATGTTGTTTAACTACACTATAGGCAAATGGGTCTTTGGTAGGGGAGTTATAGTACAGTGTATGGAAGACTGAAAGAAACATGGAGGTATGCACTCTTCTACTTACTGTGAGAATTGACATGTCCCTACACAAGACAGCGGTCTGCAGGTGTAAGTATATACATCACCCTACACTAGACAGAGGTCTGCAGGTGTAGGTATATGCACCACCTACACAAGACAGAGGTCTGCAGGTGTGAGTATAATCACCACCCTTCACTAGACAGAGGTCTGCAGGTGTGAGTATATGCACCACCTACACTAGACAGAGGTCTGCAGGTATATGCACCACCTACATAAGACAGAGGTCTGCAGGTGTGAGTATATACATCACCCTACACTAGACAGCAGTCTGCAGGTGTAAGTATATGCACCACCTACACTAGACAGAGGTCTGCAGGTGTGAGTATATGCACCATCCTTCACTAGACAGAGGTCTGCAGGTGTGAGTATATGCACCACCTACACAAGACAGCGGTCTGCAGGTGTGAGTATATGCACCACCTACACAAGACAGAGGTCTGCAGGTGTGAGTATAATCACCACCCTTCACAAGACAGCGGTCTGCAGGTGTAAGTATATACATCACCCTACACTAGACAGAGGTCTGCAGGTGTAGGTATATGCACCACCTACATAAGACAGAGGTCTGCAGGTGTGAGTATATACATCACCCTACAATAGACAGCAGTCTGCAGGTGTAAGTATATGCACCACCTACACTAGACAGAGGTCTGCAGGTGTGAGTATATGCACCATCCTTCACTAGACAGAGGTCTGCAGGTGTGAGTATATGCACCACCTACACAAGACAGCGGTCTGCAGGTGTGAGTATATGCACCACCTACACAAGACAGCAGTCTGCAGGTGTGAGTATATGCACCACCTACACAAGACAGCAGTCTGCAGGTGTGAGTATATGCACCACCCTTCACTAGACAGAGGTCTGCAGGTGTGAGTATATGCACCACCTACACAAGACAGAGGTCTGCAGGTGTGAGTATATGCACCACCCTTCACTAGACAGAGGTCTGCAGGTGTGAGTATATGCACCACCTACACAAGACAGAGGTCTGCAGGTGTGAGTATAATCACCACCCTTCACTAGACAGAGGTCTGCAGGTGTGAGTATATGCACCACCTTCACTAGACAGAGGTCTGCAGGTGTGAGTATATGCACCACCTTCACTAGACAGCGGTCTGCAGGTGTGAGTATATGCACCACCCTTCACTAGACAGGTCTGCAGGTGCGAGTATATGCACCACCCTTCACTAGACAGAGGTCTGCAGGTGTGAGTATATACATCACCCTACACTAGACAGAGGTCTGCAGGTGTGAGTATATGCACCACCCTTCATGAGACAGCCTCAACATGGCTGGTCCTGAGTGGCACTTAAGGTATCTGTTTATATCACAGGAGAGATGTCTTCGGAAGCTGGGAGCTGCGGCTGGGGCGAGGGACCTTTACTAAAATTGGGACTCCGTAAATACTGTTCCTTAACAGCGTTAGGTGTTTTCTACTCTGTATTAGGCTGGGGCTCTCACACTGTGATATGCAAGGACAGTGACATGAAGAAATTCACAATTGTTGGAACAGAATTCACGGGATTAGTGTTTAATATTGAATTGCTACACTGTACATAGTGAGTGTCCCATTGATGTAGCCTGAGGTTTGCATGTGCAGACAGATATTATTAGAATCTGGTATGGGGAGGGTTGATGGGGCTGTGTATGAGGGGAGGCTTGACACGAAGTGTATGCATGTAGGTTGATGGGAGTAAGGCCTTGAGAACACAAATGATTTAAGGACAACACAGACATATATAACTCCACTTTTGATAGGGATATTATCATCTTTCCATGATACACAAACTGATTCTCGTAATATATAAAGTGTATATTTAATTAGAATGAGCGGATAATCCCTATCAAAAGTTGAGTAGGTTATATAAGTACACAATGACATATACCATCAAGTAGAGTATCACACGTCTCACTGAGTCTTGTATTTCTCCACACAGAAACAATAAGTATAACTAACCAAAGTCATTAACATATGAAATAAATGAAACAGGCTTGGCACTACTAGATAACACTATATATGCATGACTAAATGCTACAGACTTGTAATATCAACAATAGATCCATCCCTGCTAGAAGCACCTAGAAACAACCATTAGCCAACTCATTCGTTGCTACAATGTTACACCTATTGAAAGGTATAATACGTATTACCCGGTGTATATTCTACATATCACAGATAAACAACAAACAACTGTCTCTAGAACAACAGTTACAGTGACAAAACAGCCTATAGTATTCATGTATCAGTGTAACGAAGTGAATCAACAAGTGAAGGCCCTGTCATAACAATGATATTGCAATACGTGTCACTTGTTGATGTTGTATATGCCATACTGAAATAGATTATACATGTATATCACAGTATATCATGAATCACATATGATTATAGCACTTTCAAAATATATGCTTTTGTGTAGCTATATGTATAACAGTTTCACATAACAAATATATACTTCTGATAACAACAGATAGACTGAGTGTTTGCTTCAAGAACATGAAAGAAATTGTATCCATTTTCAGTAATGTGTTTGATTCAACAAATACACATGAATTCAAATCAGTTTTTGTGCGATTGTTAGGTGGATATGGGTGGGGCACCTGCCATCATGTTATGTGTCAGCTGACCACTGGTCCTTGTGGAGGGGCATTGCACAAGATCTCACGTGTCCGTTAAACGCGATTGTTGTGGCCAAAGTACAGAAGCTTGGACGAAGTGTCTTCTTGATGAAGCTTAGATGACTGGAACTCCCTGATGAAGAGCTTGCTGTAGAATCTACCTGCCACCGCGGTGTGATTTAGAGACAGGGATTTCTACCTCTGTCAGTTGGTCATCCTTGTCCTCGTCTATCCACCTGGAACATCAACACAGCATACAGAACTCAGAGTATCAGTAATAACTGTCAGTAGCCCATGGTGGTGATGATAACTTTGTCTCTGATACTTAACCATCCAGAGATTTATCAAGGACTATAAGTTACTTGCCTGTAGAAGGTATATTCAGTTTGGTGAAAGGTCTCATGTCCATTCATACTGGCAGTGATGTTTCTCACATTAGCATTGCCCCCGCTTACATTAGTGTTGGTATTCTCACATTAGCATTGCCCCCACTTACATTAGTGTTGGTATTCTCACATTAGCATTGCCCCCACTCACATTGCTGTTGTTATTATCTAACATTAGCATTGCCCCCGCTTACATTAGTGTTGTTATTCTGACATTAGCATTGCCCCCGCCTACATTACTGTTGTTATTCTCACATTAGCATTGCCCCCACTCACATTGCTGTTGTTATTCTCACATTAGCATTGCCCCCACTCACATTGCTGTTGTTATTATCTCACATTGCTGTTGTTATCCTCACATTAGCATTGCCCCCACTCATATTGCTGTTGTTATTATCTCACATTAGCATTGCCCCTACTTACATTGCTGTTGTTTATATCTCACATTGCTGTTGTTATTCTCACATTAGCATTGCCCCCACTCACATTGCTGTTGTTATTCTCACATTAGCATTGCCCCTACTTACATTGCTGTTGTTATTATCTCACATTGCTGTTGTTATTATCTCGCATGAGCATTGTCTTTAAGAATCCTTGTTCACATCTGGCAATTCATGCATGTACCTGCTTGCTACCTCCAACTGCATGTGAACTATGGCAGCTTCAGGAAAATTAAGGGAGCAGTTGGGTAGCCTAATGGTTTAACTGTTAACTCATCATACCAAAGTACTGGGTTTGATTCTCCAAATAGGTACAATGAAGTCTATTTCTGGTATCCCTGACATACTCACTCACGATGCTGAGACTACTGGGGTCTGATCGTACTTACTTTCCATATGGGAAGACAAACTGTTCCTTGTTGTTGATCTTGACAGTGACGGAGTCAAGCTTCCATCCTGCTCCAGCCCCACTGCCATCATGGCCGACAACCACCTTCTCCAGACGTCCAAGGTCCACCGCCTCCAACTGGAACGTGTCCACCTGGGATATGCGAAGCAACAGTGATGATACAGCAATAACAGCAACTCTGTTATTTCAAAACTGATTGGGGAAGTTCCCCGTTAATAACCAAATCAAACAGAGCTCCAGATAAGAATTAGGTCATGTGGGTACTGTACCCACTGCATTTTTTTGGAGTGGGTATTATGAATGTTGAGTGGGTATTTCATTTTCCGTTACCCACTGCTTTCAAATATGTGCGTATTTCAGTCATTTCACTAACCTAAGTATTACGTCATTGAGTAAGTTTACTAAGCAGGTATGTTCTGCCTCATGTCATACCTAATCAAAACCAACTTAAATATAATGGAAATGATTTCATAATAAATCACTCATCCTATACTGACAAAAATACAATACTTGTCCTATATTAACAGTACAACTTGATAGCAATCGATGTCTTTTTCATTACGCAAGCGATTTTTATAAATATACTCTGTACGCATTTGTTTTAAACTTTTTGCGTATCTAACATTTTAAATGCGTAAATGGTACGCAACAGTTATTTTTACAATGCGTAATTGGAAATTTTCTTTGCGTATTTTACCCGGATTTTCTGGGTCTCTGATCAAAGATATTGTTATGTAAGTGAGTGAGAAAAAAGACGATCCCAATAAGTCATCTTTCTAATGGTTAAAACACTGTTTACATCAGGCCCTGACACGTGAGTAACTCACCGATCCTGTTTCAAACTTGTTTTTGTCTTCCAGACTATTCCTAAGAAATCTTTTCCCAGAGTCCCCTTTACTTCCAAAGAGGTTAATGTAGACACTGGCATCAGTGCCAGAACCCCAGTCTGTGGCTGTCGTCGTCTGGACAACGTACTTGTACACTGGAGAATAGGGAAGAAACAGAAGTGATATCTATGACACCAGGATCTCTAGGACATGGGTTGGACTTATTGCCCTGCCTTTTCACTCCAAAATGACACAACACTGCACAATATACAATGGCATTTTGTTCTTCTCACTTGGTACCATGCCAAATGATGTTTGTTTAGGAAAGCTAACCAAGTACTTTCAACATTTGTATGTAAGATGGTGTCTTCGTTCCTGGTACCCTTGCCAAATATTCATATACAAGAAAAACATTGCTCACAATGTAATTATTATCATTATTATACATTCACATACCGCACGCAACCAGAAACTAGTATCTGCTCTAACACGGTTTATTGGGTATCTGACTAGCAGATCTGTATGCTTTCCTATTATCATTCTGAACTCCCTGGGGAATATGCAACCATTCAGGATTGTGCTCTTGCCCTTTTTAGACCTGACCTTTTTTGAACATGCCATTGGCATTTTTCAATATTGATTTCATGTAAGTTCAGTTACATAGGAAACAGATTGTGTCAAATGATTGTGCTAATTAAATGATCTTCTCATGATGCCTTATAAGGACTTTTTAAACAATTCTTGGAAGATACAAGTCAATCAGGAGAAGTTTGCAAGGAAACTAAACCAAAATATCAAATTTACATTGACCTCTACAATATTTTGCCTCTCTAAGTCAACAATCAAGGTGTTATCTCTCACCTGCTTCTGGGGTTTTCTTTGGCCAGTGAGCTGGTACCTCTACAGCGATGTCCCCATGGTTTTCCGAGAAGGACAGCCAGCGGTTGATTGGGAACTCCAGACGCTCATCTCGGACCCTGTCAATCAGCACGACCTGCCCCAACACCAATGTCAATTGTATACAAAAAGAACTTTCGGGGAGCGTATTCCAAAGTAGCTGTCTTGTCAAATGATAAAGCAATGTTCCAGCAACATTGTAGCATTTCACACACAGCATTTATATCAGGGATAAAACCTTCGTCTTCAGCATGATGCATGAATACTTTTACTCCTGGGCGAACCCAATGGCTGTTTATGAGTGAGTGAGTGAGTGAGAGCAAGCGGGCGAGCGAGCTACAAATATTCGCCACACCCAGCAATGTCCCAGCTATGTGGCGGCGGTCTGTATATAATTGAGTCTGGACAATCCAGTGATCAGCATGATCATTGATGTACACAATTGGGAACCGATGACATGTGTCAACCAAGTCAGCGAGCCTGACCACCTGATCCCGCTAGTCGCCTCTTGCGACAAGCATGGGTTACTGAAGATCACTTATTACCCGGATCTTCACTTGTAAATCTTTATGAAAGAGAGCAGGAAAGAAAGAAAGAGACTGATACCTAATCTGTGGGTTTGAGCTCTAGAGATACACTCCTTTTGGAGTTTCATACCTGTTTGACTCTCCAGCCTGCTGCCATCCCACTGTCATCGTGACGTAGACGGATTTTTCTTATCTTCCCAATCTTATTGGGGTCCAGCCAGATCTGATGATAAAGACTTAAGGTAGTCATATTTCATCTTGAATCATCAAAATGTGGCAAATATAATCACCAACAATTAAGTATATGTAGTGAATTATCATAGTAACCAATTTGGTCTACATGGTGTAAGATATGACACACATAATAATGAGGTAAAACAAACAAAAACAAACAAAATTTAGGATTGTCGTCCAGCTCACGGGAAGCACCTGAACCCTGTTGTCAGTGTATACAACATATAACGTATCTCCCTAGTCGGGTAACTGTGCTGAGGATGATATAGACTTTACTTCCACTACTGCCGTACAAGGTGTGTAAGGGTTACTTCCTGTGAGGGGACCAAAGTAATTAGAAAGTTTTTTATTGCATAAAGAAGTAGAAGCCCAGTTCATCACATTTCTCATGAACTCTTCTTGTGCCACTAAGAAGTCAAACGTTCTGGTCCAGTAAGATATGACTAAGTTCTACATGAATTACCATGGCCTCATTCCGTAAAGTGATCTTAGTGAGGAGCAAATTGTTACTCCATACAGTTTAACATAGACTTTTTGACAGTCATAGCACAAAGACTGGTCCGGCCCCAGGGTTGAGGAAACTATCCTGAAATAAGTAACTTTGATTCTAGTATGAACACACTGAGTGGACGTACATCGAAGTGGTCAGTCCTGCTGACGTGGAAGTGACCCTGAAGCCTCTCCTCATCTGACCTTCCTCTGTCGCCATAGACTGTGAGGAAAACACGGGCATCTGTAGCACTGTCGTCCTCGTCGCCTGTCGTCACCAGCACCTGCCAGTCACCAGCTGGGGAGACAGAAACTTATCAGTGGATAACCCACTTTGTGTTTAAACCAGTAACAGTTTACTAGAGTCAGTAAGATATCAGCTCTGATGGATATACTGTGATCTAATATGATGATTAGGTTTCATACTGCAATCTGTGGTAATAACTTGGAACTTGGTCTACTAGACCATACATTATGATTATCTATTATTATATTATTTATAACTATTTTCCAAAGTATTCATAAGGGCTATTATCCTCTCATCAATACATGATGTCTCTCAGAAAATTGTTGAAAGTAACAAATGTTATGTTTTCTGGGTTTATCAAGAAATGAGTAAAGTACAAATTCTTGTGCATTTTTGGGTTGAATCCATTCACTCTCAGAGTGAGGAACCAAATCGCATGCACACGTTATCTTAATTTTTTGTTTCACCCGTCCAGGCTGGCTAGCTGTAACATTAGACTGTCCGGCAGAAATCTAGCCCGTCTCGGGCGGTCGGACGGGCCTTTTTTCATTCACTGCTTATGGTGGATGGTAATGGAAACATTGATGATGCTGGGCTTAGAAAAGTCAATACCGAGCAGACATATTTGTCCATGATCCCCTGTGTCAGCTATTGGATTCAACAAGTATCAGATTCACGGTGGTAACGTATTGTAACTCTCCAGGATGGTGTTTTGAAAATGGTGGTCGTACCTTTTGGTTTCTTGGCTTTGATTGTTTCTGACATTGGCAGTACTCTTTCCAGGGCCTTGTCGTCCTGCCCCTCGTCCAGCCATCTGTAACACCATCATATCCCGACTTCAGAACAACATCAACACAATCACTCCGTTTAATTCACATCAACATCAACATCATCATCACATAACCGACTTTAAAACAACACCCGAATGCCCAGATCACTACAACATCGCATTCCTGCAACATCGCATCCCTGCAACACTGGCATCAAAATGCAACATAGCATCCCTGCAACATTGGCATCCCTGCAAAATTGGCATCACAATGCAACATTGGTATCACAATGCAACATTGGCATCACAATGCAAGATTGGCATCCCTGCAACATTGCATCCCTGCAACATTGTCATCCCTGCAACATTGGCATCACAATGCAACATTGGCATCACAATGCAACATTGGCATCACAATGAAACATCACATCCCTGCAACATTGGCATCACAATGCAACACTGCATTCTTGACTTCAGATCATGAGTGTCATTGCAACATCGTATCAATGACACAACACTGATCACAACATTACATCCCTGATGTTACATAATGTGTGGATGTACATTGACGTACATTATTACCCAAAGGGTCTGACAGTTTACATTGTTCAGATCTTACAGTGATGTAGGTCTGAATGCCATCATTCTTTAATGTTATAGTTGAATATATTAGATGCCATTTGACAAATATGCTCTTAAAACCCAGCTTCAATTAATCATGCATCCATCTCAGCTGAGCTCAAAATAATGAAGAAATAATTGGTAAAAAGAGAAATTATTACCCTCACAAGTTTCATGAAGATTTGACAAAACCTGAGGAAGAATTCAAGCATTAGTCTCACTATGATTTGGTGGAACAAATGACAATTTGGACATGTTTGTGAAATCAGGATGACACACATGCTTGTATACTGATCTCTACACACAGGTTGTCCCCACCTGGCACACTTGAAGACGTATTTATCGTTGCCCTCCTGGGGGACTTCTATAACAACTTTATCCAGGAACCATCCTGAACCGGCGTCATAACCATCATGGCTGACCTTCACCTTCTTCAGCTTGCCTAATTCCACAGCCTCGATCTCAAACAGATCGCACTGAAATATGAAGTTAACAATGGTTGAAAAGTCACACAGCTCTTGTAATCATTCTGTTTATTTCATTGCCAATTTATTATCATACAGAAAACAGTTACAGAGTTACAAGACTCAATATCTTTAACAAATGTTTCCATATTGTCTGTGTAGTGGTGGAACAGAATTTCTTTCTTGTTATTTTTTGAAAGGCAATTGGGTAGATAAATGAAGCTCGCAGCAATAACTTCACATGAAACATATCATAGGATATACAGCAGAGATGTTGAAAGTGGTGGACATTTCATTGACTCTATCATTAGTAAGGACATGCATAGGTGAGTATAAAATCATTGTGGTGATTTCCCTTCCATGGGCATAAGAGAAGGTATATTTCTGTATTAAAGTTACATGATACAAGGTGTCTGGAAATATACTGAGAGAAACAGATAATCACAGGAAAATTCAAGCATTCCTTTATTATTTTCCAGTTTTCATCACCACAGCTCTATTCAAAGTGGGTGATGAAAACTGGAAAATATTAAAGGAACCCTTGAATTTTCTTGTGATCCTTTATTTGTTTTTCTAAGTATATTCGTAGGACACAGATCTGTGGCGAGTTTCCTAATCCATGGCAGGTTTGATTGTTCGATTGTTACATGGCCTTATGATCGTGCAATGACGTCATTACACGATGACGTCATAATCGCTAACTGTTCCCAACATTATTCAACCCTAGCCGTTCGTGGCGATAGTAATCTCAGGAAAATCTTCAAAGCTAAGAAAATGGAAACCATAGAAAATGATGGTGTTGCAATTGCAGAGCCACCTACAAAGAAGAAGAAGATATTTTTACACGTTATTCACTCTTTTGTCTTTCTTCATGTATTGTTGAATATTAAAAGGAAAGCAAATGTAAGCGATAATTAGCATGGCCTAAATCTTCGAAGCTCTCTCAGTTCTATGATAGTCGTAAAAACATTAGCAATATTGAAAGATGATCTGAGCGCTAACAGAGCTTCGAAAATCTAGGCCCAGGGGTATCAGTAAGTTAGAAACACATAAATGAAATGCCATTAACCCCTATTCTACTGAGCTGAAATGTTCTAATGACAATGAGTAGGAAATCCGCCACAGATTAGGGTAGGTACGGCAACTAGCCATGGATTTGAAAATCTGCCATGGATTTAGAAATCCGCCACGGATTTGAGGCCTGCCATGGATCCGAGTCCTACATATTTAAACAACATTAATTTCAAACTCTAACTGCAAAAAGACCCACATCATGCCACTATGCCTACTCTCATCCACCACAGTACTTACATTGCCTTGTTCAAACTTGTTGGCATTGGTGTAAGACCCATGGAGATGTCTGGTGCCAGTGTCACCTCTGTCGCCATATATCTGTATGTAGACATTGGCGTCGGTGCCTGCATACTTCACATCGCCAGTAAACACCTCAACATGGTACTTGTACACTGATGACAAAAATAATTTATTGAATGTCTGGATGGGAGAACATTGGAAATTGTAGGAGGCTAGGAAAGTTTGTGTGTTGGTCCTGTCAGTCACCAATGAACTGATATGAGGTTGATAAGAAGCTTTGTTTAGTGTGGTTTTGCTAGCTCAAGTGAACTTTCAAAGGTCGTATTTCATGAACAATCAAGCAATGATGAATTTTAAGTGCACATGCTGTTCATCGAGTGAGTGAATGAGTTTAATTTTACGCCGCACTCAGCAATATTCCTGCTATATGGCGGCAGTCAGTAAATAATTGAGTCTGGACCAGACAATCCAGTGATCAACAGCGTGAGCATTGATCTACACAATTGGGACACGATGACATGTGTCAACACAGTCAGCGAGCCTGACCACCCAATGCCGTGCTGTTCATCGAGAGGTCTTATGGTAATGTCAGAGAATACAGAGTAATCACTGTATCTACATGTTCTGTACATAATGTGCTTGATAAAGCAAGTTAAGACTAGGGCTTTAAACAGTGGGAAACATTAGGGGGCAAACTCTTTATTCAGGTTGCATATAATCAAGTCACAGCTAGAATTTCATTTCTTGCAAGTGCCAATAGGTGCAAGATTTTGTTTTGCTCAAAAACATTATTTTCTGGACATTTGGAAAGACCAAACCAACTATCTCAAACATCAGGAAATATTTGTCAATATTTTGGGAACATATTAAATAAAGTATCAGGATATCTTCCCCTAATCGATATATCAAATGAATGGTAGCTATACTTGTGAACACGGATATGTTATAGATCTACCCTGCAACATCTTGTCCTCGTCCTTGTTGTATACGGGTAGCTCCAGTACACAGTCTTCATAGTCCGTCACCCGCACCCACTTCCGACTCTCGAACATGTACTCCTTCCTTGTCTTGTTGTTCATCACCACCACCTGTGTGGGGGAAGAGGAAATCACAGCTTGTGTTGTACTTCCAAACATTATTGCTACCAACTTCCTCTAAAGCAGACACACATTGCTACAAACCCTGATCAAGAGTGAGCAACTCTCTTTTTGAAGAATATTTACACAATCTAACTCTTCAAAAACACATACAGCTTGCAGTTTTGGATGAGTAATCTGGGTACTTATGTACTCAGATTGAGTGGATCCTGAGAAGGACCCGTTTGCAGACAGGACCAACCAGACCTGAGGTTAGTCACATGATATGTCATTTAATGAAAATATCTATAAATCTCCATGGTTACACTGTTGCTACAGCTCACTTTAGTTTCTGACTGTGCATGCATTTCTTCTGACTTTCCTATGTTTGAGAAAAGACAAACGCTTCAGTCAACTTCAGTATATGCATCATCAAATAGTTTTATATCTGTAGCTAAAATGTTTTGGCTCCAAGAAAAATTCCTGCTCAGGTATTTTGTACCCATCTCGTGAGATGTACAGCGGATACCTGGGTAAGGTAAAGAAATATGAAACTCCCAGCCCTAATGACCAGATAATTTGGAGAAATATTTTAAGAAGCAATTAACTAATATCATTTCTGGCTCCTGAATGTAACTGAACTCTTAGCACCGATCTGGAATTTTTTGTTTGTTTATGTTAAAGGTAACATCCCCTTCCTGACCACTTCTCCAAAATGTTGTCTTTGTATCTGGTCAGGGGAGATAAACTTTGGATGAAAGTGACCTATCCTGCCCTAGTTTCCCCAAGGGGAGATAAGCATGGGATACAAGTGACCTACTTTGCCCTGGTAAATTACGAATAGATCCTGCCAGTGTAACTTACAGTATCTGGGAGCCAGGACGGACAAGAGCTGAAGTCAGAGTACCACTTCTGTTGCCGATCTGCTGCCCCGTCAAACGCCAGTCGCACCTTGTACACCTCACCCACGTCTCGACTCACTCGTACCTGAGACAGAAGAATATGGTGAGGGACATGTTAACACTACCTACACAGCACTATCTTATATATCACAACACAACTGTACCAATGAAAATCAAAGAAAGAAACCAAACTATGACATAATGTCCACTATTTAAACAGAAATAGATACACACATTATGGACAAGATATATCGAAATAAAGTTAGCATTGAAACAATTAAAACCTGACATGTTTTGAAAGGAACTAAACAGAGTAAATCATGCAGATTGCAACAAACAGTGTGTTTGTATTTGTATCTCCACTGAATATGGAAGCTCCTCACATCAAACTTGTCCTTTGATCCTGGTCTGAACTCGAAGTCATCTTGCTCCCCAATGATGATTGGTTCACTGTGACCTTTGTCCCCATACAGTACAAGGGTGACAGCATTCCCTGTGCCGTCCTCCCTGTTAGCACCAGTCGTTGTCCAAACTGTCCATGGGTCACCTGGAAAGATGAAACACTACATTAGTGGGAAAGAGAAGGAGAGCATAACATTGCCTAAAATTCTCGTCAACACTTATATAATTCTGCTCTAAAGGGGAGATAAGCAAGGAATACATGTGACCTATTTTGTCCTGGATTCCCAAAGGGGAGGTAAGCATTGGATGAAAGCAACCTATCCTGTGCTGGATTCCCAAAGGGGACATAAGCATGGGATGAAAGCGACCTATTTTGCCCTGTATTCCCAAAATTGAGATAAGCATGGGATGAAAGCGACTTATTTTGCAGGGGAGATAAGCATGGGATACAAGTGACCCATTTTGCCCAAGACTCAACAAGGGGAGATAAGCATGGGATAAAAATTTTGGGACCTATTTTGACCTTGATTACCCACAGGGAGACAAACGTGAAAAATGTGACCTATTTTGCCCTGGATTCCTCGAGGGGAAAGAAATATGGTACATAGGAGATGTTATGCCCTAAAGTAAGACCCACATCAGACACAAGGAACCTATTCTACGCTGGATTCGATAACTTTTTGCACCACTGATTCCGAAAAGGCAAACAAGCAGACAAGGGCCAATATTGCATGTGGGCTACACACCTGTGGGTGAGTGAGGTTTAGGGGAAGGTGTCTTCTCCTTGGAACGTGAGGCAGCGCGTGGAGGTGCATCAACTACTGGCCCCGAGTGTGGCACCAGGGCCCTCTCTATTGCATGATCATCCTGCCCCTGGTCCAACCATCTGAAACAACATGGTTCACACCGTTTAATAAACAAATAAACATGAGCGAGTGAGTTTAATTGTACATCGTTTTTAGCAATATTCGAGCAATATCACGGCAGGGGACACTAGAAATGTGCTTCACACATTGTACCTATGTGGGGAATCGAACCCAGGTCTTTGGCATGATGAGCAAACCCTTTAACCACTAGACTACCCCACCACCCCAAGTAAATGTGAAGTTTTTAGAGTCCAAACACTGATTTTATACTGATACTGACTCATACAAATTCCTCATTCTTCTGAAATGTAGTAGAAACTTCCTGTGCTGTATTTCCCCAAGAATAGTAAAACATCTCCCTGAAACATACCCCTCCCCCATGCAGGAGCATCTGAACCACATAAGCAATCCAGTTGAATAGTCACGCTCTCCATTCTTGCCAAACGAATTGGTAGGGGAATATTAAACTAGATCACAACATGAATATAACTATAGGTACCTCTATGCCATATCTGCACCTCTTTCAATGCCACCCTTCTTTCAGCAAAAAGTATCAATTTTGACTGTGGACGTTTTTTTCTGATGTTCTTTTCATGGCAATTACAAATTTGAGATTATATTCATCATGGTAACTTACCTGTTACATACGAACACATATTCCCTGTTTGTTTCCGTTGTCTCCTTGACAACCACCTTCTTCAGGTATACACCCCTACCTACAACACAGTCAGGTAAGCTCAAACATCTTACTGAACATGAACTACAGTGCAGATAACTAATTTTTAAAAATCGCAAACATGGAAAAACTAAAACGGAAATTCTGTGTCTTCCAAACTAACCCTTCTCCCTGTACGAGTGTCCGACAATGACACGCTCGATGTCCAACACTGATACTGCCTCTATCTGGAACTCGTCTGTCTGGTTTGGCTGGAAGGTCTTGGCATTATTGAGAGAACGCTTGAGGGATCTGTGGCCAGTGCTTCCTGCTTCACCGAATATCTCCACGTACAGCTGCAGCCCCGAGCCAGGCTTGGGAACATCTCCCAGGTGAACAGAGACTTGATACTTGACCACTGCAACAGAGGAGGAGCATGCATTTAAATACACTACAGTTATATCATTATCCCTATCAAAGGTCAGTAATTCTCCTAAATTACGAGGGGCGGTGGTGTAGGCTAATGGTTAATGTGTTCACTTGTCATGCCAAAGACCCGGGTTCGAATCCCTACATGGGTACAATGTGTGAAGCCCATTTCTGGTGTCGCCCGCCGTGATATTGCTAAAAGCGGCATAAAACTAAACTCACTCACTCCTAAATTACTAACAGCCTATTAAATAATCCTTGGGGTAAGGAGTTGGAGAAGAGAGATGAGACAAGAATGATCATTTGAGACAGGATATGTTCTCTCTCACTCTCCCAATGTGGTTGTGGCAGTATTTAAAACACTTGTTTGTCATTTAGAAGTCAATACTGCATGACTCCGATCCATGTCCCCTCCACAACTCACCTGGTAAGATCTTTACAGCAGGCCATACCACTGGGAATTCTCTCCAGCCATCTTGGTTGTCGTCAACGGCAACCCAACTGTCAAGGTTGTATGAAAAACAGTCCCTAGTGTCCTCGTCCTCAAAGCGGATCTGGAGCAGTGGATTTGAATTAAACAACCAGAAAACTAAAACTTCATTCATCAGAAATATTTTGTAATCATGAATTGCATACCAAACTCACAAAACTATACTCATATATGATGAAAACTGAGCTCTCAAAGAAACTAAACAATTACCTCTTTCAAGTTCCACGCTTTCTCACGATCGTTGTCACGGAAACCAATTCGTACTTTTGTCATTTCGCCAATATCTTCGGCCAGTTTCACCTGCAGCAGAATGAACATATGATGATGGCTCATACAGTTAAAATGTATCACAAACTGTGAAAAATTTCTGTCTCATTTGTCTCCCAAAAAGAGATGCAATACAAACCAGTTTATTTGTTGTAATTTGTTCTTGTTAGGTAAGGATAAAATATGTGAGGAACCGAAGTGTATGTACAAAACAATGTCAGGATTAGTTGTCAAGATGACATATTTCTCCACAAAAGGGCACAGCTGATGTCTTCTGATGATCATCGAGATCTGACAGAAGTTGGTCCCACTCACTTGACAGAGATCGGCCACAACACTCACTTGACAGAGATCGGCCACAACACTCACCTGACAGAGATCTGCCACAACACTCACTTGACAGAGATCAGCCACAACACTCACCTGACAGAGATCGGCCACAACACTTACCTGACAGAGATCGGTCACAACACTCACCTGACAGAGATCGGCCACAACGCTCACCTGACTAAGATCAGCAATTACACTCACCTGACAAAGATCGGACACAACACTCACCTGACAGAGACCGGACACAACACTTACCTGACAGAGATCGAACACAACACTCACCTGACAGAGATCGGCCACAACACTCACCTGACAAAGATCGGCCACAACACTCACCTGACAGAGATCGGCCACAACACTCACCTGACAGAGACTGGACACAACACTCATCTGACAGAAATCGGACACAACACCCACCTGACAGAGATCGGACACAACACTCACCTGACAGAGATCGACTACAACACTTGCCTGACAGAGATCGGCCACAACACTCACCTGACAGAGATCGGACACAACACTCACCTGACAGAGATCGGCCACAACACTCACCTGACAGAGATCGGCCACAACACTCACCTGACAGAGATCGGCTACAACACTTACCTGACAGAGACCGGACACAACACTCATCTGACAGAGCTCGGACACAACACTCACCTGACAGAGACCGGACACAACATTCATCTGACAGAGATCGGCTACAACACTCACCTGACAGAGACCGGACACAACACTCATCTGACAGAGATCGGACACAACACTCACCTGACAGAGATCGGCTACAACACTTACCTGACAGAGACCGGACACAACACTCATCTGACAGAGATCGGCTACAACACTTACCTGACAGAGACCGGACACAACACTCATCTGACAGAAATCGGACACAACACTCACCTGACAGAGATCGGACACAACACTTACCTGACAGAGATCGGACACAACACTCACCTGACAGAGATCGGCCACAACGCTCACCTGACTAAGATCGGCAATTACACTCACCTGACAAAGATCGGACACAACACTTACCTGACAGAGATCGAACACAACACTCACCTGACAGAGATCGGACTCAACACTCACCTGACAAAGATCGGCCACAACACTCACCTGACAGAGATCGGACACAACGCTCACCTGACAGAGATCGGCCACAACACTCACCTGACAGAGATTGGCCACAACACTCACCTGACAGAGATCGGCCTCAACACTCACCTGACAGAGATCGGACACAACACTCACCTGACAGAGATCGGACACAACACTCACCTGTCAGAGATCGGACACAACACTCATCTGACAGAGATCGGACACAACACTCACCTGACAGAGATCGGACACAACACTCACCTGACAGAGATCGGTTACAACACTCACCTGACAGAGTTCGGACACAACACTCACCTGACAGAGATCGGACACAACACTCACCTGACAGAGATCGGACACAACACTCACCTGACAGAGATCGGACACAACACTCACCTGACAGAGATCGGTCTGGCGGGGCTGGAAGGGTTTGCTCCTGGAAGACTTGAGTGACAGTAGTGAACTCTCCCCTCTCTCCCCACCAAGCACCACCACCAGATCGGACACATTGCCCCTTGTTCCACCTTCACCGGTCACTGCCTCTATCTTCCACTGACCCCCTGGGCACACAGTGAAGACATCAAGGATTAGGAACTCATGACAACAAGTGGCAAATGTATTGTATCAGGATAAGTAAGTGAGTGCAGCTGCAAATCCATTGGATTTGGCCCAGACAAACCAGGTTTAGTAGCACAAGAAGCTATCAAACTGTCGAGATGGGGGAAAATTCAGTCAGATTCTTGGTGATAAATCCAGGGATTAGAAATGAACAGTAGTTACTGTGGTTACATCATACTAAATTTTGAGCTATTCTTTAAGCCTTTAAGACCAATATTGAGTACAAAACTCATGTTTTGTCCTTTACATGCTGATGCACTCTACACTAGACCAACAATAATACATAGCATACCACTTTGTCACCAGTAACAAAACGTTAAACAAAGGGTTGTACCAAACCATTTGGCTATAACCAAGTGTTCAGGCACTTCAGTTTTAGAGCTTCTTTGAGTGGCATTTAGAAGTTGGTGTGAAGAACAGGGAGAGTTTTAGGGATATACAACTTCTTTATTTATTGATGTATGCAACGTCTCAGTGTAGATGCTAACACCATTATCAAGTAAGTGTTCTTCAGTTTCAGAGATTTATTTGACATTGACATGATGTACAAAGTGTTGACTGCAGACACAGTGACAGCAACAATAGCTGTCCACATGGGACTGTCTGTATCCTGTAGCATTCTCATAATAAGTAATTCTCACACCTACCAAGAACCAAAGTGGTAAGACTCACGTGACACTGGAAGATCGTCAGCAGATTCAGGAGGCAAGGCCACTGCCCTTGGTCTTGTGCCACTCAAGGTCAAGGTCTCATCAACCTCCAGTGACTTGCTCCTATCACTTCCTAGCCACCTGGAACGGAAACAACCAAACTAGGTTATTTGTGGATTAATACTGGTAACATCAAAGCATCATTCAACAAAAACTTTATTGCCTATCATTATGGGAGTAATCTCTTAATTCCTACCTGTCAGCGTCAAACACCCTCTGAGTGTTGTCAAATGGCCCTGCCTTGATGATGATCTTGTCCAGATGCCAAGGATTGCCTGGACCCTTGGTGACCTTCACCCTGTCTATCTCCCCAAGGTCAACCGCACTCACAATGAAGGCATCCACCTGAGTTACGGAAAATATACAACTCAAGAGAAGTTAGAGAACACGGTTTCTTTCATGGTATTATAGTTAATCTGTGATAGATGACTGACTGTACTGTACACAGTACTCTTACTACCTGTCACAACTGCTCAGGAAGACCTCCGAATGTACTCTGACTACCTGTCACAACTGTGCAGGAAGACCTCTGATTGTACTCTACGTGTCACAACTGTTCAGGAAGACCTCCGAATGTACTCTGACTACCTGTCACAACTGTGCAGGAAGACCTCTGATTGTACTCTCCGTGTCACAACTGCTCAGGAAGACCTCCGAATGTACTCTTACTACCTGTCACAACTGCTCAGGAAGACCTCCGAATGTACTCTGACTACCTGTCACACCTGTGCAGGAAGACCTCTGATTGTACTCTACGTGTCACAACTGTTCAGGAAGACCTCCGAATGTACTCTGACTACCTGTCACACCTGTGCAGGAAGACCTCTGATTGTACTCTACGTGTCACAACTGCTCAGGAAGACCTCCGAATGTACTCTGACTACCTGTCACACCTGTGCAGGACGACCTCTGATTGTACTCTGACTACCTGTCACACCTGTGCAGGAAGACCTCCGATTGTACTCTGACTACCTGTCACATCTGCTCAGGAAGACCTCTGATTGTACTCTGACTACCTGTCACACCTGTGCAGGAAGACCTCCGATTGTACTCTGACTACCTGTCACATCTGCTCAGGAAGACCTCTGATTGTACTCTGACTACCTGTCACACCTGTGCAGGAAGACCTCTGATGGTACTGTACTCTGACACACCTGCTCAGGAAAACCACTGATTGTACTCTGACTACGTGTCACACCAATATGGGTAGGCTGTCTACCTGGCCCTCCTGGAACTTGGTTGACTTGTTCAAGTTGTTACGGAGCAGCAGTCGCCGCCCACAGTCCCGACCCTTGCTGTACATGTTCAGGAAGACGTCTGATTGTGTCCCAGCATTCTTCATGTTGCTAGTGTACACCACTACCCGGTAGTCGATCACTGAAACAGTTGTCAGGAATATTGCACACATCTTGTTGCTCCTACAGCACTTCAGGTTGAGGCTTGTCACAGCTGTTGTTGAAACTGTGTACTGACTAAGTATTATTCCTTAAAAAAAAAATTCTCTAAAAATGGCTTACAAATAGGCTAATACAAATTGTAATCACAGAACATGTTTAATTACCAAGGGCAATGGAAGACATTCTCATGGCTCTGCAACATATCTAATATTCTACAATATCATATTTATGATGAAAGGAAATATTCCTTTTTGACAAAAGCTTCTATAGATTAAAAGGACAAATAGGAATGCAATTCGTCTACAGTACATAATTTCTGAAAAGATTATTTGTGTTTGAGTAACATATGTACTTTTCTAAAACAACACATGAGGTTATCAAAAGACATATCTAACTTTTCCAAATACATTTTAGACAGTGAAGACCCTGTCATGTCCAAAATACTTAACTGTTACATAAGAGAGTGGAATTTGAACACATTTCCCTCCATTTTGGCTAAATTAATAACACTCTATTTGTACTCAACAACATCCATCTCCTTTTAACCACTGTCATACTGAGCATGCAAAAGCTAAAAAATAGCAGAACCCTGAATAGACAGTGAGTCCTTTGTTTACCAAAAAGTCTCCAACAATGAAGGCAACTTTGACTGTTTTGTAGCCAGTATCTTAGGCCTACCAAAGAAAAGTTTCCCATTGTGCAGAAACGCAGAAAAACCTACATTAATCGTGGAAATAGCAACATAAACATAATACCTCGCTACTGAAACAGTAAAACCGGCAACGAAAAACTATGAAACTACAACATTATTACATCAGCGAACTTTGACCTCTACTGCGCATGCGCATTACGATCCGTGCTTCATTCCAATTTCCGAGCAACCGTGAATCGCCTCGCGTAAAAAAAGTATTAAATATGTCGAAATAATTGCTGTCAATCATTTCATACGAATGGAAAGTAAAATAAACAAATGTTCACACAAGTATCATGATGATAAATGTCAAATAACACAACAGAAATACTTAAAAAGGAAGGTAACTTTTGTCCAAACTGGAAAATGTCAACATGCGGTCGACACTTCCTCTTCCATGTGTGCATGCGCAAAATCGAAGTTGCAGGCTCTTCGTTTTTTGACGCAGTTTTAGCGATTTAAAGTTGCCGTTTTTACTGTTTCAGTAGCGAGGTATTATGTTGATGTTGCTATTTTCACGATTAATGTGGACTTTTCTGAGTTTTTCTGCACAGTGGCAAAGTTTTCTTTGGTAGGCCTGTATCTGCCACTGACCAAATACTGAGGAGCTTACATGGAGGGAATGTTTGGCCTGGTTTGATGAGAGGGAGCTCCTTGCTGATGTCACCATTGACTTCACCGACCCAGGAGTCAAAGTTGAAGGTAAGACTCTCTCCTGTCTCTGCATCGGTCAGGGTCACCTGGAACACAATGACATTCAGGCTTGTTGGATTCAAGATGGACTGATGAGTTTACTGGAGGAGCATGGGGGAGTTTGAGATTCTGGAAGATCACAGGGACTTTTGAGGTTGTTTCTAATGGATGAAAGGTGAGGTGAGGTGAAATTGGGTTTTATTTCGTGCTCGAGAATATTTCACTCATATGACGACGTGTATGCGTGTGTATGTGTATGTGCGGCTGCTTGTACTAGCCCAGACTTAAGCTGGTTTTAGAGTGCTAGCCCACTGGGATACCATGCCGCAGTGAAGCATGAATACCCCACTCAGACACATTATACTGACTCCGAGCCGACCAGTCCTTGTTGTACCCATTAATGCCGAGCGCCAGGCAGGGACCAACAAGTACCATATTTTAACGTCTTTTGGTATGATGCGGTTGGGGATCGAACCCGCGACCTTCCGCTCTCCGGGCGGACGCTCTAACCACTACACCACGGAGGCGGTCAATGGATGAAAGGGGTTTTCAGGTTTGTTTCTGGAAGAAACGATGAGTTACTGCAGTTTCTGGAGGAGCAGAGAGTGACAGAGGAAGCTTTTGAAGGAACAGAGGGAGACTGATAATGTTTCTGGTATGGAGGAACAGTGGGCTAGGTGGTTTCTGGAAGAAAAGAGGGAACTCTGATGATGTTCGTAGGGGAACAGTGGGGTGATTCTTGATGAACAGACACTGATGAGGCTTCTAGAGGCATTCTGACTACAGTGGGGTGTATATATAATTACTAAGGAAGTACCTGCTGTATTGTCCACACTGGTTTCTCCTCCTTCTCCTCCCCAAGTGTCACTCGCACCTTCTCAATGTCACCAATGTTGCCCAACTTTATGCCCTGTCAAAATACATGCCACATCAGTAACTGTAGAGTGACTTCCCATGCTTGTCATAAGAGGTGAGTAATGGGATCGGTGATCAGACTCACTGACTTGATTGATCCATGCCATTGTAACCCAATTGCCTACATTGATGCTCATGATGCTAATCACTGGATAGTCTGGTTCAGGCTCATTTACATGCATATGTATAGCTTGAATAATCCAATGAGCCAACAAACAAAATAAGTTTAGGCACACCAGGCATCAAACTGACAGTTTTGGTTCAGAACTCCAGAAATGTCCTACCGCAAACTTGTGAGTCTGACCCGGCATCAGATGTGTCTTCTTCCCATTGGTCAGTTCCAGCGCTCCCTCCACACTCCGACTACCGTACACAAACATCGTCACTGGCCGCGGCTTGCTGAAATCGGTCTGTGACATGTCCAACTTGTCTTCAGTTGCCATGGTGACAAAACATGTCCACACACCCTCTACAGGCATAAAACACAAACATTGATCAGGAATCAAAGTGAGAAATTTCAGTATCCTAGAATGTTAATTGGCCCTCAAATACATAGTGATTAAAGATAGTGAGTGAGTGAGTTTAGTTTTATGCCACACTCAGAAATATTCTAGCAATATGGAGGCAGTCAAATACATATGAAGATAGAGTGACAAAACCCTTTCCACATCAGTAAGAAATGTCTGATAAAAGCAGATTACCCAATTCTGGCTAAATTAAAAGCATGTGATTATGAATCACTATCAAACAGTCATGACACCAGGTGTTCTTTTAAACAGGTGAGCATATCCTGCCCCGCCTGTGGCTCCCATCCTAACACAATGCAAAGGCTATTCAGTTGTTCACGGTCTGTACAAACACTGCATGTTACAAGTCAAAAAAGGAATTGCATCAGACATTGTTTTTGTCACTGATGAGTAAAATTTTGAAATGTCCTCTAAATATCTTCCATAGAATGTCAGTGCAAAAGCATACACAGTCTTTATTGTCACACAAAACTGATTTCAATTTGGCATAAAGGAAAAAGAAATGGGCTTCCACATTGTACCCATGTAGGGAATCGAACCCGGGCCTTCAAGCGACAAGCAAACTATATGAATATGGTTCTATTGGTATCATTTGAGCCCCTACAGCTGATCTCTAATTTTCAAACAAGAACATGTTTGTGGACAAAACAGGCCAATGGAGTTATCATACTTGACTTAGAACGTTGAGCTGGAGTAATTTCTGGTCCTGGTTGAAGGTGAGCAAAGGGAGTTAACTCTCTGACCAGTCGACGGTCTTCACAGCCAGAATCCATCCATCTGGGAAGAAAATAACACAAACATATAGTGAGTGAGTGACATGGGATCACATCTTAACTACCAAGCAATATCATGGCCTTTCATAAAGCGGGAATGCCAATTCCCTGCTCCACAAGCAGTCTTAAGGGACCGATCATAATTTATGGCTAGTGGGGTGATGAAGAAGTTAAAGGGGGGTGGGGTGTCACCATTCTGGGAAGGTAGGAGGGGTCATCAATTATGACATACGAGGGAGGGGGTCACTTACTTTGGACATAAATTATAAGGGGGGGAGGGGCATTCACATTGTACATGCCTCTCCATAGAAATCATGATCACCCCCACTAACCATAAATTATGAATGGTCCCTAATGCTAAGGTGATTGTAACCCCCAAACTTTAAACAAGGGCTTATTATATTAGCAGCGACAGATATCACTAAGAATGGCACCCTGGAACCTGGAAGAGAATAACAGCAAGACTGTAATAACAGCTGTGATGTACAACACAGACAGGATGCCTGGCCTCTAAAGCTATGCACACAGGAACATCCCCAGTACTTCCAATGTCAAACACAGTGCCGAATGGCCATGTTTCTTGTATGGCAGTGAAAAAAGCACATGGATATCATTTTTTCACAGATAAAGTGACAACTGTTCAACCTTTGTCAAGCATTTTCTGGAGGTCGCAGTCTGAAGCTTGTGTGTCAAAACTCAATAAAACTGCAGTTTGACTGACGAATGTCGACTTCCTTATGGTCATCTGAATGTGATTGGTCAGTTAAAATCGGAAAAAGGTCGTTATGATGTGACCTGTGACCATTCATGCATCCTCCTTTGGTAAATATTTTACATCAACATAGTGCTTGTGACCAGGGTGTTAACTGACATGTATCAGAGACTTTTCTTGTTGATTTTTCAAAATGTCATTCATTGGAAAGTCAACTGACACCATCACCTGTCATTTCACAGATCTCATATGTCATTCACAGATCTCACCTGTGACCAGGGTGATATCAGGAATTCACTGACTGTCATTCTTGATCTCATATGTCATTCACAGATCTCATATGTCAGGACAGATCTCATATGATTCACAGATCACCTGCTCTCTTGCTTTGACTTCCAATGGACACCCGCTCACAATGCCAGCCAGCTCCACGACCGATTTCATTGTGGCCAATCAGAAGCTTAGAGATTACACCAAGGTCAAGAGTTCGAATTTCAAATTCATCCCGCTGTAAAAAAAGAGTATTTGGTTATTAGTTAGACATTATGGTCCTGAACCTGTATTGGTACTTGGCATGCAAATACTCACGTCATGTGATAAATACTGTGTGATTTACGCACCATGTGTTGTATAATAATAATAATAATAATAATTGGCTTGAATAGCGCCTAGTTTCCATCACAGAAGCTCAACAGCGCTGCATACATCATTAAAAACACAATAAGTGTGAAAAGAGTATACTATTTGTTCACAAAGCATTACATTATTCAACAAAATTAAGCAGGCAGTGATATTGTACATAGGTTTTCTGGAGCTCTGTGTTCAGTATAAAAAGCTATGTCCAACTTAATAGGTGCCCTGCTCCAATAAATAGATACATATTTCAGTAGTCTTTCAAATTTTGCACATATAGCTTTCTTTCAGTCTGTAGAGCTTATCAGCTGCAAACATTATTATTTATACCTTACCATAATATAATAATCAGATACTCAGTCTAGTTGAATATTGGTGTTTTTTTTCAATTTTTTTCAAGTACCCACACTTTATATGGACCCTTTACACCTAATGTTTTAAATATGGTTTGTGTTACTTGGGTGAAGCAAACTGCTGTACATATACTGATACCTTGATATGTTCACCTCCACAAAACCTGGAATTATCATCAGTGGAAGAACTACAAAACTGTAACGTACTGTGGCTAGTTCATCAAGATAGACCAGTGAAGATCCGGGGTAGAATAGGTCTTCAGTAACCCATGCTTGCCACAAAAGGTGACTATGCTTGTCGTAAGAGGCGACTAACGGGATTGGGTGGTCAGGCTCGCTGACTTGGTTGACACATGTCACTGGTTCCCAATTGCGCAGATCGATGCTCATGCTGTTGATCATTGGACTGTCTGGTCCAGACTCGATTATTTACAGACCGGCGCCATTTAGCTGGAATATTTCTGAGTGTGGCGTAAAACTACACTCACTCACTCATCAAGATAATTTGACAAACTGACCTTTCCCTGCCGAAATGGTTTCTTTTTACTCTGTGGGAGCGCCAACACTCTCTCTCCAGTGTCTCCCCACTGACCAATCACAGTACAGAACACTTCAGCATCAGTCTCTGCCACAGGTAGATCCCCTGTCACCACGGCAACCTGATACACCGTATCTAGGGAGACCAGAATAGGCTAGAGTGTTAGTATTGGACACTATGGCAAATATCACAGTAAAGGAACACATGTAACTGAGGAGGATACATGATTTTGAAAAGGGAGGCGAGCATACTGCCCAGGTATACACGATTATCAAGGTAAATAAATTGACATGTAAGGTGTCTGACAAAAATAGGGCTGAGAAGCCTCTGCACCACCAGCAACATCTGGCATTTGCAGAGGTTGGCATCTTCAAACCTATCCAGCAAGACTTGCAGGTGCATGAAGAAATGCAACACGAAACAAGTCTTTAATAGCTACTGACTGCTCCTGCTATTTACCATCACAATTTAAAAAAAAAAACCCCAAACCAACAAAACAAAACAAAGTTGTCCTTACAATAAGTCTTGGACAAGTTCATTAAAAAGTATGTAATTTTTCAAGTAAAATTGATATTTTTATACTTATCCTGACTCATGATCTTTTGCTTATCTCCCTTTCCCTTGCGAATGGTAGTGGAACACTTGAATCCTTTGAAGTTCCCGACGCGGACGTAAAAATACACCCACCCACGAGTTACATCCCTTTTCCCGCGTAAACAGTCATGTGACCAGCCTTACTTGTCACTCTCTCCCTTTTCGCCCAAGTGGATGGTTGGGCGAGTACTGGAGTCCCGTATACGGCATTATATCCTTTTCATTTAGGTCCTATTCTTCAAAATTATGTTGTGTAAAAGGATTCAAGTGTTCCACTACCATTCGCAAGGGAAAGGGAGATAAGCAAAAGATCATGAGTCAGGATAAGAAAATATCTTAAAGTCTAAAGCTTTTATCAACAACTAGAGATGTTATTTCTGATAAAGGAACAATGTTTGTATCGACCTACCTTGTAATGGCGCCATGTCAGGTCTGATGGTAGGAAGCTCTATGGTGCCGTCAGGGTTGTCTGTGGAGGATCTCACCCAGTCTCGGTACTCTAGGTTGAACTCCTCACCTGAGTTAGCATCCTTCAACTTCATCTACAATACACATGATAAACATATGCAGCACAATAAGATATGCTGGAGATTGGTACCTCTACCTGACTGAGCTAGCATCCTTCAACTTCATCTAAAATACACACGATAAACATATGCAGCACAATAAGATATGCTGGAGATTGGTACCTCTACCTGACTGAGCTAGCATCCTTCAACTTCATCTAAAATACACACGATAAACATATGCAGAGCAATAAGATATGCTGGAGATTGGTACCTCTACCTGACTGAGCTAGCATCCTTCAACTTCATCTACAATACACACGATAAACATATGCAGCACAATAAGATATGTTGGAGATTGGTACCTCTACCTGACTGAGCTAGCATCCTTCAACTTCATCTACAATACACATGATAAACATATGCAGCACAATAAGATATGCTGGAGATTGGTACCTCTACCTGACTGAGCTAGCATCCTTCAACTTCATCTACAATACACACGATAAACATATGCAGCACAATAAGATATGCTGGAGATTGGTACCTCTACCTGACTGAGCTAGCATCCTTCAACTTCATCTACAATACACATGATAAACATATGCAGCACAATAAGATATGCTGGAGATTGCTACCTCTACCTGACTGAGCTAGCATCCTTCAACTTCATCTACAATACACATGATAAACATATGCAGCACAATAAGATATGCTGGAGATTGGTACCTCTACCTGACTGAGCTAGCATCCTTCAACTTCATCTACAATACACACGATAAACATATGCAGAGCAATAAGATATGCTGGAGATTGGTACCTCTACCTGACTGAGCTAGCATCCTTCAACTTCAGCTACAATACACACGATAAACATATGCAGAGCAATAAGATATGCTGGAGATTGCTACCTCTACCTGACTGAGCTAGCATCCTTCAACTTCATCTACAATACACACGATAAACATATGCAGCACAATAAGATATGTTGGAGATTGGTACCTCTACCTGACTGAGCTAGCATCCTTCAACTTCATCTAAAATACACACGATAAACATATGCAGCACAATAAGATATGCTGGAGATTGGTACCTCTACCTGACTGAGCTAGCATCCTTCAACTTCATCTACAATACACACGATAAACATATGCAGCACAATAAGATATGTTGGAGATTGGTACCTCTACCTGACTGAGCTAGCATCCTTCAACTTCATCTACAATACACACGATAAACATATGGAGCGCAATAAGATATGCTGGAGATTGGTACCTCTACCTGACTGAGCTAGCATCCTTCAACTTCATCTAAAATACACACGATAAACATATGCAGCACAATAAGAACTGCTGGAGATTGGTACCTCTACCTGACTGAGCTAGCGTCCTTCAAATTCATCTACAATACACACGATAAACATATGCAGCACAATAAGATATGCTGGAGATTGGTACCTCTACCTGACTGAGCTAGCATCCTTCAACTTCATCTAAAATACACACGATAAACATATGCAGCACAATAAGATATGCTGGAGATTGCTACCTCTACCTGACTGAGCTAGCATCCTTCAACTTCATCTACAATACACACGATAAACATATGCAGAGCAATAAGATATGCTGGAGATTGGTACCTCTACCTGACTGAGCTAGCATCCTTCAACTTCATCTAAAATACACACGATAAACATATGCAGCACAATAAGATATGCTGGAGATTGCTACCTCTACCTGACTGAGCTAGCATCCTTCAACTTCATCTACAATACACACGATAAACATATGCAGCACAATAAGATATGCTGGAGATTGCTACCTCTACCTGACTGAGCTAGCATCCTTCAACTTCATCTACAATACACACGATAAACATATGCAGCACAATAAGATATGCTGGAGATTGGTACCTCTACCTGACTGAGCTAGCGTCCTTCAACTTCATCTACAATACACACGATAAACATATGCAGCACAATAAGATATGCTGGAGATTGCTACCTCTACCTGACTGAGCTAGCATCCTTCAACTTCATCTACAATACACACGATAAACATATGCAGCACAATAAGATATGCTGGAGATTGCTACCTCTACCTGACTGAGCTAGCATCCTTCAACTTCATCTACAATACACACGATAAACATATGCAGCGCAATAAGATATGCTGGAGATTGGTACCTCTACACCAAAGATCTGAAGATATCCCATTACAAATCAGCCCAGAATGACCTTGAGCAATGACCATTGACTGACCATTGACATGAAATCAACACATGCCTGACATCAGAAAGTAACTTTCTTGAGCAATGGACACTTCTATTCCAGACTACATCTTCCAACATATCTGACAAAGATATTGATTCAAATTCAGTAAAATCAAACAAATTCTGGATTGTTTGACACTAAGATTGTAATTCTTGTGTGTTTCAAATGTTTATCCCATGGAAGTAAGAGAAAGATGAGAACTGTCCTTCGAAATTACCCAGGTCCACTTTATACCAAGCTGATATCTCAGGACAAGGTCGGGCTGAAGTGACATGTAATTGGATGTCCTTAGTGGAAGCAACCACTAAGATCTGGACTTAATAAGATTGGGTCAAAAAGCCATTATGTAACAAGACAGCAGAAAATAGCTCAAGCCATTACAATCACAATATTCTTAACATTCATGGAGCTAAATCTATAACGTGACAGGGCAAGAGTTATTGACCACCCTCAACCAACTTTTCAAATAACAAATGTAAATGTTAGATTGTCATATAGACAATACCAGTGTCTCATTTACTGTTAATATCAGTTCAGAACAGAACAATGGCTTACCTTCTCCAAGAACCAGGAGGAATTCCCGGCTTTGGAATCAAAGAAGATCCGGACTTTGAACATTTGGCCTATCTTGCCCACATTCAGCTGAAAAAAAGATTTGTACAGTGCAGGTATTTAATTTTGATTCTAATGTTAGTATCCACGTCTGACAAATGAATGAAAAAAAAAGCAATTTTTTAAAGTTCTTATTAAAAAGAAATTCAGTTGTACCTTAATATTTCATTCAAATTAAAAAACATGTACATCTAACCATTACTGAACCTTCTTTGTATATTGTTAAGGTTACTTGAATACAAAGTATCTTGTACACTACACATATCATTTACAAACAATTACAATTTAAAGATAAAATGCTTGAAAACAGTTTGGAACGTAGATACTTTAAATACATAAGTGACAATTTCTCAACAAAAGATCTGACAACTTATAATGGTAAGTGTAAACATGCATGGTATAAGACATTTACAGATGAGGAACTGGAAAATTTTAGGTGCATAGCAAGCCAATTTTTTGGTGTAAGCCCGATAGGTTTAGTATTGAGGGCTTACCCAACATTTTTAGCAACAATCATGTGTAAGCCCGGGCTTTCATTCATAATGGTGGCTACGCCCCCGAATTTGTGATGACATAATATCAGTGCAGCTACACTTTAACCAGCATTACCTGCACTTTAAGACAGGACCCTGGACTGAGTGTGCCGTCTTGTTGATCTGCTTCGGCTCTGTGTGTCCACTTGTGCCATAGATGACCATCATGACCTTGTCTTTGGTCCCTGCATCACTCTGACCGCCAGTGTAAACCAGACCTGTCCATTTCCCTCGACTCTCCGGCTCTCTCTTGTCTCGTATCCGGAAGGCGATGTCCTCAGGCACTCCTGTTGAGATCTGAGTTTCTGTAATGGAGAGACTAATGTAGAGTCCTTGGCTATAAAATGCCAACATTTCTATATTTCCTTGTAGAACTGGGAGGTAGTTGGGTGAAATGTTGATACTGAGCACTGCACTATGCCTGTGACATACGAATCTGCAAGTGTAGGGGTGAGTGCATCACTGAGATACCATAACTGCTAGGTCACGGAGATACAGTGCCACAGGTTAAAAGCCAAGCACCATCTTTTAACGTCTTTTAGAATGACACAGCGGAGGTTTAACCTATAACCTTCTGCTCACTGACATAATGACAACTTGACATATGGAATCAGCATGATCATTCGACTTTCAAAACTTCATGATAACAAGAATTCTTTATCAACATTGAAATATCTCACAATATGGCTTCCCTTTCCCATTATGACCGAAATGTTCCTACACATTGCAGACAATTTCTGCAGTTATTGTTGGTTGATGAGCTTACCATGTGCCTGAAATTTTAATTCTTAAAAGTCCTGGTGAGATTCCTTGACAACCAGCTACCGATGTTTGTTGCTGGGGTTGACTAATTTACTGACAGGCAAGACTGACTGTGGTGCATTGTTAACCCAACACCATGAAGTACTGCTCCCAATATCAATCACTTGCTTGTCTACTCCAGATAGGATTATTTACAGGCAAAGGTCATACAGGCACATAAGATAAACAAACGAACGTTTGTAACAAACAAACAAACACAGCAATCAAGCTGTTGTACATATTTCATTTCAGATGTTGATATAACGTACCTGACACAGGTAGAGACTTTAGGGTACCCTTGCCGTCATCCCTCAGAGTCTGGTTACATCGACACACACTCTCAAACGCTGCTGACACGCTGTCCATCACTGTCACGTGATCCACCGTCCAGTCGTTATCTGACAAAGCAAGCACTGTCACGTCTTGAAACTAAAACATGTATTGAACAATCATAGTCATCATGTGTGGCACCATGTTAGTGGGAGATCCTGAGTTACTGAAATCGTCTTATTCAGAAATTGATCTCTGAACACCTTCCACCATATTGGTGAGAAATGCGAACAAGCTTTTGTCTTAGTAATAATTTTGTAGTAACAACCTTTTTGCTGCCATTTTTCGATGCCTCACTAAAATAACTGGGTTATGAAGGTCTTGAAACATTATTAAGGGCAGTCCTTTATCAATAGGTGAATGCTGAAAAGAGAACAATGGGCAATGTGACATCATAGCTCACCTCTCCCCTTCCCTGTGAATTTGAGCTGCACCTGCTGGAGCTTGCCCACGGAGACAGCTGAGACCACGAACACATCCAGGTGGCCGTCGTTCCACATACTGGTAACTCCGTTCAGTGATCCGGTCAGTGGGCGGAGACCTGTGTTACCATGGACACCATATAGGTTGACTGCTACCTGTGCTCCAGGACAACCATCTCCTCGACCCCGCCCAGTCTGGATCATCACCACATACTGCAGGGCTGAAAAACAAACAAACAGAAGGAATCAGGTAAAGAATGTTGTTTTCACATGCTTAAAAAGATTACTGAGTAAGTGAGTTTGGTTTTACGCTGCTTTTAGCAATATTCCAGCAAAATCACGGCAAGGGACACCTGAAATGGGCTTCACACATTGTACCAATGTGGGGAATCGAACCTGGGTCTTCGGCGTGATGAGTGAACACTTTACCCACTAGACTACCCCATGCCCCAAAAAGATTAATGAAATAATGTTTCACAGTTATACATAATTTCTTTGTTTAATGCAACAAAAAAATGAATAAATGAATGTTTCATATTTTTAGAATTGCTTTCTTTGTTTAAAGCAGAACTTAACAGCAGTAATATTCAAGCATTATGAAGTCTCCTGTAAAACAACATGTCTGAACCAGACAAACCCGTGATTGATATCATGAGTATCATTCTTTAGTGTATGGACTCGCCTTGTTTGGAAGATGTACCATTCGCATCAGGAGGTACCAATACCAATTGAAACCTTGCTAATTAATGAATATTACCATTCAAATTCAAGAACAATGTACTTGAATTCAAATGTCATACTTCTGGTTGGATGCTACTTGACAAAGCTAGTTACAGAGAAAAACCGCCATGGATTAAAGCTTAGTTATCTATTGGCTTGAGGACTGTCTGGGTCCATAGTAACTGTTTGCGACACAAAAACCTGCAATCATTAGGACTCAAACCAGTTACCATATTTCTTTTAATAAGCGCCCTGGCACTTATTTATTTCAACGGAGTTCCAGACCTGGCGCTTATTAGAGGCCCCAGGGTGTTTGCCCTTACTGGGCGTAATTACCGTAATTGTTAGTTAGCTGCTTTACCCCCGACACTTATTAGAGGCCCGGCGCTTATTGAAGGAAATACGGTACTTGAAAAACAGTATTACTTTGTGGTGTTGGATTTGTTTGTTTGTTTTGTAACTCGACAATATTCCAGCTACATGGCATCTGTAGTGTTGGACTTCAGTACAGGTGATACTGGCGATCTCATACATCAGTCATTACAGGTGATACTGGCGATCTCATACATCAGTCATCACATTTGTCCAAACACTGACGCTGTCCTATTCTGCAAAACTAACTCTGTGCCATAACTCCCATGCTTCAACAAGGAAGTTGAATCGTAGTTCAGTAATGTTTCATTGTTTTACGACAACAAGGCTAGCTAAAGTGTGAAAAAACCACCATGAATCAAACTTCAGTCATCTGTTGGTTTGAGGACTGACTTATTAACTGCTTTCCACACAAAAAAAATGTGATCATTAGGATAGAACCCATTTAAAAAAATACTATTACTTTGTAGTGTTGGTTGTCGAATGCCACACTCAGCAATATTCCAGCTATATTGCAGCTGTAGTGTTTGGTTTTATTACAGTTTGTATACATAAAACATGTGATCAGTTACATCAGTTATCACATTTGTGCAAACACAGACATTATCCTATTCTGCATAATTACCTCAATGCAGTGTTTAAAACTCCCAAAATTCCAAGCCAGACATTTTAAAAAATTACCAGTCCGGATACAAACTTGCCTGTCCGTTTTTCAACAATAAAAAAAAAATAAAATCAAGTTTCTGAATACTTTACTGCATGTATTGTAACATTAAGGCTAAGGTACATGGCCTGGTTTACAAACTAGAAATCTGTTGCATTTTCTGCCTCTCAATCACGATCAGAGAAATATCTAACAGACCACTACAGACTACTTTGAAATTTGACCGTCCGAGATGAAAATAGACTGTTCTGGACGGTCGGGCAGGCGGGAATTTTAAACGCTGCTCAATGCAAGTACAATCCTCACTGTCATTACTCCCATACTTCAACAAGGTAATCACTTTATAGAGTAAGATAGTCATGTTAATGTATAGCACTTACAGGCCCAGACAGGCAACTTTGCTGTTGTGCAACTGTGAGATGTGACTGACCTGGAAGAGGCATCTGACTGGGTCTGCCTGTGACAGCAATCTCCCTCACGGTCTGTCCATCATCCTTCTCTTCAGCAAACCACCTGTCTACATACAGCATCAGCTCCTCCCCTGTGGAGGAGTTCGAAACCTTCACATAGTCACACTTCCATGTAGGGCTCGCACTAGCTGCCTCGTGCTCCAGACGAATCTTCATCAGGTCCCCGATGTTACCAGCATTGATCTGCAGAGACCAGAGACCTTACAATGTGAGTGCCGTTTGTGACTGAACTGATTCTCAAGGGCACCAATCTGCTTCTTTGTGCACCGATTGATTCATGTATTAAGAGTCTGACCAACAGTTCGTCTAAAATATGGTTCTGATTAATACTTTTTAGTTACATCTGAAACAAGAAAAATATCTAGGACCAAGTATTGTTGTCTTATTTTCAATTACCATTAATATTTGACATGAAAATAAAAGCAGCAAACATTTTAAATTGGAGATAACTATGGTTTCGTAACCCACAAACATACTCCCACACATAATACCTTCCTTGCCAACACTCAAGTCTTGCCTGGAAATCCACCCAAACACATAAATTTCACCTCAGTCTTACAGATAACTGTGGTTTACCCACAAGTCTTCTCCCACACATAATACCCTCCATGTCAACACTCAAGTCTCACCTGGAAATCCACCCCAACACATAAATCTCACCTGGAACTTCCCCTCTCTGCCAGGATAGAGCACATCACCCTTCGGGTCAGGGACCTGCTGTGGCTTAGAGTCACCATTTTTACCACACAACGTGACTGAGACATGTGACTTGGTCCCTGCCTCTTCCTCATTGGATGTCTTGACGATCACATCATACACACCATCTGCAGGTTGATTGGCAGTTTAAACTAATGCAGTAATACATATGGATATACAGGTGAGGTGAGGTGAAATTGGGTTTAACGTCGTGCTTGGGAATATTTTGCATATGGCTATATGCAGTAATACATGTGTATGGGCTGCTTGTATACAGACTTAAGCTGGTTTTATAGTGCTAGCCCACTGAGATACCATGTTGCATGGCATAATACCCCACTCAGACACATATGGCTGATCGACCGACCAGTTCTTGTTGTACCCATTAATGCCGGCCAGGCAGGGACCAACAAGTACCATATTTTACCATATGGCTATGACAGACCATATGGGCGGACGCTTTAATCACTACATATGGATATTATGGATATACAGACACATACGGATACATAGATACATACATACAAAGTATATCCAGAAGGTTTATCAGCCAACCACCAATCACAAATGTTTAAAGATCACAAGATTTGAATGTTGACAGAAATCAAGCTTTGGAGGGTCATTACCCTCTTTATAGCAATCAAACAATGCAATTATAGCGTTACGCCGATCATAAGCCAACGTGAAAGTTAGGGAAACTAGTGAAACGGGGTCCTGGTTACTTGAAGTAAAGATGAGAATGACAATATATCATCATGAAGTACTCTTCCTAGATGGGCTAAATCAATGAACAGACTAAACTTCTGCTGATAAATCCTGAACTACTCACTGTTTTTGCCGCTCTTCTTTGCGGGTGACTTCTTGCGTGTATCTACAGTGTCTGAAAAGTAACCATCATTCTACATCATCCTTCTGCTATAGGATGGTAGCCTCTTAATAATCTAGATTGGACCAACAAAACAATTGATTGATATTATAACCAGGGGTCCAGATAAAGGCCGTATTGGCGTATGTATGTATGTACGGATATAAAATATGCACGATACAATAGGAAATAATTTTAGAAAACGTAGCAAATATGCACCACAGCAATGGTGTACGGTTTTAGAATCATTAATAGACGTATTTTTTTTAAAGTATTGCTTTATTGTATATTGACCTGTTTAGATAAGAGTAGCAATGTTGTGGTGCATATAAGAAACGAAACACAAGATTACTGATACTCCTGTAAGTCCAACTAGTACTCTCAATGGTTTTCCAGTACTCCTCTGTTGAAAATATAAGGAGTATGTACCCTGATGTTGAAAAAATTATCTGAGCCCTGTCTTTGATTTTCAAAAATGGCTGCTACCTGCCGAGAACATCCAGCCAGTCTGTGGATAAATGCTATTTAGGTTTGTTTTCACTGAGTTCTAAAATCAAAACTACTACTGGTAGTAAAATATATATTTTACTGATGGCCAATAGGATTTTGCATGACATAGCATATAACAAAACAATTTCTCTCCTAACAGCGAGGTGAATGTCATCTAATACTACTTACAATATTATTGTTACTTCGACCACAACCTCACTTCCGAGGAAGAAATGCGTTATATGTTACAAGTTGTGTTATGGAAAATCTTTATGGTCATCAATCATATACCTATTTACTATAACTAGTAAAAGTAGTTTTGATTCTTTAACTTCCGTGTAAGCCGATCTGAACACAAGTAAGATATCGTTTCAGGCTTCCACAGCGCCGCTTCTCACTCACAAACATAACCCATCTAGCACACGAACTGCGGGGTCCTGTGGAAATCTGTGCATGGTGACACCATCACCCGACCCCTAGGAGCAATTGACGACAAAGCAACGATTCGGCATGTCGTCGTTCATGTTGAGAAATCATCAAAATGATGGCGTGCTACACACTTTCTATACAACTAACTGAAAATCGTTCCTCATATGACGTCACTGCAGTGCTCTGGCGACAGAGTTACGTAACCTGTCTGTGGTTTCGTTGGCGGGCGAGAGGGAAGCAGGCGACTTTTTGGCCACTTTTAATCGCTCGGTATTAATTAACCACAAGTTTTTAAAGAATAAATTTGGTGTTCCGCATAAGACTAACCACAAATCTTTCATATGTAATGGTTAAAAGAGTAACAAAAAACAAAGTTTAGTGGTTCTTTAACGTCTTTTGGTATGACGCGGTCGGGGGATCGAACCCTCACGATCCGTCCGCTCTTCGGGCAGGCGCTTTAACCACTACACCACGGAGGCGGTTTATGGATATGCACACACATATAGATACATACAGACAAAGTATATCCAGAATGTTCATCAACCAACCTCCAATCACAAATGTTTAAAGATCACAAGATTTGAATGTTGACAGAAATCAAGCTTTGGAGGGCCATTACCCTCTTTTAAGCAATCAGACAAGCGCAATCATAGCGTTACGACAATCATAAATAACGTTAAAGTTAGGGAAATTAGTGAAGTCCTGGTTGCTTGAAGTAAAGATGAGAATGACAATATATCATCATGAAGTACTCTTCCCAGATGGGCTAAATCAATGACTTAAAAAAAATGAACAGACTAGACTTCTGCTGATAAATCCTGAACTACTCACTGTTTTTGCCACTCTTCTTTGCGGGTGACTTCTTGCGTGTATCTACAGTGTCTGAAAAGTAACCATCATTCTACATCATCCTTCTGCTATAGGATGGTAGCCTGTTAATAGCCTAGATTGGACCAACAAAACAATTGATTGATATTATAACACTTGATCCCTCAATCCATTAATTCAGTTAAAACAAGCATACATTGCTGAAGAAACTGTTCAAAACATGAATTCCCATGGAATTGTTAGAAAACAGGGTCACTCAGGGTCAATACTGTTAGACTGACTGACTGAGTTTAGTTTTTATTGGTGTCTTTTAGCAATATTCCAGCAATATCATGATTAATAGTCACCAGAAATAGGCTTCACACATTGTGCCCATGTGGGGGTATTTTGATCGAACTTCTTAACTGACTTCAGTCCTTGTTTCGAGCCAACGCTTTAACCACTAGGCTACCCCTACCGTCCCCTATAAATCAAGAGCCTTGTTAGAGGCACATTGAGTGTCAATAATCAGTACCACTCTTATCAGCATACTACAATTATTGTATGATTAAGGACATAAGGTCACCTCTAACATGATAATAAAATGACTGAGCCTTGTATAGAAACAAACCGAGTGTCAATAATCAATCAACCATCAGATGACTATATTACAATTATTGCACAATTAAAAACATAAGATGACCTATGACATGATAATCATCTGACTGAAAACATTAGGTGACTAAGCCTTGCTAGAAACGAAAAAAGTATCAATATTCAATAGATACTGTAAAGACTATACTTATCACATGATTCACAACTTAAGGTGACCTCTGACCTATGAGATTGAGTGTCCTCTCTGTCGCTCCATCCCCCTCCCCACTGTCCAGCCACTGGTAACAGGGGAAGACATGCTGGACGCTAGGGCGGCTGCCACCTTTCTCCATCACCTCCACCTTGTCCAGGAACCAACCAGCACCATGACCTTGGCTGGAGTGACCTATGACCAAGTTCCGTAACTCTCCCAGGTCCACTGCTTCAAACTCAAACGCATCAGTCTGAAAGGAAGTGTATGATCACATACAACATTCATCTTTGCTGCTCAAGCACATAAGCACTAAGTATATAAACTCAAGTCTATAAACCCATCATCATTCTTCCATTTTCCTCCCCCTTTACAAAACAATAAAAAGGGGTGATAAGCGGATGGTAGTGTGCTGGTCATGTGGGACACAGTGGCGGGAAATGGGAGTCAACCCGATGAGTGAGTGATTTTACGTTTGCTTCAGGTAGCAAAGGGATTCAAACTTCCATGTACCGTTCAAAGGGAAAGGGAGATAAGCCTATAGCATGAGTCAGGATAAGGAGTGAGTGAGTTTAGTTTTCACTCATTCACTCTCTCATTTTTGTGCCAAAGTTGAAGTGACCTATGCAAAATACTTTGAATCACCCAAGGTTTAACATAAATGCAAAAGTGATGACTGAATAAGGAATATGCTGGTAATCAGATTTTACTTCAAGGAAACCTTGACTTCAACGCTTATGTAATACGTTTGTATCCCTCCTCACCTTCCCTTTCCTGAATTTGGGTCCATCAGCTGGGTTGACGTAGAGTCGTCTACGCCCCGTGTCGCCATGGCTACCATATAATGTCATGTAGATCTCTGCATCAGTTTCCCCTGCCCAGTGATCTCCAGTGTGAACAGTCAGGGTGTAGTGATACACTGTGGAAGGACAGAAGTAGTTATGTGGGATCTATTTAATAGTTCTGCAGTAATCTACTGGAAGTCTCTCCATTTAAGATGGATTATAGTGCCACAGCATCACAGAAATATGAATACAGACATGGCGCTATAGCTCACCTGGACAAGTACTAGATTCCAAATCATGTGCCCTTAGCAGTCAATTTAGGAATAAAATATATGCTACAATGTTCAAATTTGTTATTGATCAGACCTGAACAAAATATGACATCACATTAAGGAGAAACAGTCATTTAAGATCTGGAGGTGAGGTGAAGTGAAATTGGGTTTAACGTCGTGCTTGAGAATATTTCGCACATATGATGACGTGCATGCATGTGTATGTGTGTCTGCTTGTACTAGCCCTGACTTAAACTGGTTTTATAGTGCTAGCCCACTAAGATACCATGTCGCAGTGAAGCATGAATACCCCACTCAGACACTTTATACTGACTCCGAGCCGACCAGTCCTTGTTGTACCCATTAATGCCGAGCGCCAGGCAGGGACCAACAAGTACCATATTTTAATGTCTTTTGGTATGACGCGGTCGGGGATCGAACCTGAGACCTTCCGCTCTCCGGGGGACTGGATGCTCTAACACGACGGAGGTGGTCCCCTCAGTCTGGTTATTTCAAAGGCGTAGAAACTTACAGTACTAAATATTACTTTCAGGATATTTATGCAATTTCTTCCAATTTTCAAACAAAACAAACCAGGCCATGACATTAGTACATGCGGCTTTCAGTAATGTTGAACTAACATGGCAAAACAAAATGTAGACTCATAATCCTGATATCAAAATGTTAAAACAGAGCTATAGCTCCGGTGTTGTGTGGGTCACATGTCATACAATGATATCCTGATAACTGACTGACTGAGGTTAGTTTTACGCCGCTTTTAGCAATATTCCAGCAACATCAGGGCGGGGGACACCAGAAATGGGCTTCACACATTGTGCCCATTTGGGGAATCAAACCCGGGTCTTCGGCGTGACGAGCCAACGCTTTAACCACTAGGCTACCCCACCGCCCCCCTGATAGCTGAATCCAACAAAAGAGTTCCAGATATCAAACATGAGCCAGTGGTATACATTGTCCTACCTTTATCGACTGGCTTGCCTCCCCTGACAATAGCAATCTCCCTAGTCAGGTCCGAGTCATCCATCCCCCTTCCCAGCCAGCGGTCAAACTTGAACACATGTTCATCCTTTGTATGTTTGTCCTGCAGAGTGATCTGAAAATAACCAAAGGAAGTCTGAATGCATCTTGTTTGATTGTTATATAACCGTGGAGTATTCCAGCTGTATGACAGTGTCTGGACAAGACAATCCAGTGACAGACATCACGAGCATAGATCTACGGCAAACCGTGACCACCTGATCCTGTAAGTCCAGAATGTATCTCAACTATGGATGGTGCCAGAATGTTTATCACAGATGGAGCTAACAGGAATGGTGCTGAGTCATCAATTGAATAACACTGTTGGTTGATGATGTATTGAAAAACAATCAGATCTTTGTTTGGAATCTTTGGGACATATGAATAAAATATGGATTCATCTTCGATGTTATCAAGGTCAACAGCATTATAGTCATTATACGTGTTTGTATGGCCCACATTCCACTCTTGAGTCTGAAGTTACAGCACCGGAAACTAGTTATGATTTTACGTTGATTTGGTAGCAATTCACTGGTTAAATATGGTTCGACGCTTATGAGTGAATAGTACATTTGGGTGACTTGATGCATGCCAGTTTGAGTGAAGCAATAAATCTCTGTAAATGAATGACACTATGTAATACTAGAGACTCTGTAGGCCTGATTCAGCAGTTTCAGCAAGATCCCACTTATAAGTCTTGTTCAGATATATCTATGTGTTACAGGTGAATCAAACAGGAGAAACATCAGATAACATCTTTCTAATCTAAATTTAAGCTAATATGTCAAGTAGAATGGTCTGCTTCATATGTTCAGATTACTTACGGTGTTTTCAACAATTATGAGGATGGAATAAATGCCAAGATCCATAATATACCTTTCCATTAAAGAAAGACCTTTAAAGACTGACAGAAATGTAGACAGACTGACACACAGACTTACATCTTGCAGGTGCCATCCTTTCCACTCCTCACTGTCGTCCCGGGAGATACGGACCTTATACAACTCCCCTATATCTCCCACTGAGACCTAGTGGAGAAAATACATATGGTTAAAATCACTCACTTCATTACTATTATAGTTTGCCATAATGCATTACCTTCCTTTCAACGAATAAATAATAATTCAATTGTATGTGGATACTCTCTTTACATTTTTCACTTTCTTAAAAGAAGTAATCTAGTATTTGCAAATTTTCAAAGGTTTTTGGCTGTTACCATTTGACATTTTTACATATTATGAATACAGGTTTCAATTTCATGAATGAATCGACAATACATCAGCTGTTTTCAGTACAGACCTCGAACTCATCCATGTTTCCAGGTTCAAACAGCTTGGCCTGAGACGATGGAGCATACAGAGCGATGTCTTCACTGTTGCCGGTGCTGCCGTAGAAGGCGATGGAGACTTTGCTGCCATTGGCAGCTTTGGAGTCACTGGCAGTCTTCACTAGCAGCTTGAAATCTCCCTCTGTCATATAGATGATAGGGCAGATGAACATGGAGACAACAGACACAAGAAAAACAATGCCGCTCCAGTACTAGTCATCTTTAGTCAATCATCATCATCATCATCATCATCATCATCAATGCTCGCTTCAAACTTACGCTTCAAAAGTGTGGAATATACTTTTGGTTTGTTTCAATCAATTGTAAAAAAAATTGGTACATCATCATCATCATCATCATCACTATCATCAGTGCTAGCTTCAAACTTATCATCATCATCATCAGTGCTAGCTTCAAACTTATCATCATCATCATCAGTGCTAGCTTCAAACTTATCATCATCATCATCAGTGCTAGCTTCAAACTTATCATCATCATCATGAGTGCTAGCTTCAAACTTATACTTCAAAAGTGTGGAATATACTCTTGGTTTGTTCCAATTAATGGTAAAAAACATTTGGCATCAGTATTCCAGACCCTTTCCCGTCAGTTGCTGTGTTACCAGATGTTTGGGCATCCAACACACAGATGAGTCTGAGACTGTGGCTGGCCATTACTCTATACACTGCTACTGTTGTTTGTACCCCCTACACAGGACAAGTGTACTCACGTGACACAGAGGGAGGGTCAGCAACCACCAGCTCCCTCTCTATCTTCTTGTCCTCCTTCCCACTGTCCAACCATCTGTGTAGAAGACATAACGTCTCAGTCATACCACCTAGTCTTACTCTACCAGGGTATGAAACTAACCAAACATTTCAGCCAGACCACAGGGCTGGTTAGATGTAAAACTTGCCATCCCTGACCAAAACTTAGCTGCCCGCAAATAATTTAGGTTTGACAAGCGATGTAGTTTATCATCCAATTGGAATTCATCATTTATTTTTATAAGTGAATTAATGATGATTTATTATCCTGAAATATAATGAATATCTTCATGTACATGTCTAAATTTTAACCCGACCATCGGGCAGGTGAATTTGAGAATCTGGCAGTCCGTGTTCTGAATCTTGCAGACCCCTCCCTGGCAGTCGGGCAGTCAGGTATTTCGAACATTGACTCTAATGTTAGTTTCTTTGTTGTGTAACGATGCACTCAGTAAGCTGTCTGTAAATAATCTAGTCTGGACCAGACCAGATACTGACACATGAGCATTGATCAACACAACTGAGATACGATGTCAAGCATCAACCAAGTCAGTGTGCCAGACCACCTAATCCAGTTGCCTCTTGAGCATTGGTTGCTGAAGACCAATTTGAACCTCAATCTTCAAGGGTATCTCACAATATAATATTCAAGCTATTTGATGGTGGCCCATGTATAACTGAGTCTGGACCAGAAAATCCAATGATTGACATTATGAGCATCAATTCATAAAGTTGCGATATTCTGACATTCAAGCTGGACACCTGACCCTGTTGACTGCCTCCGTGGTGTAGACGTTAGAGCGTCCGCCCGGAGAGCGGAAGGTCGCGGGTTCGATCCCCACCGCGCCATACCAAAAGACGTTAAAATATGGTACTTGTTGGTCCAATTTCACTCACTTCACCTGGACACCTGACCCTGCTAGTTGTCTCATGTAACAACCATAGATAGCTGAAAACCAAGTCTAACCTGGATCTTTATGGGAGTGAATTAAGCCAGTAACACCATCAGTTAGCCTGACCACAAAGATGAGTGTACCTGTCACACGGGAAGAAAAACTGCCGACTGTCAACGCCCGATGACTCTTTCACGACAACCTTCTCAAGGTACCAGCCATTTCCAGCACGGATTCCATCATGACCGATGATCAATTTCTCCAGTTCTCCTAGTGACACAGCTTCCACGTCAAACACATCAATCTGTGGAACAGTACATCACGTCAATAGTCAATAACCACACTAGACATGCTAAACCAACCAGTTAGCAGGAAGAAATAGTGATGTGTAAAGGATTTATCTAGATCTGCTCAACTTTGTTGAGACGACTTTCACTGATAACCAGACCGATAAACACCAAAGAGCTGTAAAATTTTAGCATTATGTTTTTGCTTTGAATAGAATATTTAAATACATCTGAATTAATGAAAATATGCAAATTCCAAATCACCTTGCCCCTCTGGAATCCCTGCTTGTTTGATTTGGACATGTATAGCTTCCTCTTGCCGGTGTCCCCGCTCTCGCCGTAGATGGTGATGGAGACATTAGCATCAGTGTCGGCTCCCTCACCACTCCCTGTGAAGACTTCCACCTGGTACACATGCACTGAAAACATAGGATGCCAGTGCTACAGAAACCTTCAACATGGTTTACCCAAGCTGACATGCTTGTAGAGACATTAAGTCTGATTTTCCTTATCTACATAATCATACACATCTTTACAATCAATAATAACAGAATATCAGCAATAAGGAATAGGTAGGCTCAGTCATGTCCTCGATACTGCATGTGACAAACTTATACACTGATTGTTGTTTTTTCAGTATCTTTTGATGAATATGTCTTTCACTGAACCCATGCTAGGTCTAGTCTTTGACTGAACATAGACTGAGCCTGAACTGTCTTTGACTGAACCTGGACTGAACATAAAATGTCTTTGAACCTCAACTGAACCTAAAATGTCTTTGACTGAACCTAGACTGAACCTGGACTGAACCTAAACTGTCTTTGACTGAACCTAGACTGAACCTAAAAAGTCTTTGACTGAACCTAGACTGAACCTAAAATGTCTTTGACTGAACCTGACTGAACCTAAAATGTCTTTGAACTGAACCTAGACTGAACCTTTCTTTGACTGAACCTGGACTGAACTAAACTGAAACCTGGACTGAACCTGTCTTTGAACCTCAACTGAACCTAAAATGTCTTTGACTGAACCTAGACTGAACCTAAAATGTCTTTGACTGAACCTAACTGAACCTGACTGAACCTAACCTAAAATGTCTTTGACTGAACTCTAGACTGAACTTGAACTGTCTTTGAATGAACCTGGACTGAACCTAAAATGTCTGACTGAACCTGGACTGAACCTGTTCTTTTGACTGAACAGAGACTGAACCTGAAGTGTCTTTGAATGAACCTGGACTGAACCTAAAGTGTCTGACTGAACCTCCAGACTGAACCTAAAATGTCTTTGACTGAACCTAGACTGAACCTGAACTGTCTTGACTGAACCTGGACTGAACCTAAACTGTCTTTGACTGAACCTAGACTGAACCTAAAATGTCTTTAAATGAACCTGGACTGAACCTAAACTGTCTTTGACTGAACCTAGACTGAACCTAAAATGTCTTTGACTGAACCTAAACTGTCTTTGACTGAACCTGGACTGAACCTAAAATGTCTTTGACTGAACCTAGACTGAACTTGAACTGTCTTTGAATGAACCTGGACTGAACCTAAAATGTCTGACTGTACCTAAACTGACTGTACCTAAACTGTCTTTGACTGAACCTGAACTGTCTTTGACTGAACTGGACTGAACCTAGACTTTGTCTTGAATGGACATTTGACCTCTAGAACCTATAGTATGCCTTTGACTGAAACTGGACTGAACACAGACAAGGTCTTGAAGGTCTTTGACTGAACCCACACCATGTTGTGGGCTGTATGACTGAGACAGACACCACACCTGGGAGAGGGCGCTGGTTCTTGGAGGTGACAGGCAGCTCCCTCCACACATCATGGTCGTCCTCCGTCCTGGACAGCCAGCGGTTCACCTTGAAATTCAGTTCTTCCTTGGAGGTCATGTCCATCATCCGTACCTAGACACCGAGGATCAGATTGGTCTAGTTGTCATACAGTCAGTGTTACCTGGTATTGGCATATGTACATGCTTGATAGTAATTTTGGAGGTAAATATCATCTGTTTTCTGATATTCTGGTTATGCAGAGAATCTAATGTCCAGAGAGCATGTAATCCCAACAGTAATACTGACATGTTCTAATGAACAATGGGCTCAACTACTGTGATCAGTAATCCTCCAGATTATAGTCCGTTTTGGCTCAAAAGCGGACCGATGAATTACAATCTAACTCGAAAACTAATAAACATAAAATACTCAATGAAACGCTGATCATAATCAAAACATCATACCAACTCTGTGAGGTTTTTGCAGAATTTTTGTCCTAAAAATAAAAAGTTGTTTAACAATCTATCATTAAAATATTGACACAGTTCACTATTTGTTACGAGGGAGGAGTGCAGAGAAAGGGACAGCCAGGTGTTCGAGAAGGGATGGAGACGGCACAGCACAGGTTAATGAATAAATAACTTTGTCTGTGAACGTGCTTCTCGAACACCTGGCTGTCCCATTCGCTGCACTCCTCCCTCGTAACAAACAGTGAACTGTGTCAATATTTTAATGATAGTTTGTTAAACAACTTTACTTTTTTTAGGACAAAAATTCTGCAAAAACCTCACAGAGTTGGTATGATGTTTTGATTATGATCAGCGTTTCATTGAGTGTGTTATGTTTATTAGTTTTCGAGTTAGATTGCAATTCATCGGTCCGCTTTTGAGCCAAACGGACTATATAGGTTTAATGAAGAAACTCAACTGTTTCACAGTCACGCTGATAAATAATGATCAACTACTATAGTATTGTCTCAGTATCCATTTCATCAATTTGAAAACAACGCACCAAAAAACACACTATTTTTGAGATAGAGAAAAAAAAAAGATACTTATAAAGGAAAGACCTGATATATAGTAACAGTAGAAAATCAAGAAGAAATTCTAGAATCCATTCATATTTACAGCATTTTTTATAGAAAATATTGCAACACATTTGCCTATCCTTTATACTACAAAAAATATCACATATCTGTGTAGATCATGTAGACAAGGTAACTTCTGAAACTAAACATTGTGTTTCAGGCTCGGAGAGTCCTTGGACGGGTGACCGTGTTTGGAAGCTTGACTCCTGAGAGTTTCTAGGACTTCAGTCCTGCCCCACAACGAAGCACATCTGATACATGTGGTCTCACCTTAGGCAAGTGAGTTTGTTCAAAATTGCCTCTGTTCACCCAGCAGAATATGGGTACCCGGTGGGACAAGTCGTGTGACTAGAACCAGCTAGCGCCTAACAGGCAGCTTGGGTTATCCGGGGTAATAATGTGCTGTGCGTTGATTGTTAGTGCTATGAGCATACCTAGTGTGAGTTTGGCACTATATGAAAGGACACATTTTTATTATTATTATTATTATTATTATTAGAGTAGGAAGACCTGTATCCAGGTGAGGGTGGGAGACTGTTGACTCACCTTCTCCAGGTACCAGCGGCTGTCTGGCTCAATCTCCGACAGACCAACTCGGATCTTGTACAGATGACCCAGTTTTGACTGGAACTGTTAAACAAACATTGCAATATGTACAGAGGTGATACTTGATTTGTGAAGGCTTCTTGTGTTTGTTGTTCATTTTTGCTGTTTTATGCTGCACACAGCAATATTCCAGCTATATGATTGCAGCCTTTAGATGTGATAGGATACATATAGCATGGCCCAGGATCTGACAGGATGCATATATCATGGCTCAAGATCTTATCTGAAAAATATGTCATGGCCTAAGATATGATGGGAAAAAGGTATCATGGCTGTGATATGTTGCTTATAACATTCTAAAGATCTGATAGAAGATCACACTCCGGCACAGTGATGACTTAATATAACATTACTGCCACAGGCTAATTTGCATATCACGTGACCGGACTTTTCTCTTGTTTGTAATCAAAGCGCATATTCATAATAAGAAGAGACTGGACTCACGAAAGCTTTTCGACGCTCTCTTCATAATGTTTTACATTGTTACATATATATTCTTCCACAACTGCGACAGTAAGGTCTATGACAGTACATATTTAGATATCAAACTGGCTGCATCGTTTGCTCTCCATCAGCTTCGATGACAGCACGTGGAGCCGTACAACCCATGTAAACAAAGGATCGATACGCAAATCGAAATAGTGTTACATGTTTTAGGATATTTTCTCAATGAAACTAAACCATTCTATCAAAGATGTTTAATTAGTTGTGTAGACTCGTCAAAAATAAAAGAGTTGAGAAATATGTAAATTATATTGAATGGACGGTGCAAGATGTGACGAATCGTCACATTTTTCTGGCCTGTGGCAGAGATACTTATGCTGTCTTGCCGCATGGAACTCTGGGTAGGAGAGTGATAGAAGATCTCATGCTTTTATAATGGCCTACGATCTGATGGGATACTCATGTAATGGCCAAGCTGGACTTCAGATATAATTATAAGACACTTACATGTACTTTGAACTGATCTGTGTTTCCTGATTTGAAGTAGTCCTGTTCCCCCTTCCCCAGTGAGATTGGTCCCACGTGTCCCGACGATCCATACACGTACATCACGACTTCATCCTTGGTGACGATCCCATCCTTCTTCCCTGTTGTCAGCCACACTGTCCAGTCTCCAGCTGCAGCAACAACAACAACATTACAACTACATCATCCTGCTACACAACAGCGCAACACCAACCTTCCCATGAACACAAAACAGTATCATAAAAACAGAAGAAACACACAACATAGACCCTCAAAGATACAGACTGAATACGTCTTGGAGCCTTCATGTTATTTCATGGCACCAACGTTGCAATGGTGTACATATGTATCTATTCTAAGAATATTTAAGAAAATCAGGAATTGTCGGAAGTGGCAAAAATATGAATACAGTTTTGAAGACATTCTAAAGTAACCCATAATTCAGTGTTAAACATTGTAATGGACCATTGAGAAGGGGAAATGTTATATATTGGCTGGAACAGGATATTGCACAAAAGAGAAAATCTTTCTAATTTGTTTTACGTTAAGGAGCTATAAGCAAATCACAACCCGAGACCAAATCAAAGTATCATATCCCAAGCTAACGTAATGAGGATTCTAAATGCATGTATGATCTTATGGCTATATGGCTTTCAAAAACAGATGACTCAACACCTCAAAAGTCTCAATACTCTTGTTGGTTCAGTATGGATGTTATGTCCTATTCCAGATTAATGACTTCCGTATCAGCATGGGAAAACAATTTCCATGTGAAATGTGAGTTGATAAAAGGAAGTCCTTTGATTCCTGCTATCTTCACAAGAGAGTTACATCCACCTCTGGTTAAATTACACCACCTCCAGGTTTGGAGAACACATACCCAAGGCAGTGAAAATATAACAGGACGTTCGGAATATGTCTGGGGCATTACTTACGTTTATTGCTTTCTTCCTTCTTTTTTGTTGCAGTTACTTTCTTCTCTGTAGGGAAACAAGGTCATCAGATCATTTCTATACAGAATACACACAGGTAACGATCAGGTCCTCTTCTGTGAGGATCAGCAACACCTTCACATCAGCTGTTAGTATGACACACACTATGATAGTAGGGTCCTAATGTTAGATCAGCAAGTATGCCAGCTAATACTGATGTCAAATTGTCAGCCACACTTGTGGATTCAAATAAAAAGCTGTCACGTTACACTGTTTTAGTTAGATTTTAGTCAGACACTAGATTATATACTAGTATTTCTTCTACAGACAAGTAGCAAGGAACGCCTAAGAAAAAAAATATGGGTTATACTGATTCTGTTTTTTCGTTAGCACTGGAGCTACTGTTATATGCTGTAATGTATCTGATTTATGATTAAGAATTGAAATAAATACTAAATAAAGATCAGATATATAAAAAGACTTAAACAGGATGCAGGAATGAGAAACTAGAAGCAGTTGTAAATACTGGCCTAGCCACACTGGTCCCTCAGTCTAGAGAACAGTAAAGTGTATACATGGGGTAGGTGATCACAGCTGATACAAACGCTAGTAAACCAACAGTACAAGCAGTTAATTATTCAACCCTTGGCCAGTTCATAACACTGACTATGTTACACATGCAAAGAGTTAGCATTTGTTATTTTATGGCTGTGCCTAGTAAAAGACAAACATTATTATCTTCCAATATTACACAATAATACTGTTTCAGAACTATCACAATTGCACATCCTGTGAAATCTTGGTACCTTTGGTCCACAGAACAAAGAAAACAAATACATGTATTACCCATAAGAGAACAAATATAGGAAAAATTACTTTTAGCAATTATCACTGAGCATTGTAATAATTGTTTCATTGTTATTCTTCGTTAACATGCCCAAAGCAAAATGATATATAACTGACTGACTGACTGACTGAGTTTAGTTTTACGCCGCTTTTAGCAATATTCCAGCAATATCACGGCGGGGGACACCAGAAATGGGCTTAACACATTGTGCCCATGTGGGGAATCGAACCCGGGCCTTCGGCGTGACGAGTCAACGCTTTAACCACTAGGCTACCCCACCGCCCCATATATAACTGAAGATGATTTCATTCACTGTCATTGCTATGACGAAATTTAATATGAAGTTGTCCAAAAGGGGAGTCTTTCATTTGAGATCATGAAACCCCAATTTTCCTTTGTTAAAAAAAATAAAGACTACGGTAACATATAATATTACCGATCTCCCAAGATGCACTTCTGGATCATGTGTTGCTTATCAGTTACCGGGGTACCTGTCCCTCGTTGATTAATGTCAAATGTTCCGCACGAAGGCTTGGAACTTACAAAATGAATTGTGTACATAAAATGAATGTAAATCTTGTGATTTATCAAAAGTTCCCTTCAAGTCTTGGTAGTGAAAAACTAATTCACTAAGGACCGAAACTATATCATTCCTTTCAGCTCAAAGGTGAATACCATTCCCACTTAACATTCTCAACATTGTCAGTGCAATAACATTCAGGTGTGGGAGTAACACAATACATGATGTGCTGGTAGGTGTAACACATTGTGATGACACGAACACTGTTTCCACACTACATATATGGCGGCGGTCTGTAAATAATTGATCTGGACCAAACAGTCCAGTGATCAACACATGAGTATCGATCTATGCAATAGGGATACGATGACATGTGTCAACCAACTCAGCGAGCCTGACCACCCAATCCTATTAGCCGGCTCTTACAATAAGCATGGGTTGGCTGGGACCAATTCTAGTCCAGATCTTCACAGGTCATTATACAGTAGAATACTTTTAAAATGAACACGGATATAACGAATTGACGGCTATAGCGAACTGTTTTAAAAAGTCCAGAATAAACCTTATATTATCATATAAAAAACTGAATAGCGAACTACGGATATAACAAACTAATTTCAGTGGTCCCTTAGAGTTCGTTATAAAGGTATTTTACTGTACTAGGATAGATATGGGATTAAGTTCTCTGTCATGTTTAGGAGATTTATTGACAATTTGAAGAAAGATCAGCTAGATCGTGGCAAGAGTGGGATCTCACCGTGGAAGCATTTTCAATTGGTAAAGTGATATTAGTCACATATTTGTTGTAAACATGAATGCTACAAACACCATTCATGAAATACTTCATATTCATATTAAGTTACATTATTATCAGCATTAAAGCACCATAAAGTGCATGTTATTAGAAATGTTGTGCAATAATTGTTAATATTGTGTGTGTACAGCTACAGACACAGACATAGCTATTCCTATGTGTTATCGAAGTGATGTGTGCAACATTGTACATGCACAGTGCATATTAATACAAATACTGTGGAACATTATGCGGTGTATACACAACATGGTATCTTATACTATAACCTGGCACTGAGGGGAAGGCGATAACAAGCTGCTTGACCCTGGAACTATATCAGTCAGCTGGGGGATATGTACTTATATAGAATATAAACAGTCTCTGGCTGGCTTTATATGGCAAGATGTACAAGCACTATCTAGCAAAAGTAATGCTGCATCATTCAGACACTTCAACAGACATGATAGACAAGTCATGCACCTTAATAAGTAGATATAGATGTTATATCATTTCTGAAAGTAGAGTATATATCATTTCAGGGGAGGGATTGAAGAGGTAGAGGGTCTGGTCAATATAAGGTCAGCACTAAACAGGCACGCTCCACTTACAAGGAACTCAATGGACTTTTTAAATAGATCAGGAATTTCTTGATAAAGTTGCAATTTCTGAACATGGTCACTAGTACACTCAAGTAATTTATTTAGCTTTTTAGTACAGTCCCTCGCAGTGTCTGCTCACATGTCAAAGTGGGCCTTATAATTCTGACAGAAATATCTTATACCATACCATCTTAATTCCCACAGTCATGCTGAGCCTGAGTTCGAATCGCTACATGGATATATTTCTGGTGTCTAAAAACCGTGATTATACTGGAATGTTGCTAAAAGCTGCCTAAACTGTGCTCACTCTTTTAGAGTCACCACTCAACCTCTCAGACATAGGTCAAGTATCGCAAATTATTAACAATTTCTGATTGAGACCTCCCATATTTCCCCCCAAACGGGTAAGTGAGCATGGTAACAGTATTCTATTCCCCCAGAACCATTAGCTTCACACAAACCAAACACTCATTAGTATGGTACACAAATTTAACACATAAACAAATTTCCTTGATGTTTGGACGAGTTAGGACAAGGACGACCACAGACCGTAGAGACATAGTGTCATGTGAGGTGCAACATTGTACAGGAAGTAGACCCTCCCACAGCAGGTCAGTGAGCTGGGACACACAAGCCTGGAGGCAGTACACACCTTGCTGGTTGATTAACAACCTCTTTCAAGAAACTGCCATAAACTCAAACAGGTTTCATATTTGACAGATGTTTTTATGTGCACATTCACATATTCATACTTTAACCTGTTCTAGAAAAAGAAAGAGAACTAGTTACTGAAAAATTACTCTTCCATATAAACATCTTTGTAAATGACCAAAAATGAGCCACATATACACAAATATACATATTCTTTCTTAAAAAAAAATGGACAAGAAAGCAAAATTTAGTAAGAAGTCACTTTCAGTATTTTCTTTTACTGTGCTACACAAATGACCTTCTACACAAATGACCTTCTACACAAATGACCTACTACACAAATGACCTTCATTAAATTTCCTGTCATTTGGGATCAATATATTACAAAATATGTTGTGTTTGAAACAGAATTCCTGAGGGAACTTATTGCTTCATATGATTCATGGTATTACAAACAATAAGTAAACATGGTATTCAAAACATCTGTCTCAACTCTTGGTCTCAAGGGATGTCACTTTCTGGTATATATCAAATGTATGCAGCCTCCAGGCTTCTGTGTCCGTCACACACACCGACCCCTTACCACACAGTATGCCACCCACACACTATCTTACCCTCCGCCTCGCCATCGGGGTCGGAATCATTCTGAGCATGCCTTGCAGGTGCTTCATCGTCGTTATCAGCTTCGGACACGACACTGTGGTCAGTGTCATTGCCGTCGTCCCTATCTTGTGCGACCCGCTCTAACTGCACACCGCCATGTTCAGATACTTCACTATTATCAGTATCCTCGTCAATTATGTCATTCTCAATTTTCTCCAGTTCAAAGCTTTCATCTTCATAAACAACGCTTGGTTCAGTATCATTAAAATCAGACTGACGACTATCGCGTCTTATGTCCCCAAACTGCAAGTTTCTAGTCGCAGCCTCAAGAGCTGCAGCGACAACCTGAGAGGCATACTCAGACGACTCGCGTCTCATTGCTATGGAAACAAAACATAACTTCATAATCAAAGTGAAATAATCATGAGTTAAGTATCACAACTGTGAGTCCTGAATGGTCAAATTCTAATTCGTTTGTGTTTTCATTCTTGTGTTAGGTTGTTGATTGTTTTACATAGTTTTCATGACAAAGACAACACAACTAAGCTATATAAAAAAGATTGAAGTACAATAAAGATATTGAAGTACAATATACTGAAAAAATACATTGGCTAAACTAACATCACCTAAGTGATATACTTTTAGTAGGTTTATGCAAATTTTGGGAAAATACCCATAACCTTTGTCTTTCTTCACTGCTGAACATTAAATTGTTTTCAATCTATTTATTTTGCTGTATCCTAATTTTTAATTTAATTTCATATTTCTCTTGTATTTATTTCATTTCTTTCCTGACAAATTTTTTTTCTTGTCATATGAAGTCTACAGCAAGCCAGATGTTAGTAAATGCTCAGCATCTAAAGAAGCTAGGAATCTCAAGTTACCCCTATGACATTTTCTATGAACATCGCAGGATATTAAAGTGTGAAGCTTTCATGAAGGATATTAAAGTGTGAAGCTTTCATGAAGAATTCACAGACAGAGGTTATATGTCCATTACAATGGGGATGATACTTTAAAGACTACATGCATGTGGTCCTATTGATCTATTCAGCATGTCAATGAAATTAGCACAAAACATATACGATATAACAAACATAGTATTAGTATGCACTTAAGGATAATATATAGTAACAACAATAATGTGTACCTGTCGATAGAGGGATGAATAATCGTTTGAGTTTTTGTCACCTCGGTTTGGATCGCCGTGAGAGATATTTTTCAGTGCTCTGACTGGGCATAATGATAGATCCAGTGTATCATGGAGGTCCGAGAATTGATGAGAGAGCTGGGATCTGTCTGGTTGACTGGCAACTGGTTCTTGGCGATGAAATCCCAGCCGTGAAGTCCCATATGCACCGATGTTATGATTGTCATCAGAGTGTGTTCTCTCAGCTATATTTTGATAATGTTGAGCCTTTTAGTTAGTCTGTTGTAGGCCACTGTGGATGTGTAGCATATCTAGCTGTAAATTTTCTTTGCAGCATATCTTCAAAACTGTGCCACTTGTCATCATTACAAGTAGCGAAAGTGGAGTTGCATAAGCAAGCGCGGACTGCTTTCACGCTCTGGCTGAAAAACCTCTCTTGACCGCCTAATACAGTCCATACGCGAAGTTGGAATGCTTCGCTTTCCGCGGCGCTTTGTTTGGTGGAGGATGTATTAGTAGATTCGAAAGCACTTTGAAGTTGTAGTATTGGTTGTCCGATCTTGAATAAGAGTTGGAAATAGTAGGGCCCAGCACCAAAATCATTTGGAGGCTCGAGTTTGCTTTGATTTTTCTGTAACACCTGTGGGATTAACGCTGGTGGCGAAATGCGACGCCTTGAGTCCTTCCCAGCTTAGCGTCCGCTCCCATGCTAGTGGGTCTGGGACTGGTGATAATGAATGTTGTCAGTTGATTGTTGAAGCGAAAGCGCAAATAGAAGTCTATTAGTGGAGTCCTTTTATAATTTGTGCAAATATCTCTGTATGGAGCATCAATTCTGCTCTTGGTAGGTGTAATGAGAGAGCGTCTGCTACATAGAGTCAATAGGTTCCCTGGTTGAGGCCTTGTTTGTTCACACTATAAAACGCCACTGTTGAATTGTCTGTGTGAATCATCAATTAGTTCTTTAGTAAGTTGCTCCAATGATGTATGAATATTGGGCCGACCCGTCTACATAGAGATGTGTTTTCAATTCCCGCTCTATTAAAAGATTCCATCGCCAAACATTCAGTCTCTTGGTCCACCATAGTAGGTGAGGGCTTGACGTGATTTGAGGTTGAGGTTCGGCCGAGATGAGAGTTGATCAGGATAACGGGCCGAGCTGTAGTCTGCCTCTGACTGTCATGTCTTGAGCTGACGGTAGACCCAACAGAGCTCTGCCATTGTTGTAGGTGGTAGTGGAGAGAGTTAGGCTTGAGGGATTGTCTGTTGGATCTTGGATCCATCAGTCCTCCTGGGTACCTAACGATACGCTTCGCCCGAGAAATCAATGCCTAGAAATTACAGATCTTAGGTTCTAGGTCCGACTTGAGTAGATATACCAACCATCCTATCTGTGGTTGTAGCTTGATGAAGTTTAACTGTAGTCTGAGACGCTGTGGATCTGGATCCACTTGTATCCCGTCGTCGAGGTAGAACGCACTGCGTAGTCCTTGACGATGTAGGTAAGAGACAATAGGTTTCGTCACTCTTGTGAATAACCAGGGGGCAGATGAGATTCTGAAGGGGTGCGGAGTCTGCATTGTGACGACGTGGAGGCCCTCCTAGTCTTTGGCTGCGGTGGCGCGATGTCCGGGGATGCAGGTAAGCGTTGGAGATAGCGATCAAGGCCCCACGCCTCTCTCCTCGAGGGTAACTCTAGCGAACACCAGACAGGAGGGGGGTCGTCCGACAGCAGTTGACAGGGTAAAATCTGTTTACATGACTCTATCTGCTGCACGCCTCAAGATTAAATATTTATCAAAGGCAGTAAAGAGGTAAATAACTAAGAATAAAACAAAGGATATAATGTGGAAGGAGACACAGGCGCCTCACATCCTGCTCACTGGGCAAAGGAGGAGAGAGAGAGGGCATGTGGCAAGAGGTGGCTGCCCTCTGATTGAAGGGAGCTTCAATTGGGAGATACAAGTGTTCCACTGTGTTCGGGTAAGAAGCAAAATAGCATGAGTCAGGGATAAGGACAAATAATGAATATCCCAACATTCAGACCTTCTACTTTTGTTTGCACTTTTGAGTGGGCTATTTGTTATCTTGCGTTAACAATAGGACATTGTCTCTGTCATTTGTGTTGAACTATAGTACATTGTGTCTGTGGTAAAACAGAGGCATCTGTGTTGATGGATGGTACATAGTGTCTTTCATCTGTGTAGAAGAATGGTACATAGTGTCTTTCATCTGTGTAGAAGAATGGTACATAGTGTCTTTCATCTGTGTAGAAGAATTGTACATTGTATCTGTCATCTGTGTAGAAGAATTGTACATTGTATCCTGTCATCTGTGTAGAAGAATGGTACATTGTATCTGTCATCTGTGTAGAAGAATGGTACATTGTATCTGTCATCTGTGTAGAAGAATGGTACATTGTATCTGTCATCTGTGTAGAAGAATGGTACATTGTATCTGTCATCTGTGTAGAAGAATGGTACATTGTATCTGTCATCCATGTGTAGAAGAATTGGTACATTGTATCTGTCATCTGTGTAGAAGAAGGGTACATTGTATCTGTCATCTGTGTAGAAGAAGGGTACATTGTATCTGTCATCTGTGTAGAAGAAGGGTACATTGTATCTGTCATCTGTGTAGAAGAATGGTACATTGTATCTGTCATCTGTGTAGAAGAAGGGTACATTGTATCTGTCATCTGTGTAGAAGAAGGGTACATTGTATCTGTCATCTGTGTAGAAGAAGGGTACATTGTATCTGTCATCTGTGTAGAAGAATGGTACATTGTATCTGTCATCTGTGTAGAAGAATGGTACATTGTATCTGTCATCTGTGTAGAAGAATGGTACATTGTATCTGTCATCTGTGTAGAAGAATGGTACATTGTATCCGTCATCTGTGTAGAAGAATAGGTACATTGTATCCGTCATCTGTGTAGAAGAATGGTACATTGTATCTGCCATCTGTGTAGAAGAGGTGTACATTGTATCTGTCATCTGTGTAGAAGAATTGTACTTTGTGTTTGGCATCAGTGTTGAACAATGGTACTTTATGTCTCTTATTAGTGTCGAACAATGGCACTTTGTGTTTGGCATCAGTGTTGAACAATGGTACTTTGTGTTTGTCATCAGTGTTGAACAATGGCACTTTGTGTTTGGCATCAGTGTTGAACAATGGTTCTTTATGTCTCTCATTAGTGTCGAACAATGGCACTTTGTGTTTGGCATCAGTGTTGAACAATGGTTCTTTATGTCTCTCATCAGTGTTGAACAATGGAACTTTGTGTTTGGCATCAGTGTTGAACAATGGTACTTTATGTCTCTCATTAGTGTCGAACAATGGCACTTTGTGTTTGGCATCAGTGTTGAACAATGGTACTTTGTGTTTGTCATCAGTGTTGAACAATCGTACTTTGTGTTTGTCATCAGTGTTGAACAATCGTACTTTGTGTTTGGCATCAGTGTTGAACAATGGTACATTGTGTCTGTCATCAGTGTTGAACAATCGTACTTTGTGTTTGTCATCAGTGTTGAACAATCGTACTTTGTGTTTGTCATCAGTGTTGAACAATCGTACTTTGTGTTTGTCATCAGTGTTGAACAATGGTATAATGTAAGTGTCATCATGTGCCAAAATATCATGTTGTTTATCATCCAGTATTAAACAATGGTAGATTGTATTGAACAATGATATACATACTAATCATCATTCTGTTGAACAATTAAAATTGTGTCTGTCACATGTCATTGTGGATATTTATGATAAATAACTACAAAGCTATTATTCATTGTCATTTACAGCCATTGGATCTGAAATGTGAGAATCTGAAGATCAAATTTGTGTAAAATGAAATGCGTATCTATTTCACATTCATTGTCTGAGATAATATACACTATGAAATAAAACAACACCAAAGTCTTTCATATTACTAGAGTTCATCTGCTTATCATTACAGATTGACTAAGATAATATGAATCAATTGGCATTTCTTTAACTTCTATTGTGTAATTTACTATGAGAAATCCCTGACTTATTCCCTTAGGCATGTAGAATACCAAATTTAATCATTTTCGGGGCAACAGTCTGTCACAAACTGTTACAGTTAAATCAACCCCCACACACTGGCAAACCCATGGAGGGGTACCTCCATAATGCCATAATGACACACACAGACATAGACTCACCTGTGACGATTTTGCTGGGGGCTGGCTCTGTAGAATTAGAAAGGAGAAACATTGCATGAGTCTGTTTTGTATGCAACAGGCCAAACACAACCACCTCAGTTTCTTACCATCCACTGAGTGGAAACAGTTCATAGTTTTCTCATGTGTGCTGGGGTGGAAATAACCCATTGCCTGACGTCCGAGTCCAAATTTTTTTTCTGTCGGGCAAGCAAATTTGTATATCACACTGTACCGTGTTCAGTTGACTTTCCAATGTTAATTATGTTGTTTATTAAAAAAATCAGCAAGAAAACGGTCGGTATAGTGGAAATATTATCAGGGCAAGTGACTTTACATATACCACTGTACTGGAGTACACTAGCAATTTTAAAGTTATTTCCACCCCTGGTGTGATACATTTGTATGTTATATTTGATCTGATTTTGTTTTAATACTTCTTTGTCTCTACAAGGATGCTTCACAAAGATGCTTTCATAATTCTTGACGTGTAACCTGTATTCATGTATGTTCTTTTGGCATATTCTCTCTCACCTTATTTTACTTTATCCATAAGCTTTACCACATCTAGCTTGTTCATGACAATATTTTTGTGGTGGATATGAAGCTTGTTTCATGAAAATACTTTAATGGCAGTCTTTGAGCTTGTTCTGGGTCTGAACGACAGGTGTTTAATAATACTTGATCTATACTCTTGCTAGTTAACATTATTCATTCAATGTAAGTAAAAATCTTTCACCTCAGACTTTATATTATTGTGGGTCTAGATCATGCTTAATTTTTGTTCTATTTAATTGAGGATTTTGGTCTCAATTTGATCTATAATCGATATGTTCCATCTTAGTTCTTGATGCTTGTTCCAAGGTTCATATTTTTCTGGATGTTGTAATTGTACTTTGTTGCAAGTGTGTGTGATTGTTTTAGAATTTCTTTTTGTATCATCCTTATATGATCAATAGTCTTATTCATGAACTTGGGTCTTTAGGCCCTTTCAGTGGAATTCTAACTTGACAAATTTTATAAATGTTTGATCATTGTCTTTGTGCTTGATTTAGAGTCTTTCAGAATGATCCAGATCTTAATCTTTTACCTTGATTCTGAATGCTTGAACCAGGTTTAAGTGTTTTATGTCACTGGTGAATGCTTCAACCAGGTTTTAGTGTTTCTTCTAAGGTCTGAAAGCTTGAAGCAGGTCTTACTGTTTTAGTTAGGGTCTGAATGCATTTATTGTGCTTAATAGTAGGGTCTTTTCGGGATTATTCTGATCTAAATTTTTATCTTGAGTGAGTGAGTGAGTTTTTTAGCAATATTCCAGCAATATCATGGCGGGACACCAGAATTGGGCTTCACACATTGTGCCTATGTGGGGAATCGAACCTGGGTCTTCGGCGTGACGAGCGAATGCTTTATTAGGCTACCACACCGCCCCAAATTCCTATCTTGAATTAGAAGGCTCGGCCGAGATGTTGAATATTTTCTATGATTTACATGTTTCATGCAAGTTTTACTCCTTTGTCTAGGGTCTGGTAGGTTTGAATTCTTGAGTGAATGAGCGGTTACAGCGTCTTTGCAGCTATTGATATGTTTAATAAAGGTCTTAATGTTTCTGGAGGAGCTGAAAGCTTCATGTGTGTTCTTTTTGCATAATTCTGGGACTTTCAGTGTGATCCAAGCAATTATGTTTCTATCTTGGGTCTGAATTCTGGATCCAAGTGTTAATGTTCTATGTAGGCTTAATCTTGGTCTTAGTAGTTTATTTAGGATCTAAATGCTTGATATAGATGTTTATGCTCTATCTGGGGTTGGTGTGTTTCACATTCATTCATTACTGAATATCAAATCTTACAGCTCTTATTTTGCATCAAGTATTAAAATTTCGCTCAAGATATGACGTCTTCAGTTGTCAGATCTTCTCCCCTTTGTCTGTGAAATGGTGATATTTTGTGAAGGCTAGATTCAAAAGCAGCTATACTATATTTGAAACATTAAAAGGCAATCATTTCTCAAATGCAATGGTATTGGAGGATTTTGATACATTCTTGAACAGAAATAAAAGCAACATCATGAAGTTTCAGCTTTGTTTTTCTGTAACAAAATACACCAGTACACTTGATTGCCACACTTCAAGACAAAACACAAAACAGACGTTTTCGAACAATTCTAAACTTTATTACAATATAAATATAAAGATAAATTTCGGTTAATCTTGGCATATGTATTTGACAGAAAAACAAAACTGAAATATCAATGTATAACAGATGAAGCATGCACATGCAAGTACAATCATGCAAACATTATTACACACTGAAAACAGGAGTGCAGACAAAAGGTTAGATCGTGAATATTCTGTATAAGTACCAGAATAAGTTTACAAAACATTCATACAGTCAAAAAGAGCTACCCTTCTCTTTAATAACTAACATAACAGTTCCTATTACATATACAGATGCATAAATGGCTACCCCTGCTAAAACAACTAAATAATGAGATTACTTACAGAAAATATACAGAGCAAATAGATAAAACCGTGCTTTAAAAAAACCCTATAACAGTGTTCCCTTTATATTGCTAACAGTTACTGATTTTTTTTTATTTTCACTACCTAGTTCTGTATTTGTAACTATTTTGACAATAATCATTGCTGATTAGTTAAAATCATTGTTCTGTTATCTAAGTAATGTATCATACACAATGTTACAATTAACAAACTCATTAAAACTGGTTAGTTAAAAATACCAGTAAATATATCCCAAAAATTCTAAAATCTGTTGTAGAAAATAACTTTCTAGATATATAAAATATAAACTATTTTACTTATGACTACAAATGATTAAAAACAGCTTTGATGAATATTTTCAAATAGATCATTTCACTTTTGAAAAATGCCTTTTCATTTTTACTGAAAAATACCAATTAAAATTTTGGAACTTTTTCAGATCAATTTTAACCTTCGTCTATCATCTGCCCTGACGTAGCATACATAACCCATATCACATACAGTACACATAATGCATTAATACGTTGATATCACAGCAATAACACAAAATCAAAGGAAAGGACAGAAAAACACCAGTAGCATTAAATATTGCTGGCAAAATCTTTTTAAAAAGCTTTAAAAGGTTTGTTTTTCTGTTTCAATATCTTCACATTTAATCACATCAAATCTTTCTGATTTAGAAAACATAAAACGTCTGATTTTGCCAACATAACAACAACCATTACCTGAGAAAGAAGCAAAGTGCCTGTAGTGTTAAAACCATTACCATAGCAACCAGGTGAGACAGTGAGTGACATGTGAACAAGGTGTTTTTTTAGGTGTAAAACAGGTGCAAGACTTGGTCTTATGATGTGTTTTATAAGATTTATCATACAGTTTTTCAAAAGTCTATAACTCCCAATAGCAAATCCAGCCATCCCTGTCAAAAATTCACATATTTATCACTTAAATTAAAAATACTATGAAACAGAAAGAATATCAAAATATTACCTCATTGTTGTTTTGTCTCAATTATAAAACCCCAACTCTCCAATTTTCAAATTATATGTCTGTAAGCATACACCTGAAGCATATTAAATCTTCTGAGTATTTGAGTATTATGAACGACATAATATTGGCATAAACACAACAAACAGTCAAGTGGTTCTGGATCTTACATCAACAACAAGCTGACATGCACATTCAAGACAGAATAAATTTCAACATGGACAGGATTAGTGACTTGACACAATCATCCACAAAAAGCATGGGTGCTGGTTAGTGCATGCTGGGAAATGGAGCATCACAAAGGGAGGTAACTGTTCACATACCCTTGACATGCAGAGTTCGCTCGATACGTCGGTCTTCCAAGCTAGAATCAAACCATCTGAAACCAACAAACATAACTGAAGGCAGAGTTACACGAAAAGTGAAGTAATACAATTGTGGATCCTTAGGGAAATGAAATGTCTTCAGTGTTATAAGTGAACACTGTGCTTCAAAACCATCTGCTGAAACCAGAGATAGTTGAAGATAGTGTAAGCAACAGAATGAGGTGGTACCCACTGAGATTGTGGATGAGAATAGGTCCACAACAACCCATGAATGATGTAAGAGGCAACTTAATGTAACAGGTGGTTGTTTTTCTTACGTCTGGTAGATTATGCTCCTTTGAATCAGTGACATGGGGGTCAGTGCTCATAATATCAATCACCGTTTTGTTTGATGTAGATTTAGCTACCTACAGGCCTCCATCACATAGCTCAAATATTGCTGAGTGAGATATTGAGATATTAAGCAACGAAGAAGTCATTGTTAGATAATCTGCCATGTCACAGCTGAGGGAAACACACATCACACAGAAACTCATTCACAGCATCCATATTGGCCAACTGATCCACAACCCCAGCATCCTCTCAACTGCAAAGATGAGGTGGCTGAATTACGCACTGAATCAAGTCCATAATTATTAGATGGAGAAGGAGGTTTATCATCATATACAAGATTACTGCACTTACATAGTGATGTATGTGTATGTAGTACATACTAATCTGGACCTCTATTGTATGTATGTTTTATAGATATCCACTGAGATACCATGCTGCAAAGTAATATGTACAGCCAATTTAGACATCCTATACAGACTCCAAGGCAACTAGTCCTTGATTAATCCCTCTAATGCTGAATGCCAGTCAGGGTAACATCAAATACCATCCATTAACATCTTTTGTATGACATTGCCATGGGACAAACCACTGACCTTCTGACTGATTTTCATCTGGCATCAAGTGTTCTGAGAGATTTCAATGCATAATGTTAAACAATGCATGAGGCATGTTCTGGTTGTGAAGATGTGGGAAGTGCCATCTGTTTCAGAAGGTGAGTGAGTGAGTTTAGTTTTACGCCACTTTTAGCAATATTCCAGCAATATCACGGCAGGGAACACCAGAAATGGGCTTCACATATTGTACCCATGTGGAGAATCGAACCCGGATCTTCGGTGTGATGAGCGAACACTTAAACCACTAGGCTACCCCACTGCCCCTGTTACAGAAGGTGATCGTAAGTCCCATAGACCTAACACACTGGAAACGCTAAGGTTGTTTTGTACAACAGCTCCCTGATCATCTTGGCAGACAGATTGCTGTGATCTCTAAATCGGTTTCTGTGAGATGTAACAGATGGATTCTGTTATACCAGTATTCATTATACAATGATAGAAGCAACAGAATTAAACACATAACAAAATATATCACATAGAACATCTCCAAATGCATAACATGCTTTAAGATCGAATATATATATCAATATAAATCTAAACATCACATAAATCTAAACATGCAAGCGTTAAAAACGTGACAGAATCTGCTGTTTTTTAACACATGACATTTCTAGGAATGTAGGGAAGTTCTTGCTGCATTGTGAGACGCTTCATGACATACATGTCGACCTGCAGTAGCAGTATCACATGAACTTTACAATATGAATCTGGGATAACAGCTCACCTGTCACAAGGAAAGATGTACTGGTCACGGGAGCTCTCACTCTCCTTGATGATGACTTTGTCGAGGTGCCAGCCATCACCTGCACCAGTGGCATTGTGGCCAATGTGGACTTTGTTCAGTTTACCAAGGTGTACTGCCTCCACTTCAAACGAGTCCGTCTGCAAGAGAAAAGGTCAAGGGTGTTGGAAACACTGGAGACATCTGGCAGAGAAGATCTGCCTCAAATAGCAGAAAGAATTGTGGTACACAAGTTCCAACAGATGTGACATCCTCTGAACTATGAGTGAGTGAGTGAGTGAGTCTCTCGGACTTACTCAACCACTATGTCCCCAGCCGTTCCCTCTGCTCTGAATCAAAGTTCTCAGTGTGCCTAAAGTCAGAACGACAACTTATGGTCAACGTGCCTTTGCCTTTGCCGCTGCCTCATGTTGGAACTCTCTTCCTCAGATGATCCGTCTCTCAGGAACTCTATCAACCTTCAAAACAAGCCTTAAAACCCATCTTTTCAGACAAGCTTTTCTTCCCTGAATCTTCTCTCAACTGTGCGCTTTGAGCATGCATTTAGCATGGAACTAGCACTATACAAATGGACTTATGTTATGTTATGAGTGAGTGAGTGGGTGAGCAGGTGGGTGAGCGAATTGTCTTATGCCGTTTTTAGCAATATTCCAGTAATATCACGGTGAGGGACATTAGAAATGGGCTTCACACATTGTACCCATGTGGAGGAATCGAACCCGGGTCTTCGGAATGACGAGCAAACCCTTTAACCACTAGACTACCCCACCCTCTGAATTATTTTGTGGTCCCAATAGTCAGAAATAAGGAACCAACTGACCTGTCCTGCCTTGAACTTGTTTCTGTTGTTTGACAGACGGAGCACTCTCTTCCCTGAGTCCCCACGTTCACCGAAGATGGTCAGGTGAACATCTGCATCAGTAGAAGCGTTTCTCTCTGTCCCAGTCATCACTTCCACGACGTAGGACAACACTGAAACACAATCATCATAATAATCACACAGGTACTTAGAGTGAGACACAGAGTGTTTGACATTGTAACATCACGATGCATCAGTAGAATTCTCAGCTCCCTAAGGAGTATACAAGCTCCATCATGCAAAAGTCATGAGATATGAGTGAGTGAGTTGGGTTTTACCCTGCTTTTAGCAATATTCCAGCATGATCACGGCGGGTGACACCAGAAATGGGCTTCACATATTGTACCCATGTGGGGAATCGAACCTGGGTCTTCGGTGTGACAAGCGAACGCTTTAACCACAAGGCTACCCCACCTTCCAATCATGATATACATCAAACAGTATTCCTTCATCAGCAATGTGGGAGAGTATTCAGTACAAGCGATAAGATGTATGTCACAATAAGCCACATTTTGATTGGACACATTGAACGGACAGGAGCAATCTGACCTTGACCTTTAGCTAAAACAGCAGATGCTGATTTTTGCTGGTTTCACTTATAAAATGTTTTTCTCTGAACATGTTTCTATTTGAAACAGTCTCATGCCTGCTTAAATATTTAGCAGTACTGATTCCTGAATATAGCACTTCTTATCTGGAACTTGTGAATGTGAATGTGTCATCCAATGCAGTACAGACAGTATTTATTTATATATTTTTTTTATTACGATAGCAAGTAATTCAATATTCATACAGCTGGATAATACAGAGAATACATATATTCAAGCTGCAGAATAAATGGGAGAAGACATGATAATGACTGTATGAATAAAGTACCAAGAAGAAGGAATAGGGACATAGGAAAGTAAGAAAATAGAGAGAGAGAGGAAAATATGATCAAACATTGGTTTGCATCCATCTATATTAGTAAAGGGGACCATTTTTTCTGCAAATTTGGTCTTCTCTCCAGAGATGAATTTTTCTATGTTGTGATTATATTTTATTAGCAGTAATAACTGGGTACAGTACAGACACGATCTGAATAAACCAGGGCCTTGAGCTTCGACGCTTTAAGATAAGATAGAAAGTGCCATACATTAATAAGAGCTTCACGACTTATCTTAGCGCTTAAGAGCTTCCAAAATGGTTCCTATTTGTCTGTCTTTTCACAGCAACACTTTCATTAACTGTCTCCTGTGTCTGACATCTCTTTTGAACATTTCACTTGTTCTCCTTTAAGCAGATGTATGACAATGGAATAACGTTTTGTTCTTACCTGGAAGAACATTTTCGCCAGGCCTCACAACTGGCATTTCTCGCATGATTTCCTCGTCATCCTGTCTCCGTGACAACCATCGGTTGAACTGGAATTTGAGCATCTCCTTAGACTTAAGGTCCTGCATCTTGACCTCTCTCACCTTCCATGATGGAGCCTTGGTTGGGTTCTTGGGAATCAACTCCAGACGGATCTTGTACAACTTGCCACACTTGTGGAAGTTGGACTGAAACTATGCGGCGTAATAGCTGTTATAAGCAGTTGGTGCCTGGCATTGCCACTGGGGGACATGTTTACCCACTTCGTGAACACCTGGTGTCATCATTAATTTTCATTGAACCATTTAAAACTTTTACCACTAATTTGCATTTTGTGACCAAAGGAATCTGTTTCTGCACATTACTGACTATTTCTGCAGAGAACGGACACTGTTCTTCAAGGACAATACACAAGGTACCATGACAAAGTTTTCCCCGAGCAATGCAGGTGAGGTGAGGTGAAATTGGGTTTTACGTCGTGCTTGAGAATATTTCGCTCATATGACGACGTGCATGCGTGTGTATGTGTATGTGCGGCTGCTTGTACTAGCCCAGACTTAAGCTGGTTTTATAGTGCTATCCCACTGAGATACCATGCCGCAGTGAAGCATGAATACCCCACTCAGACACATTATACTGACTCCCGAGCCGACCAGTCCTTGTTGTACCCATTAATGCCGAGCGCCAGGCAGGGACCAACAAGTACCATATTTTAACATCTTTTGGTATGACGCGGTCGGGGATCGAACCCGCGACCTTCCGCTCTCCGGGCAGACACTCTAACCACTACACCACGGAGGCGGTTCCCGAGCACTGCAGCCAAATGGACAACATTCAGACATATTTCCAGCCATATCACAGCAGCCAAATGCTACCAGGCCTACATGGACAGTGAAAAAGTAAGATTCATACTTGCTAGGTTATAATGTGACACCAATCAACCTGGCACCATACTGCACTCTAATCATATACTTTTGACACACTGCAGCCATTGTGATAAATTTGAATCTCATTTCAGCTGCTGTCCCATACCATGAAACAAAATTTTGCCTCAAGCAAGAAACAGACTCCTAACATCATCAATATCCCACCTTGAACTCATCATTGCTGCCAGTCTGGAAGAGCGTTCCATTTTGGGCAGGGCCGGCGAGGATAATGGCACCAGAACAGCCCCTGTCACCATACGCAACAATTGCAACTTCACCATTTTCCAGGCTCTCCGAGGAGCTGACGATGATCTTCCAGTCCCCATCTAGTAACATTCAACACTTGTGTTTCATACACAGAAAGGAAATCTACTGATGATAAACAAACTGTGGTGCATTTTCTGCATCACTGACACTGAAAGCTGTAGTTCATGGTTTTATCATATCTATAAATAGTAGCACCAAGATGGTAACTTGTATATGTCCGGATTTGGGGCCAAATGCCTCTCGATTACATAAAGTGGATGTCAGTCTCTCCATACTTCAAACAGATACGACCCATGAAGACCGGTGTAACAGGCCAAACTTTCCCCCTGGCCAAACCCGGGTGGTTAGCAGACTCACTGACTTGGTGACATTGTATCCCAATTGTGTAGATCAATGGTCATGCTGTTGATCACTGGATTGTCTGGTCCAGACTCGATTATATACAGACTGCCGCTGTATAGCTGGAATATTGCTGAGTGCGTTGTTAAACAACAAATAAACCAACCAACCATTCAACAGATACAGAAACACAAACTATACATTTGTAATAAACTCATCATTGTTGGGTGATTCTAGAGTTATGGAATGTTGACAACTTATATGCACAAATTTCATGGCCACAGAAAACCTTCCTGTCACAGTAAAAGTATGAATTCACATGGAAGGTGTAAATATTTTGGAAATTGCAGAATTTAGTTGTCTTCAGCAAATCTGTACCTGAGAACCATTTTACTCTTGATCCTTGATCGTAAACAACATCCATGTTTCTCACCTTCTTCTCCAACCTAGGGGAATTAGGGTGAGGTGGGCTGAAGGTTACGGGGTGGCAGTAGACAACATGTAATGTTTCTCACCTTCTATCTCTGCCCTTGGAGACCTGGGACGACGTTCCCTTGAAGACCCTCTTGGGGAACGCCGGCCCCTCTCCCGTGAAGACCCTCTAGAATGGCGGCCCCTCTCCCGTGAAGACCCTCTAGAACGGCGGCCCCTTTCCCGTGAAGACCCTCTAGGGGAATGGCGGTCCCTCTCCCGTGAGGACTCTCTAGGGGTACGATGGGATGCACCACCTCTCTGTTTTGGAACACCAACTGCAACAAGGATCATAAACAGTACACACACTTTGATGTGGTGAGCACTGAAACAATTTATTTCTTGTTTCCCCTTCCTTATATGCAAATTAGAAAAAGGACAAATGGTCCTAAATAATGAACCGAATGGTTATTAACTGCTAACTATATGAAATGAAATTAATACTGGTATAATAATCAAGGTGTAATTGGTAGCCCAGTGTATGTTTTTGCTTATCAGGCCTTACATCTGGTTCTATTCCAAATATTGGCACTAGGTTAATTTTCTGTTGTGATATTGTTGCAATACTTTTAAAGTCAAACTTTTCAGCACACAAAACTATATCCATAATTTTGCTACCTGCCTTAAGCTTTATATCTGGTTTTAGCTAAGCACCACCCATTTTAGGAAATGTAGCCATCACAGCTTAAAAAAATCTTATTCTAAATAGACCTAATCAAAAACTCCAAACACTCACACTCCACAACCTCCGGGTAGAGCCAGATGTTCTGCACCCCTGTGTCGACAGTGGGGTGTATCCGACCTTGAGTGGTCAGCCCCACATACAGGCCTCGGCTTATCGCAGACTGTAGAGTTACATAGCCCTTGTCATGGTGTTTGGCCACGATGAATTGACAAAGGTCATCTTTTCTACCCTGGAATAGATGTAATATGTTAAATGAAAAAGTTCTGACATTGTCCACATAAAAACATCTGCACAATAGTCAGTGGTACTAGGATACTTCAAACTATTAAACTAACGTATTCTTGGTTAGAAGGATTGTCTCATTCTACAAAACATCCCTGCATGAAATAATGATAGAACAGTATTTGATTTCAGCCAAAGATGAACATTTTCACATTTTTCATATGCTTTTCAAGTTTTGACAATATTTCTTTACCAATCTTTCAAAATCAATCACTAAAACAACATTTGAAATTCATACTTTTAATCATCATTTCTCCAACAAGTAAAATTCTGCTTGGTTTGAAAGTGCTACTGCTTACATCCTTTGTTATAAGTTCTTAATGACATAGACTATTTGAATTTAACAAATCATACAAACAGTGCTTTAAACTGACTGTTTGAAATGTTAACGTCTGGGCTAACAAACACCCCCAAACATCCATGAAGTAACATCCATCTTCGAAGCACTTTTATTGCAACATTAAATGGTCAACTCTAGACACACTTTCTCACCCTTGTCAGCCTGTACCAAACTGGCAACAGTGTTTGTCTTTAATAGCCTAGAGGCCAGTTGCAGAAACTACAGCAGCTTTAAGACTACTCTAACTCAAATACCATATTTCCTCTTATAAGTGCCCAGGTGACTTTTATCAACAGACTTCCAGACCCAGCGTTAGAGGCCCAACCCTATTGTGCTTACTGAGTGTAATTACCGTGAATTGTTTGTGAACTGCTATACCCCAGCCGTTATTAGAGGCTCGGCGTTTATTAGAGAACAGCTGCTTATTAGAGGAAATGCGGTACTTCTACCCAGAGTAGTACTACAGTTGTACCAGTTTGATTGCTTTGTGGAACAAGTCCCTGATCAACAAATAATTACTCACACTACAGTCTATCTTGCCGTCCTTGAAGCGGAGGAAGTTTCCGGGGTAGATCATGCTCTCGAACATCCTAATACCTTCGGAGACCTTGTGGACACGGAAGTGGGCCGCTCTGTTACACTTGCCTGTCCCGAAAACTGTTTTGTCCTGGTCCACGTTGATGGCCTGGGTAGGAGAGGTGCGAAACAACACGATGCCTCGCTCACGGAACATTCCCTGCATATACATGACAGATACTCAATTGTCAGAATCCAGTTTAATATCTTTTGTTTGGGTCTTTTAGAAGAACAAGGTGAGGTGAGGTGAAATTGGGTTTAACGTCGTGATTGAGAATATTTCAAACCGAACATTATAACTTTACTATATCCATCTTTATTGTGCGATCTTATGACGACATGCATGCGTGTGTATGTGTATACCATAGCCCAGACTGAAGTTGGCTTTTAGTGCTAGCCCACTGAGATACCATGCCACAGTGAAGCATGAATACCAGTACATCCCACTCAGACACATTATACTGACTCGAGACAACCAGTCCTTGTTGTACCCATTAATGCCGGTTTGTTTTCACTGCTATTAGCCAGGCAGGGACCAACAAGTACCATATTTTAACGCTCTTTTTCTTGGTATGCACGCGTTTTTTGCGAATAGCATGATTTTACCCAAAACTTTCGTCTGAACCTGCAGGTCGGGATCGAACCCACGGCCTTCCGCTCTCCAGGCGGACGCTCTAACCACTACACCACGGAGGCAGTCCTTAGAAGAACAAGTGTTAAGGATATAGCTATGTAATATATGGCCTGTAGTAAGGTCTAAATCTGACAAATCAATGGTCCTGAAACTGATTAATCACGCTGTCAAGCAGATAGATATTTAAATCTTGATACCTTGCAGAAGACGCTGAACTTCTGATTGGGGTCGTAGTCCAGGATTCCCCGCACTTCACCAGGGCGACCATTGCTTCCGATGGTGACGAACTGTAGGGGATTCTTGAGGGCCTCGAGGATCACAGACTGGTCAGACTGGACACGCACTTTGAACTCACACAGGGACCCTCCCTTTCCCTGGAATCATGAAAAAATGAGAGATATGTACAGAGACCAAAAATGTGTGTGTGTGTGATATGATGATGATTTAAGGGGAGCGGTGGGCGAGCTGGCTGAGGTGCCAGACTGGTGATCCAGCGAGCTTGGAGTGCCGGGATCGAGCCCACCTGTGACTGGGTGTAAAAACGTTGGAGTCAATTTTGTGTGCAGACTCTTTCAGTGTTGTCACAACCCCTAGTGTACAGTACACAACCCTGTGCACTTAAAAGAACCCACGAATCCGTTGGTATATGACCAGATAGTGGCCACATGAACACGTGCAAACACCTAGTTGCGGGTACAGCAACGTGCAGTAAACTTGGACAAAGTACTGTGACTATGTGTCCCAGTCCACCCAGCTGTGAATGGGTACCCTGTTAGGATGAGAAAGCCACACTAACTTGGTGTGCCTAGTGGCTGCAAGAGTTGTATGATCCCCAGGGAGTTGAGATTGATAATACGATGTGCCGTTGAGATTGATATCCAGTGATCAAGGGAAAAAAAATACCAGCGCCTTGAGCATGCACTAGTTGCGTGGATATGTGCGCTATATAAATATCCTATAAAAAATAATAATGATTTTAAGGCGGGTTCACCCATTTTGTTCTGGGCAGGTAATCAATTTTGTACACATGTACTAAGCAATTTTACATAAAACATTAAAAAATATGCTTAGAAATTATGGGAAGTCATTCAAATTTTGTACATGATATGCAGGGGTTCTCCATCAAAATTGTACATCATAATCAAACCACCCCTAGCGATAATTTATGAACAGTCCCCAAGTGAGTGAGTGAGTTTAGTTTCACGCTACACCCAGCAATATTCCAGCTATATGGCAGCGGCCTGTAAATAATTAAGTCTGGACCAGACAATCCAGTGATGAACAGCATGAGCATCAATCTATGCAAACGGGATACTGGTGTTCCTACTCTTAGTGCATTGCCAAAATGTCTGCATGGCAAGCTTTCCCTCAACAATATCTTACAAAGTAAAAGGTTCTTTGTTTGTATGGCATATCATCATTATATGGAAGTTTTTATATCATACAGCTTGGTACTTGGGCTCATAAGGAGGTGGGCAGGGCTGTGGGGTAGCCTAGTGGTCAAAGCGTCTGCTCATCATGCTGAAGACCCAGGTTCGATTCCCCACATGGGTACAATGTGTGAAGCCCATTTCTGGTGTCTTGATATTGCTGGAATATTGCTAAAAGCGCCATAAAACCATACTTGCGCTGGCACTATGGAGGCCTCAGGTTGATATTGGGGGCTGGAGCTGATATGTGAGGCTCCAGGTTTGATGTGAGGATCTTGGGCTGACATGATGTCTGGGGCTGATATGGGATTCAGGTTGATATCAGTCTCTGGAGTTGATACTAGGGTCTTGGGCAGATATGGATGTCCGGGGTTGATACGGGCTTTGGGTTGATGATTAACATATGTGTTTGAGTATCATTATGCAGGGCTTATATCACCTGATGTGCACCAAGATGGCGGCCCCTATGTTAGATACCTGTATTCATGTAAACAAACTTACATGTCCGAGCAGACGGCCATTCTCGATGGCCAGGTGGAAGTTGGGATTGGTCTGACTGCTGAAGACGGCCACCATGTTCTTCTTCTTGAGCACACTGAACACACCTGAATAGCAGGTGAAAGGTCAGAACGTCAGGTAAACAATTCGACAGGTGATTATCAAACAACGCAAACTGAACTGAGCTCACATAGTTTAACATAAATCTCATATAAATTAACATCTGGAAGTCTTTTGAATAATCTAACATTCACTCATACAACAATTTATCACATATACTCTCAGTTTCAATTTTGTAAAATATTTTTGACAGGTTCTATGATAGAATATACACTGCCAAGGTATGCTGAGCATCGCATGTCTGAAATAAAAGAATTTGTCACCTGAAACATTTCAGTTATCAGAATCCTCTGAAATTTACCAATAGCTTACTTTAGAAAGCATGCAAACATTCCATGCACACTGACACAACAAGATCCTAAGGTGAAGTATATGGTACCTATGCTTGAACATTGTTCTATAGATGAGAATGGTGAGCAGAATGGTGGAGCACTAACCAGTTTGATCCTTAGGTTCACCAAGTCCATCCACGGTTCCGTCAAGTTTAATTCTCAGAGCTTTCCCTGTAGAGTGCGAGAAATAGCATCACCTGGTTCCGATTTTCAAACTTCCACTTCTCAAACTCCCACTGAAAATACATATATTCACACATAATAAAAGATACAAAGTCCATGCAAAGAACACCAAGTCTCTCTGAAAATACACATTCATCATAGCAAATTTTGTAGAATTTCTAGTGCAATTGTATTGGTGTAGTTTGAGGCTAAAATTCATAGCGACTATGATGAAATCGTAATGGTTGGCATCTCTGCATATACCCCTCAAGACTGGTAAATAGCTCATAATGGCCTCCAAGTTTATTCTTCATCCATCCAAATACAATAAGCATGGTCCCCTGACCAGGTCCATTATGCTGAAAGGTAGAACACAGGAAACATTCTGCTCCAGAATCCCCTGAAGATACTGATGGTGGTGATGATTCGGTAACCTCAAACCCACAATTCTTGGACTGCCACTAGTTATCCCAATAACTAGTTATCCCAAACCTAATTCTTTTAGATGACTACAGTTCATCTGTGATGGATCATGGGTAAAACACTGATTTCCAATTGTAGATGTTCCTTAATTTGTTTGAACGGTATATTCATGAAAATCACTGACTGAAAACACTTTATTGGTTCAGGAAGTATACTACACATGTGTGGTCCATATAGCTCTAAATTTGCTTCACCAACAAATGACATACGTTTCTCTTTTCCAGGATGTCGTCCGTGTAATCATTCTGCACTCGCAGCTCACGAACAATCTTCCCATCATCCTCTCCTTCATCCAGCCACCTGAAGACACACGGAAAACATATGACTGTTTACATGAGCTGTTAACAAATCATTTGGCAATAAAAACATATAACCTGCTCCCTTGATACTCAGTAGATGTCTCTTACCAAGAATATTTATTACAACATATAGTTAACATTATAATATTTTACAGATTTAAACATAATGCAGCACAGAGAGGTTCTGTGGTCCTGGCACAGTCAGGCTGGGAAGCCTCATCATCAGCTCAGATACCCTTGCCCTCTCTAAGCACAACCCAGACAGTGAATGCGACTTCTTTCAGGAAGCAAGAACTTTCTGGAGTGAGTGAGTGAGTTTGGTTTTACGCCGCTTTTAGCAATATTCCAGTAATATCACGGCGGGAGACACCAGAAATGAGCTTCACACATTGTACCCATGTGGGGAATCGAACCCGGGTCTTTGGCGTGACGAGCAAACGCTTTAACCATCAGGCTACCCCACTGCCCCAGAACTTTCTGGAGAATATGGAGACTCCCCAACACTGAAGCCTTCTCCACTAGCCAGTGTGTCAGAAGGTCTGTGCTCCTGGTAAAGAATCAGGGAACACTTCTGATGTCTGGAGTTACCATTAACCAAGGGAACAATATGGAGCTTGATGACAGTGTACTTGGCGAATATTATTATCATTATTAATATTATTATTAACACCTTCACAGTGTAGCACACTTACTTGTTACAATGGAAGGTGAAGATCTGTTGTTTTGAAGTAGGGTCTTTGATGACAAGACGTTCAAGGAACCAACCAGACCCTGAAACAGTGGATCATACCATTGTTGTTCATGTATATAAAACCAAGAGATATCATACCATTGTCATACATGCATATAACACAATGTGATATCATACCATTGTCATACATGTATATAACACTGTGTGATATCATACCATTGTCATACATGTATATAACACTGGGTGATATACCATTGTCATACATGTATAGAACACCAGGTGATATACAATTGTCATACATGTATATAACACCCGGTGATATCATACCATTATCATACATGTATATAACACTGGGTGATATCATATCATTGTCATACATGTATAGAACACCAGGTGATATCATACAATTGTCATACATGTATATAAAACCAGGAGATATCATACTATTGTTGTTCATGTATATTAAATCAGGTGATATACCATTGTCATACATGTATACAACACCAGGTGATATCATACCATTGTCATACATGTATACTACACTGGGTGATATCATATCATTGTCATACATGTATAATGGACAACCAATTCATACCAAGAGTCATCTTGAGATTAGCTTAATACATATTAAAGAAATAAAATACAAAACAATAGGAGAGAGATTCATAAAAAATACAATCGTTTTAATCCAGTAAAGATTTTTCAACTAAAACTAACCTGGTCCAGTAGCATCATGGCCGACAATGACCCGCTTTAAGTGCCCGAGGGATACCGCTTCCACTTCGAAAGAATCCGTCTACAATACACAACAAACACTCTTTCACATGCAGTCCAATATTGTGTCCATGTGAAATATCATGTACATATTCATGCAAGCTGAGACTGTAAACTTTAACAGACACCACAGGCATTTTGGAGTTTGGTCTGGGAAAACCCTCCTTCCCCTTGTAGAATTGGAACCAGTTGAAAAACTGTGCCTCTTGAAACGACCTTCACCTTGTACTCACTAGCCCACGTAGCACCACTTAAGAACCCAAACGAACCTTTGTCTTGTAGAACCAGTAATACACCTGAGCCTCTGGAAACCAAACGTCACCTTTCAGAACTCACTTGTAAAATGTTGAACACCTGTGCCTCATGAAACAAACCTTCACCTTGTAGAACTCACCTGTAAAACATTGAACACCTGTACCTCATGAAACCAACCTTCACCTTGTAAATCTCTCCTGTAAAATGTTCAGCACCTGTACCTCATGAAACCAACCTTCACCTTGTAAAACTCACCTGTAAAACACTGAACACCTGTACCTCATGAAACCAACCCTCCCTTTGCAGCACCCACCTGCCCTTTATTGAAACTCCTCTGCCTGTTCTCAGTGTACAGCTGACGAACCCCTGTGTCTCCTCGATCTCCATATATGGTCAGGTATACATTTGCATCTGTGCCAGCGTTCCACAAGTTCCCTGTAGTTACGTCCACCTCATACTTGAGCACTGCAGACAATACACCAGATCAACAGGTGACAATTCCATTAATGCAAGTGTGAAAGTAAGCTGAGCTAAAACCATAAACATACAAGCTACACAATGTGATACATGACTGATATAATTTCTGCAGTTGCAGAATGACAGATAGAGTGTTTCTTTGCTTAAACAGCAACTATATCATATTTACGTCAATTCAGCTTATGCTGTACTTTAGCATCTTAATCTTTTTGCCAAGTCAGCAGAACTTGTGCATGATAGTTAGCACTATCAACCATATTTTAATCAAATCAGCGGTATTTAATGCTTAGTCAGCATTATCAATGCTATATCACTTCAATATAAATATGCTTAGCATGGAACAGGTGTTAAGTTACAGCCTTGACCTATGCCATCTGAATGCCATGACAACCTAGACGTGCCAGGTGCCAGGTAAGTCTCCCCTGGACTCAGCTTACATGGAAGATGTGGGTCCCCTGGACGTGTGACTGGCAGCTCCCTGCACGTCTCGTGGTCATCCTCATCCCTGGCCAACCACTTCTTGCACGGAAACACAAGTTCCTCCCCTGTATCGATGTCCTTCATGCGCACCTACGCAGGCAGAACACACATCAAATCAACTTGAACTATTAATCACAAGAAAGTGGTGGAGTGAACTGTGTGCTGAAGTCTGTAATGTTATAGAAACACTGTTCCCTATGAAGCAGTTTAGTCTGGATTGGTCAGACCTGTGGACAACAGTGTCCACTAGGCAAGAACAAAGACAGTGCATGATAAACTGGCTGCTGCAGAGAGGGTGTCTCTCCTGGTAGTAACAAGGGACTGGTCAATGAGGAGTACTTGTGAAGATCCGGGTTAGAATTGATCTTCAGTAACCCATGCTTGTTGTAAGAGGTGACTAATGGGATCGGGTGGTCAGACTCGCTGACTTGGTTGACCCATGTCATCGGTTCCCAAATGCACAGATCGATGCTCATGCTATTGATCCCTGGATTATGTGGTCCAGACTCGATTATTTACAGACCGCCGCCATATAGCTGGAATATTGCTGAGTGTGGCGTAAAACTTAACTCACATACACACACTAATCAATGACAAGTACTAACCAATGCCAAGTACTAGCCAATGACAAGTACTAACCAATGACAAATACTAACCAATGCCAAGTACTAGCCAATGACAAATACTAACCATTGACAAGTACTAACCAATGACAAGTACTAACCAATGACAAGTACTAATCAGTGACAAGTACTGATCTCTGATAATAATAATACTGGACATTTATAATGTACTTGTATCTACATACTGGAACATGCTCAAGGCACTTTAACAAAATCAGGGGATTGTATACAAAATATATACAACCGGAATAACTGTTAATCTGTTTTTAAAAAAATCTAGGAATGTTATTCAACACACAGACTATAACATTTCAGTAGGTATTTGTCTGAAAGTGGTAGTTCATTAATCATTGGAACCAAACCCCAACAACAAAAACTGTTCATTTAGCCTTTGAGTCAAAGAGACAGGTACTTTAGTTATTCATTATATAACATTTTCTATAAAATGCTGGCAAACTGTGACAAGATACAGATCGTTTGACTGCAGCAGTTAAACATGGGCAATGTTTGAAGACTCACTTCATCACAAAACCAGCCTGGGTGGCTCCCAGTGTTGTCGTGGGCGATACGTATCTTGTAGATCTCTCCGATGCTTCCTACGCTGATCTGAAACACATGAAATATTCACTCACTTTCATTTCAAGAGAGAAATGATTTTATAATGTTGTCACTGATCCATCACAAACCAGTAAATCCCACCTAAGTTCAAGGACACTTAGTCTGCCTAAGTGTTGAGTTTCACATGAAACAAACATTCGGACTTGTTCTCATTGAGATTTGCCATTTAAAATTAATTAATTAATACTAAAACATACAGGCCTCAGAACTCACTCGGCTGGGATAGAATATCTGATAGTTGTTGACCACAAATGATATCATATAATCATCAGCGAAGTATTTCTCTTATCGTTTTGAATTTTTTTAAAATTAATGATGCTGAAAAGATAATCAGGGATTCATCATAGAAACTGCTTTAACTATGTCAGGTTTATCACTGCACCTCAGCTTAACATGGGTGAGTGAGTGAGTGAGTTTGGTTTTATGCTGCTTTTAGCAATATTCCAGCAATATCACGGCTGGGGACACCAGAAATGGGTTTCACACATTGTACCCATGAGAAGTGAGTGAACTTCTCATCAGGTTGATGTGGGAGGAAGGCCTGAAGTGATGCCGGTCTCATTATGTAACGCTTAACACTTTGGTGAAACCCACTAGCATGGGTATGGGGATACACAGAGACATAACCTGGAGAATATGGGATTCAACCCACATCTTCAGGGTTTCAACATTTTTGTGAAAAAAAATCCAAGATATTTTTAAGACAAATATTGCTTCTTCCAGACACAACAACATATCTCCAAGGATATTATTATGATAAGGGTCTTGGGCCCAAGTGAGGTTTCCCGGTGATACCCCTTATCTAACTGGCGTGCTGGTCTGCTGGGGGGAATTAACTCAGCATAGAGTCCGAAGTGACAAGAAGCTAATCACAATTTTATTTACAAGATCAGAATAACATGGGTGAGGGCTAGAGATGACCTGTGTTGGGAGTCTAAACCCTACTGTCTAAATAATTCTTCTTCTTTTCAGTTATATGCTTTGGAGGTCGCCTTCGCCTGCTGGCATTTCGGCAGACCTATCCCGCCTTGGGATGCGTGGGGTCACACCCAAAATAATTGGAACTGGTGACTATTTATCTAAAATTGAAACAATACAGAGATTATGATTCGTTGACTGATACAAAAATGGGTGTAACCTACATTAACCAATGAAATACAGAATATACAAGATGGGGTGTGTCCTACAAACACAACTTCTATGACCAGACCGGGGGGAGTACTCTTAATCCTGTTAATCCTATTTCAACTGGCACTAATCTCGTTGGTACTTTTACAGGATGTTTGGATGCTTAACCCTGGGCTAGATCTTAACGACATGTTTACTTTATCAAAACAGGCTAGGATTTTATCTTGAGCATCTGTGAAATTGTGCAGCCGTAATTTACACCTTTTTTTAATAGTATGTCTGTGAGATGAGTTTTACTACTTTTGACAGGAGTCTTTCTCTAAGCTGTTACTGATGCATGATGAAACTAATATTCTATATTTATATTTTCCTGATATCTGAATCCTAATATATTGCCTGTAGTGGTTATAATTAATAATGAATTTTCATATGAATTATTATTCCATGATAATATGTTGACACCCTTAAACATATATTACTGTGTCTAAAATAAAATATCTTATATACAGCCTCCCATCTCCCATTACAGCTCTCCATTCATACCGATTTATAAGATGACATAATAAAAATAAAACATCAAGTGCAGCAAAAAATATAAAAACAAGATTATTCCATGATTTTATTTTTCAAATTCCCTGATATTTCAAAGACTGGAATATGGAATGTGAAATTTCAAGGTTTTCCTGGTATTGTGGGAACCCTGCAGCTTCTATGCATGTCTTAAGGGTCATTATTATTAGTGCAGTAGGGCATCCAAAACATCTTACACTAGCACTAAGAATAACTTACATACATCAAGGGCTGCGTAAATGCAGCAGCAATACTGAATATAGATTTGTGCCCAACTCTGTTCAGAAGAGGCATTTTGGCTGGTGATTTTGTGCACAATAATCATCTGCTATTACCTGTGAGTTAAATTTGTTTCCAGACATTGAGAGGTATTGAACCAACTTAGTTCAAATGTGAAGGCCTTGGAAAATTATCCAATCATAGATACAAAGCAATTATACACCTCTCTCTCCTGCTATTTGCTGTCAAATGATCTACGAGGAACGCCTTTTATGGATAGACAACTTTTTTATTGTGGTGGATGCGACATTTCGGTGTTGATCCTAACACCGTTATCAAGCAATTGATACACAACATATTCACAAGGAGAAATATATACATGACGGGTATTTAAGTTTATACAATTGAAGAGGTCTGTTGTACATACAAACAGATGTGGACGGTCATAGACTCTTTTGGACATTTAGCTGTAGATTGTACACTGTTATCAAGACAAGTGATCACTCATTGGTTGGATAGCAAGTCGCAAATGTCAAGGTTATAGATATCACAGTGAAGATGTCATGAGTGTAAATGTCCTGGGGGTAGATATCAGTGCTGGATATTGCCCTGATTCTCATATCGTGATATACTGCAATAATTTAAGTGAGTGAGTGAATTTGGTTTTAAGCTGCTTTAAGCAATATTCCAGCAATATCATGGCGGGGGACACCAGAAATGGGTTTCACACATTGTACTATGTGGGGAATCGAACCTTGGTCTTTGGCATGACGAGCGGACGCTTTAACCACGAGGCTACCCCACCGCCCCTCAATAATTTAAAAGAGATATTGCGCTACATATTGAGACATATTGACTGGATGGTTTCTGCCCAACTGTGTATGTCATAAATTCATAATAGCTCTCTGTGTACGACATCATCTTCTGCGGATGACCCAATATATTACAGAATCTGAACTATATCCCGATATTTGTGGAAAGATGTCATGCCAACATGTAATGAGGTAGATGTCATGGGTGTTGATGTCATGGTGGTAGATACCATGGATATTGAGGTCATTGGAGAAGATGTCATGAGGACAGATGTTATGGGTAGATATCATTGGGGAAGATGTCATGAGGACAGATGTTATGGGTAGATATCATTGGGGAAGATGTCATGAGGACAGATGTTATGGGTAGATATCATTGGGGAAGATGTCATGAGGACAGATGTTATAGGTAGATATCATGGGGGAAGATGTCATGAGGACAGATGTTATGGGTAGATATCATTGGTGTAAATGTCATGCAGTAAATAAATGTACAACAAAATAAAGGTACATAAAGGAAAGATGTCATGCCAACATGTAATGAAGTAGATGTCATGGGTGTTGATGTCATGGTGGTAGATACCATGGATATTGAGGTCATTGGAGAAGATGTCATGAGGACAGATGTTATGGGTAGATATCATTGGGGAAGATGTCATGAGGACAGATGTTATGGGTAGATATCATTGGGGAAGATGTCATGAGGACAGATGTTATGGGTAGATATCATTGGGGAAGATGTCATGAGGACAGATGTTATGGGTAGATATCATTGGGGAAGATGTCATGAGGACAGATGTTATGGGTAGATATCATTGGGGAAGATGTCATGAGGACAGATGTTATGGGTAGATATCATGGGGGAAGATGTCATGAGGACAGATGTTATGGGTAGATATCATTGGTGTAAATGTCATGCAGTAAATAAATGTACAACAAAATAAAGGTACAGTCTGACTTTGGACACACCTCTTAATGATAAGCAAACATACAGACTGCGGTAACATATTTTCCTTTTCTTAATAAAGACTCTCTAACAATGATCGATGGTCAATATTCAACTTTGGAAACCTTCATACATTCAGAAACTATGAAGTTCATCCTCTATTTTGCTTTATAATCCTATACATGTTTTAAGGAAATTTTATGCAGCTTCGGCAATGCCACAAATTCCGATAAAAAACCACACAAAATATTACTTCAGCTTATTTACATCATTAGATACAGCCTCCTATCTGCAACTTTATCTGCATGGACCTGAGATAAGGCTTTAAAATCAAATCTTTACTCTGATTATATAATATTTATCACAGCCTTTGTAAGTATCTCAGTGTTTGGGTGACTTGACATTGTTACTGAACCAATCAATAGTTGAAAAGAAGAAACGTCTGAGCTCATGGAAATGTAATACTCTCCCGTCAACTAGCAACATTCCTGTGTCTACAATTACACAAGATGATATGATTGTCTTTAAATCAGCTTAGGAACCATTTGAACAGCATTTCTGTTATATATACATGAAATACCATATGTCAATTTGATTTGGAAGGAGAATATAGACCAAGGGAAGACTGAATTTAATATTTACCTGTTTGGTGAACATCTAATTCATGACTATTGTGCTGAGACCCTAAGATCATAATTGGGATACTCTGGGACTCGAACCCACAGTTAGCAGATCATGGTATGAAGAAGGGGCATAACTCTGCATAGCAAATTCCAGCACTGTCATCAAGAAATAGGAATACTCTGTATTTTGTTCTTATCTGATGTCGAATAATTTCATCATCTTGAAAATCACTGAAACCTAACCAGTGTAAACTGGTATTTAAACCAACATTCACTGGAGTTCAACACATCTGAGAGAGGCAACAGAATGAATCCTGTTCTCAAGTGGAATGACTGACTGAGTTTAGTTTTACGCCGCTTTTAGCAATATTCCAGCAATATCACGGTGGGGGACACCAGAAATGGGCTTCACACATTGTGCCCATGTGGGGAATCGAACCCGGGTCTTCGGCGTGACGAGCCAACGCTTTAGCCACTAGGCTACCCCACCGCCCCCAAGTGGAATGAAAAAAGCTCAAGGGAACAAATACATCATACACAAAAAAACATGGATCTGTGTCCTTGAATTATATCCAAATAACATTGCAGTCATACAGATGACTCCATTCTAATTATTGACTTCAACGAAAATCGCAATCGGTCCTGAAAACACATTCATTACCAAGAAAGAAAATGTTGTATTGGGGTAAT